GTAATGGGGGATTTTGGCGGATTATTGAGGATGATAGTTACCAGGGAGTAGATTAATAGAGGTAGTCCTAAATAACTGAAGAAGTCGAAGAAATCATATGGTAGTACATCATATAAGTAAAAACGCTTTTCAACCCTTTAAATTATGAATGAACCGTCACAAATCTAATCACTAAATAAAAAAAAATCAAAATGTGGAATACTTTGGAGCAATAGGAACACGAATTTGAAATTTCGAAATGCAGGATGGATGATCAGACATTTATTTTAGGACTTGTGATAATATAAATATAAAATAGGGGAGCTCAATGAATTTTTTTTAAGGAAGAAAAAAGAGCATGACAAATTGAAGGCCTCCTATGAGAGCAGCAGATTTGCCAGATTCAGACAGCAACAGGGTTACAGGGATTTGCTTCTCCCCCCCTACTGCCCAGTTTTATCCTTTACCGTATCCTTAAATATCTCTCCCCCTTTACTCGTGATTTCACATACGTATTGATTTGATCAACGATATCGAATTTTCGTCCCGCCATTTGCCAACTTCAAAAAAAAGCCCTCTATTCCTTAGGATAAAAATGAGTGATGGATGAATATTGTGTGTGAATGTTGTATTACATAAAATTGTGCAGTCAGACACAATAATTAGGATAAAGTAATATTTTTTTTAGTAAATAAAGTAGTAATTTTAGGAGAAAAGTAACAACTTCTACGAAAGTTTTAATAACAAAATAGAGTGTGCTAGTACTTGTTGCGCTAAAATAAAAAATTTCATATGTATATAATATTATATACTCCCTCCGTCCTAGAAAAATTATTGTAGTCAATATTGAGTTTTAATAATTCTAAAAAATAGTACAAATTTTAAAAATCTAGTTGTTTTATTTTTTTGGACAGAGAGAGTACATTTCGAGCTTATTTTTATCACCCGACCTAACTCACTTTAAAAAATTTCGTACACATCACCCGGAACAATTTACAAATTTATATTCAAAAATTACATTGTCAAAATACTATTTCTTCTGTACCAAAATTATTATCCAGTTTAGATTTTAAGTTTCAGTTCAAATTGTATTAAAAATAAAAATTCGAACTGAAATAATTATGGGACAGAGGGAATAATATTTATCTGATACTCTTCCGTCCCATTTTAACGATTCTTCACGCTAAGATGGGAAAATGGTGATAGAAGAAAAGCATTACGTATGAATATATGATGAAATATGGTGGGAAGGAGGGAACTGGGGAAAATAAAAAAAAAACGGCTGCTGGAAAAACGTAGGGTGGAAGAGAATTAAGTAGAGTGATTGGGATAGTAGTGATACTAACAAGAGGTAGACGGTGCATAGCAGAAGTTATAAATATTAATGCTCACGGGTTACCCGTCTTCTCCATCTTCTGGTCTAAATCTTTCAAAATCTTTCTCCATCCATTGTCTCAAATCCAAAAAAGAAAAACGTACAACAAAATTCAAAGTCAAAAAAATTTACAATTTTTTTTTTCAAACATCCATACATTTTAATTCCCTTTCACCCAGGTAGTTTTCCAGATACAAAAGAAAACATCACCGTCAGCTATCAAAATAAATACGTAACGATCGTATTTTATACGTTTATTACATCACCTCGACAATATGATTATATTCAGGACAAATACTGATTATATCTCTATTTTATTAAAGTTAAAAAAAAAATTAAAATAATTTGTTGAGCCTTGAAGAAGTTTTGTAACTGTTTAAAATTAGTCGGTCGGGGTTTAGGGGCTGGATTTGTCTGCTTGTAATCATCATCATTCATCGGTAAGCAATCGGCGAAATGATCGTATATGGCTGCTTTTGCTGTTATCACAAACTACAAAAGCCTTACGCGGTCTTAGCCATTTTTGTGATTCTTATAAAGTATTTATTTTTAGGTAGCATTTTGATGACTTCGGAGTATCCGTCGTTATTTAAACTGGAGTTTTCCGAGTTAGAAATTCAAAGAAAAATTCACCAAAGGCCCAGAGTTCAAATCTATGTGATGAAGAGGAGGATTATTAATTACTGATTTTACATTTTAACATAGATTTAAGCTTACGATTCCTTTATTGTAAAAAGAAAAAAACAAAAAAAAAAAGAAAAGAAAAAGTGAATGGAATCAAGAATTGGAGCGCACGAGATTGCGTAATCTGCTCTTCGTGGGCTTTGCCGCCATATCCCACAATCAGTTATTCTTTTAGTCACATATTAAGGTTCCTTTTTCAACAACTTTATCAAAAAAAAACTTTATAATATAGTACACAAGTCTCAAACTCTCTCCATCATCATAATTAAAAGTATGTCACATTTTATGCTTATTTTACTCCACTTTTTAACCTTCATCTTCAATGATGAGTTTCTATCTTCAACCTGGAAATTTGTGTTCATTAGTACGATCATAAGTGGCTTTCCAAATTAAGACTATAAAAGTTTCATGATTTCTATTCTGAGTAATCATGGAAGAAAGATCAACATTGACGTGGTTAGCTAATTTGGTACTCCCGTTGTTACGAAATTATTGTGGATATTGTTCCTGCTGAAACAAGTGTTTTACTTGAGTTATGATTATGAAAGGTAATTTCCTCTTTCTTACTCGGGGTTTCTCAAAATATAATGGTGACTGGTGAGAAACAGAAAATCAACAAAAAAACATGTACTAATACCTAAAAAATTTATTTAGATATTTACTAAATTGTCCCCCTAACTTAAGAAAATCTATACCCCATAAACTAGACATTATTATATCATTATAGCTTTTTCTTATTTCATTTATGGACCTTCATTTATTCATCTATTTTTTGTGTGCTGGGAACTTCGCAGGAGATAAGTAAATCTGTGTTGTATGTATAAAAAATAGTACTCCTTCCGTCCCAAAATTATTTTCTAGTTTGGATTTTTAGTTTTAGTTCAATTTATATTAGAAATGAAAATCCAAACTGGACAATAATTTTAGGACGAAGAGAGTACTGAAATTTACTAAATAATTTTGGTTTACACTTTCAATCGTAGACAGATTTATAGCATAGCGAAAAAAGAGTAGATATATGAATACATATTTAATCATCAACTTAACCAAAGAAATCATAAATTGGACAGTTTTTTGAAAACATAAAAGTTTAGTTGATACCTTCTATTATTATATGTTAAACTAATACAAGAAAACTAGTTACTCGAATGAACTTGACCTTCCTTGTACGAATAGACATTGCCAATGGATATTTAACTGGTGGATAAACTTTATTAATTTACATTTTTATTAAATTTTTTAGCCTATTAAAATCTTTTCATTTTTGTGTTTTTAGTTGCATATGGGGTTTGAGACCTGGCCTCATTTCATTTAATCACAAATGTGCATCGAGCCTTGAATAATAATAATAATAATTTATTTATATCATCGTTGTTGACGGAATTTACATCATTATTATTTGAAAAAATTAAATTCTAATAAAAATATTCAACACTTTTTGTTATTTAAAATATTTAATTATATATTGAGTAATATGAAAGTATGTCAAATTATTTAACATAATTTAGTTGAAATATTTTTAATAATTTTTAGAACAGCCACTAAATGAACCAATTTCATTTTTTCTTTAACAAATATTTAGAATTCTTAATATATATATATATATATATATATATATATATATGTATGACGACCGTGCCGGCTGGCCCCCTCCTGGCTCCGCCTCTATCGAGTTATAAATGGGAAAGAGAGTCATAGAAGAAATTTATTATGACTTCATGAGTTCGGTAAATTATTTAAGTAACGGCGATATTAAAGTTTTTTGTCGATAAACATTATTTATGCAGCAACTGCATTAAGTATATGTCGAGAAACGATTCATGTACAGCTATGTCAATCATTTCTCCTCGGTAAATACCCGACATGGCCGTTATATCAATCGTTTATCCTTGATAAAATACGTGACTCACTAAGTATATGTTGAGAAACGATTCACATTCACGTAACAATTGTGCCATGTATTTTATCGAGAATAAATGATTAATATATACAGCTATGTCGGGTATTTATCGAGGAGAATAATCAATGTAGCAGTTACTGTACACGACAACAAAATAACTGGTGTTTGTCGGGGATAAATGATTAGCTATTCTTCTACGTATTATTGTACATCACGATAAATAAATTATTAATGTAATGGTTGTATCATGTGTAACATGGAAAAATTACTAGTGTATGTAGCGGTTCTTCGAGTGATTTGGAATTATTTTTACTCTAAAGGAAATGACTAACAAGATGAGGAGATTCTATTTTTCAAACTCCATAATTGTTTTGACTACTATATATAAATAATTTGGAAACAAAAATTAAAATCAATTAAATTGTTTTCCAATAGATGTGATATAATCCATCAGAAAAGTTGACCGACCAATGGACACAAGGCATGGCAGTGCCTTCAGGACCTTCGCTCCCCCTATCTGTCTTCCATCCCCACCATTTTACCAAAACTAGACGATGTTCCTGCATAACAGTAAAATTGCATATCACGGTAAATGCAATTTGACGACCAAAATATACTACTTGGTTCTCCAAATAAGAAATTTGTTTATTATAATTCTTATTTTGGGCGGCAATATCAAAATATCACGATACAACCCCCGTAAAACTAAAACAACATTGTACAAAATTTTTCTACTTTTTTTTTTCCCCCGAATGTTGTATATACTCGCTCGAAATTATTACCTCATAAATTTCTTTGCTGAATGATCTCATAATTATATTGATTGACTTGCTAGAACTCTTATTTCAGAACGAAAAGGTTTTCTTATATTATCTCATAATTTCATTTTTTCTTAACTCAAAATTTCGAGATACACTATTTATTTCAAAATTATTATTTCTTCCGGTCCTTACAATAAATAGGAGAACTCACGAGTGTAAAAAATTCTGTTTGAAGTTTTTTTTAATTAAAAATACATCATAAGTAAAACTTAAGATAATATTAAAATGTATTATAATGAGGACCGGAGCAAGTACATCATAATTTTCATCTCAACATCATATTTACTCCCAACTTAGATGAATATTAAAAAAAAAAAGAGTATGATAATGGAAAAATTGGGATTTTGTAAGATGGGAAAATTGATGAAAGATGAGGTGAGTGAGTTATAACGTTGGGAAGCTACAAAGTGTCAAAACTGTATTCCAAAAAAAGACGTCTCCCTTTTGCTCTCATAAAAAGCCATTTCCCTTTTTCCTCTGCTACGTCTTCTTCTTCTTCTTCATTTCTTCATTTCTTCCCTTTAACGCACACAAACCCACAGAGCTTCTTTCTCTCTTCGTTTTTGTCCTCTCTTTCTCTCTCTCTCTCTGTGTACCAACCCTTTTCCTCGATTCAAGAAACGCTGTTTTTCTCCCTGTTTTTCACTCATTCCAACAGCGCCAAAAGAGGAGAAAAGGGGGTAAAAGGGAAGGGGGCTAAAACAAAAATTAAAAAACATTATGTTGTCAAGAGTTAACAGCATGGTTTGGATGGATGACAAAGATGGAGAAACCGCTTCCTGGGATCAAAAAACCATGAACAACGGTAACGTGAATGATCCGAATAACGGCGGCGGTGTTGTTAATTTGGAGAACAAAGAGCATATGGAGTTGGGTTCGCTCCCTTCTTTCAAATCCATGCTCGGAGTTGAAGAAGATGACTCCGACTGGTACCTGGGCGGCGGCAGCGGTAATCAGAATGATAATGCTAACAATGGTGGAAACATGCAAGCTCATCTGGACATGAGGGACATTTCTTTCTCGGCGAGTTTCACTAACGACGCCGACCACCACCAGAACCTGATTCTCCAGCCGGTGGACTCCTCGGCGTCCTGTTCGCCGTCTCCGGCCTCTGTTGTTTTTAACAACCTTGACCCTTCTCAGGTCCACCATCATTACTTTATGCAGCCCCCACCTAAGACTAACATGCTGGTTGGCCTCAATGCGCTGGCCTCAGCCCAATTGGACAACGGTGGGTTTGATTTGAGCTGTGAAAGCTCGTTCCTCGATAATCATCAAGGTCTGAATGCTTTCGGCAGAGGTGGGGTGGGGGTTTTGGGGGGAGCTTTTACTGATTTAGGTTCACAGAGTCAGTTGGGGAGTCCGAATTTGAACTCGGGGACTCAATTTTCCAATGCCCATTTGCTCCAAATGCCTCAACCTGGTGTTGGATTTGGGAGTTCACTGGGGGGTTTTGGAGAGGGTTCTGGTAATGTTAATTCTTTGTTTTTCAATAGGTCTAAGTTACTCCAGCCTTTGGATAATTTTACTTCAATTGGGTCACAACCCACCCTGTTCCAGAAAAGGGCTGCATTGAGGAAGAATTTGGCTAACAGTAGTAGTAATCTGGGAGTTTTGGGTGGGGAAATTGGTCATAGTTCTGGGAATAACGAAGGATATGATAAGAACAAGGAAGCTGTTGAAGTGGGTGGATTAAAGAGGAAGATTAGCATTGGTGATGATTTTGAGGATGCTAGTATTGATGGGTCCAACTTGAATTATGATTCTGATGAGTTTTTGGACACTACTAATAATAACAACAGTAAGTTAATGGAAGAAGCCGGTAAAAATGGTGGAATTAGCTCCAATGCTAATAGCACAGTCACCGGTGGTGGCGGTGAGGATCAGAAAGGGAAGAAGAAAGGACTTCCGGCCAAGAATTTGATGGCCGAAAGGCGCCGCCGCAAGAAGCTCAATGATAGGCTTTACATGCTGAGATCCGTTGTTCCAAAGATTAGCAAGGTAAGGAAAAATTCTGCACCGGCAAATTCTCGTGAATTGTTTTTTTTTTTTGGTAGAAATGATTTCCCATTTCAACATGTTTTAGGCAATTTCATTCTTTGCAAAATGTCTTCTTTTCCCCTTTTTATTCTTTGATTGCTTAACATTTTTTCTTTTCAAGCCATCTTTCTCATGATTTTTGGAACAACTTGAATCTTTTGGATGTTGTTAAATGAGTGAAGAAGATTTTGTCTTTACATTGTTTAAAAAGCTGGAAATTAAAGCAAAGAGGACAGCATTTAATTCACTCACATGCACTCTATGAACTGATTTAAAGAAAAAGGGCAAACCCTTAGGAGCCCGGACCACAGACCCAAACATGGAATCCCACCATTATTTGATAGATACTAGTCTGACAGCGAACCGTTATGAGACTTGTCTGCTTCACTGCTCACTTCCCTGCTGCTTTCTGGAAATTGATTATTAACCATGATTTTATCCTTTGATCCTTTTGTTAGTTTTGGTTGCAAATTTACCTGCACAATATGGTATCACTGAACTTTAACATGTGTGGACGGTGACTGTTCATTCATTTCATGTATTACTCCAATGGATTGGCTGCTGCTCCACATTAATGATCATGAACTCAAGTAGAGTACTTAACTACACATCGAAGACGACTTTCAGTTAATTGCTAATTTCTGGTGTTTTCGTGTCATTGCTTGTCTGATAACTGTGTTTTAAGATCAATCCGACTGTGATTGCTGGATTTTTAATGGCGGCTAAGAGATAGGTTTTACTTTGTGGCGTAAGGAATTTGTCGCATTTGGTTGCCGTGGTGATGTAACTTATGAAGACAATTGTTGTTTTCCTTTCCTTTGTTTTGCCAGATGGACAGGGCTTCAATTTTGGGCGATGCAATCGAGTACTTGAAGGAACTATTGCAGAAGATTAACGATTTACAGAATGAACTGGAGTCAACTCCTACCGCCTCTGCATTAACTCCCACCACACCATTCTACCCTTTGACTCCTACTGGTTCTGCCCTGCCTTGCCGCATCAAAGAAGAATTTTGTCCAAGTGCTTTTGCAAGTCCATTATCAAGCCCAACTGGACAACCTGCTAGGGTTCGCATACTATTTACTGAAACCATATCATATTTGTCGTTACTCTTTTGGAACCTGTTAAGCATTTGTGAAGGTTGAAAGATGGTTGATTATATCTTTGTTAACTGCAGATTGAAGTAAGGCTCAGAGAAGGACGAGCTGTAAACATTCACATGTTTTGTGGGCGGCGACCAGGTCTCCTTCTTTCAACAATGAGGGCTCTTGACACCCTTGGATTAGATGTTCAACAAGCTGTCATCAGCTGCTTCAATGGATTCGCTCTGGACATCTTCAGGGCCGAGGTATATACTTACTTTTTCAATATGGCTTAGTGAGACAAACTATAACTTAAAATCATATATGCGATTGACTTCAAATGTAAAATGCAACCAAAAGCTTAATCACAATTGTTTGTTTAATTTTTGGTGATGGCAGCAATGCAAAGATGGCCAAGAAATTCCTCCAGAACATATCAAAGCTGTACTTCTGGAGTCAGCTGGCTTCCAAGGGATGGTCTAAAGTTTTTCTTCCCAGTGCCAAAGATAAGAAGAGTTCTAGCCCGCGAGACTTAATGTAGAGTTCGACGTTGCTGCGCGCATCAGTAATCCAGTGATCTGCTGGCACTAAGTTTGTTCTTCGCCGTTCATAATATGCTAACTTAGGCAGTCAGTTTCACTGACTTTCTTTAGATTTATCTTGCATTTACATAGGTTTAAGGCATTATTTCTCGCATTTTTACTGTCAAAACTCTCAACTACCTTTTGTTATTATGGCGTAAAGCACCTGTTCTATATTTCCTGTTTCTCAATATCTCTTCTTTAAAGTGCTTTTTTTCCTTCTCTAGCTGAAGCTAAAAATCAATGAACAGGTATAGGTATATCTGGGCACAGGAAGAACTGTTTATGGCAATGTATACATCTGCCTTAGTTCTTACTTCTCCTACCTGAAATGACAGTTCCTTCTGTTTTTTTTTTTTTTTTTTTGCTATGAATTTTGATGAAGAAAGCAAAAAAACATGTTGCCCCATACTCAGTTCTTGTTGTTGTCGGCATATTCATCTCTGAATATAATCACGTTTAGCCTAACTAGCTAGATGAGGATGTACACAAGTAAAACAATCTTCACATAATTTCATCTCATATAAGGTACATAACTCATTGTGATCCTTTATGATACTAAAGCTTCACACTTTCCTTCTTTGGTTGCATTTATCAAAACATTAAAATAAAAATATTACCACACTATTTCTATTTTATCATCATTTGATACAAGGAATTTAAATAAACCCGTTTATGCATATATTTTCTTTATGACACAATGGAAGTGATGGCGCAAACATGGTCGTAAAATACACTTCAAATTTGAAATAAGATTATAATACATGGCAATTTTTTTAATAAATAAGTTGATTCATAAATTTTCTTCCCTTTGATGAGTGTATACTATTGATAATGGTCCATTTTAAGCATTTTCTCACAACTATTTGAACTCTGAAGCATGAATTTGGAACCTCATTTTGGCCCTATACAGACCGATCAATTTCTTCTAAAGTGAACACATTACTGATTTTACTTCCATCCACAAAATAGTGGAAACAAAAAAAAAAAAATCTTTCTTTTTTTTTTTCTCTAAAAATCCACCAAACTTGAATAACAAGGCATATTTTCCAATAAAACATCCATTTTTCTTACATTTAATTTGCAATAAATAATTTGAGGTCCTACTCCTTCCAAGTTTTCCCATTAGACCCCAATACCCCATCTAAAAATCAAAACCATAAATGGGAAAAAAAAGAAAAAAAAAAACAAAAATGAAAAATCTTGGAGGTCGAATCCCATACGGCACAGTAAGTATACAACTTCTAGTATCAGCCAATCAGAAAAATCAAGCAAGGGCAAAAAAGGAAATCACGATCGAAGGACTGACGGCGAATTTCACATCAACGGTTCACATTAGGATATTGACTATCAACAGAACAGATCGAACGGCCAGGAAACGTCCGACGACGACGTAGGTGAAGAAAGCGAAATAGATATTATCCAGTGCGTGGCGGTGCATCGTACCCGAATGGAACACGATATGATAATATTATAGAGAGATAATAGAACGGCCTCTAGCATCATCCTCCTCTTCTTCTTCTTCCCCTTTCTTCTTCCTTCCTCTCTGTTCTCACCTCCATTTGTTTTTGTCATTTTCTGTTCCTCTCTATCTAAATTAGGAGGATTGATATAGCTTTCAAGGTAAATTTCATTAACCCAGCTTAATTTCTTTCGTTTGCTGTATCGGTGCTAGGGTTTTGGGGTCTGTTTTGGACTTCATTCGTTTCAGGTGTTTCATCGGTGTCTTCATTTCTTATCGGGTTTATTGATTTAATAGGTTCTGTCGAAGTTTTTAGATGATGGGTTATATGTTATCATTTTTGTTATCTGTAGTATTTTTTTTGTTTTTTATTTTTACTTGGGCATGTGTGTTTAGCAGTAAAGGTAGGGTATTTGGTTTTATACTGTTATTTAGCTGGATTACGCTATGTTTACTGAAATAATGGATGTTTCATTCTAATGGGTTCGAGTTATTTTGGTGTTTGGACTTGAAGGATGTACTGTAGTTTTGCTGTTGACTTTGATGGAGGTTGTTGTGGCTGTTCTTCTTTGTTTTTATCGAGTTTTTGGTTTCTGTATGGATCAATTTATCATTTTGCTCGGTTTCATAGTGTTGTATCTTTGTTGGGATTCTGGTTCATGCGGTGGGATTCTGTGGGAAATGGATTAATCTGAATTCATTTCAACGAAACCTATGTGTTTTTAGCTAAAATTACCTTGGATGTTGGGTTGAAAGTTTGACGCTCTAACTCTAATGAGTGTCTAGAATTGGATTTCTGTGTGGTTGGAAGGATTATTGTAGTTCATTATGAATTTTGGTTCATACCAGTTACCCATATCACTGACATTGTAAGTCCTTTGTAGGTTGAACGATATAATGTTCAATTGTAATAATGTTTTTTGCTCCTAGTATCTCATTCTTCTTGGTCGGTGTTCCCAGAGAGAGAGAGAGAGAGATATATGCTTTCTGATTAATTATCTTTTGGACGGGGTTCTGTGGTTCTTGGAAGTTACTTTGAACGTGGTTTTATGATCTTGTTTGTGAACATTAATGTTAGGTTTGTTGACTTCTTTGGATCTGATTTGTAGCTATTTTACTGTTTCTATCCCTGAAATGCAGGAAAAAAGGCAGTCATGGCAAGAGCTATGGTACAGTCAACAAATTTATCTTCTGCCGCTCCTACGTGGAGCTTATCCCAATCAAAAGGATCTGGTAGAGGTAGAAGAACAGTCACAATGCTCTGCATGACACGTGCTGCGCCTCTTAGGTTGACCAGCTATTCTGGCTTACGTGCCGCTAATGCATTGGATAATGTGGTCAGATATGGCCAAACTTTACATTCAAAAGTGGCGATAACTGGTCGGCGTAAAAGGTGTAGCCGGATAGTGCCAAAAGCTATGTTTGAGCGCTTTACGGAAAAAGCCATTAAAGTTATCATGCTTGCACAAGAGGAGGCAAGACGATTGGGCCATAATTTTGTCGGCACAGAGCAAATTTTGTTGGGGCTCATTGGCGAGGGTACCGGTATTGCCGCAAAAGTTCTGAAATCAATGGGCATTAACTTAAAAGATGCACGTGTTGAAGTAGAAAAAATAATTGGAAGGGGAAGTGGATTTGTGGCTGTGGAGATTCCGTTCACGCCACGTGCAAAGCGAGTTTTGGAACTTTCACTTGAGGAAGCTCGCCAACTCGGTAAGTTTTGTCTGCTTTCATAATTGTTTTGTTGCTGATTCCTTACTTCTCGGATATGATTAGTATTGTTCCAAAAGAGCTTGTCCTTATAGCATCATAAATTTCTTTATGTGATATGAATGGGTTCTTGAAGGAAAGACATCTTTTAACTCTTTTCTTAATGCATGCTCTTGTCGTTTTAGGCCATAATTATATTGGTTCGGAGCACCTTTTGCTGGGATTGCTTCGTGAGGGTGAAGGTGTGGCTGCCCGAGTTCTTGAAAATTTGGGTGCTGATCCCAGTAACATTCGCACACAGGTATTATTTGCAATTTTCTTAAATTAATTCTGAAGGTATCATTGTAAAATGTTTCTGTAATATGTGCATTCACGTTATGGTTTCCTTTTTTGTGGCTACTAGGTGATTAGAATGGTCGGTGAGAATAATCCAGAAGTCGGTGCTGGTGTTGGGGGTGGGACTACAAGTAACAAAATGCCTACACTTGAGGAGTATGGTACCAATCTGACAAAGCTTGCTGAGGAGGTAATTTTAAGATCTTTGGATATGGTATATAGGTGGAGAAGGACTATTTGGATTTTGTATCATGCATTAACTTTACTTCTTTGGGTTCTAGGGTAAACTAGATCCTGTAGTGGGAAGGCAGGAACAAATTGAGCGTGTTACTCAAATTTTGGGCCGACGAACAAAGAACAATCCGTGCCTTATTGGAGAGCCTGGTGTAGGGAAAACTGCTATTGCTGAGGGCCTTGCTCAACGGATTGCCAATGGTGATGTTCCTGAGACAATTGAGGGGAAGAAGGTAATTTATGTCCTGAAGTAAAATAATAGTCAGCTTTCAAAATCCCTTATCTTCTGTTGCTCTGTTGTTATGGACTCCCTAAACATTTTCTATATTGTCTTAAAATTTCTGTGGAGATTATTGCTGGATATTGATAAGGTCTATAAATCTGTCCTTGCTTGGGGTGTGTACTTTTTAACTTTATATTTGAGTGTCAAGTGTACTTTCTCTAGCGGAGTTAGTAGTTATTGTGCAAGTGGATAGAGGTTTCTCCCATTATCTAGATTGTCTCTATCTGAGATGAAACTTCTGGTATTAGTTAGGAAGTGTTTTACGTTCAATTGAGATTTATGCCCTTGGAAGGTTCAGTTTGGTATTTACTCTGTTTATTGATGTATTGTGGTGTATTTCATTTGAACCAACAATTGAAATAACCATCTCTTCAGATGCGTCTCTTCAGAAATTCTAAATTTAAGTTTATGCTATTCAGGTTATAACATTGGATATGGGCCTTCTGGTTGCTGGAACAAAATACCGTGGAGAATTTGAGGAACGGCTAAAGAAATTGATGGAGGAGATAAAACAAAGTGATGAAATCATTCTTTTCATTGATGAAGTGCACACATTAATTGGAGCTGGAGCTGCAGAGGGAGCAATTGATGCTGCAAACATTTTAAAACCTGCTCTTGCTCGTGGTGAACTTCAGGTATATAATCTTATGATAAAATGCAATCAAGGAAGTTAATTTGCATATTCTTGCTAATGTTTTGACATATGTTGTTTGTTTGTCAAATAAATGGTCCTATAAAGTTATTGAATCGTTTCTTCATCACTCCTTGGGAGTTTCTGGAAAGTTTTCTCTGTATGTATGTCATGAACTTTTAAATTATGTTGGACTTTGATAATATGCGGCATCCTCTCACCTGATTCCCCCAAATTTCGCCTGAAAGTGGTGCCTTTTATTCATAATAATATTCTGTTGCAGTTTGCGTGAATGTCATATTTACTGCCGTATTCACATGTGAGAATTAGGTAATTGATTTAAACTTTTGATGGCTGCAGTGTATTGGGGCTACAACCCTAGATGAGTACAGAAAGCACATTGAAAAAGATCCAGCTTTAGAAAGACGTTTCCAGCCTGTTAAGGTGCCTGAGCCGTCTGTGGATGAAACTATTCAGATATTGAAGGGCCTTCGAGAGCGATATGAGCTCCATCACAAATTACGTTACACAGATGAATCTTTGGTCGCTGCCGCCCAGCTCTCCTACCAATACATCAGGTTTCCTTTTATTTTTCTGCTACGCCACCCTTATAAATTATCCATGTGTGCTATTGTTTCATAAGCTAGTGCCTATGATATTATCATTGCTTTTGAAATCCGTCTGAATCTCCCTTTTTTTCCTGCAATTTAGTGACCGTTTCCTGCCTGACAAAGCCATCGACTTGATTGATGAAGCTGGTTCTCGTGTTCGACTTCGTCATGCTAAGGTCTGTATTTCTCCTTACTGCTCTCATTTCATTCAATTTGCTACTTGCTTTTTCCTTTTAAGTGACCCCCTTCCTCTTTTCCTTTAGCTCCCTGAGGAAGCTAGAGAGTTGGAGAAAGAACTCCGACAGCTCACCAAGGAGAAGGATGAAGCTGTTCGTAGTCAGGACTTTGAAAAGGTAGTTGTTATGAGTTTTTTTTTTTTTCCAGTTCGGTGTCTAGGGTACACGTGCGCTGGGATTATAAAATTTACTGATTATAAATATGCAGAACTCATGTTTCTGCTCTTATGTGATAAGGGTTGTTCTTGTCAATGTAATTACTTAACCTTTCATCTTTATTTCCCAATTTGAATAGTGAAACTTATGGGTGGTTTTATTTGCATACAGGCCCAAGTTCTACGTGACCGAGAAGTGGATCTTCAGGCCCAAATCACAAATCTTATTGAGAAAAACAAAGAGATGAGCAAGGCTGAAACTGAGTTGGGCGATGGTGGACCCCTCGTGACCGAAGTGGACATCCAGCATATTGTCTCTTCATGGACGGGAATACCTGTTGAGAAGGTGTCCACTGATGAATCAGATCGACTCCTAAAGATGGAGGAGACATTGCACACTCGAGTCATTGGACAGGATGAAGCTGTCAAAGCCATCAGCCGTGCTATTCGTCGTGCCCGTGTTGGACTCAAGAATCCCAATCGGCCTATTGCTAGCTTTATTTTCTCCGGTCCCACTGGAGTTGGGAAGTCAGAATTAGCTAAAGCACTGGCTGCTTACTACTTCGGTTCCGAGGAAGCTATGATCAGACTAGATATGAGTGAATTCATGGAGAGACATACTGTCTCAAAGCTCATTGGTTCACCTCCTGGGTATGTTGGTTATACCGAGGGTGGTCAGCTGACAGAAGCGGTGCGCCGACGTCCTTACACCGTTGTGCTGTTTGATGAGATTGAAAAGGCTCACCCAGATGTCTTCAACATGATGCTTCAGATTCTTGAAGATGGGCGTTTGACAGACAGCAAGGGTCGGACTGTTGACTTCAAGAATACCCTCTTGATCATGACATCAAACGTGGGGAGTAGCGTCATTGAGAAAGGTGGCCGACGGATTGGTTTTGATTTAGATTATGATGAGAAAGATAGTAGTTACAACAGAATTAAAAGCTTGGTGACTGAGGAATTAAAACAATACTTCAGGCCTGAGTTCTTGAACAGATTGGATGAGATGATAGTATTCAGGCAACTGACCAAGCTAGAGGTGAAGGAGATTGCTGACATCATGTTGAAGGAAGTATTTGAGAGGTTGAAGAAAAAGGAAATAGAACTTCAGGTTACAGAGAGGTTCAGAGATAGAGTTGTCGATGAGGGTTACAATCCAAGCTATGGTGCACGACCTCTGCGAAGGGCCATCATGAGACTTTTGGAGGATAGTTTGGCTGAGAAGATGCTCGCCCGGGAGATCAAGGAAGGTGATTCGGTAATTGTGGATGTTGATTCAGATGGCAATGTAACAGTCCTCAATGGCAGTGGTGGCGCTTTACCAGAACCATCACCAGAGGCAATTCCCGTGTAGAAGAAATAGATGCAACTTTGTTGAATGTATCTTGTAAAACCCCATCTTAAGCAGCCTGTCTGATGATGGGTTGTATTTTGAGTGCTGTTATTTTTGCGTTCGTTAGTACAGTGATAGCTTGTTGGGTTTTCAGATATTGTAGTGATTATAGAATTAGATAGAATCCAAAACTTTGAACTTTGAATGACTGCCCTGTTGCCAAATCCAAGAACATTTCCCTATAACCTAAACTTTTATTGATGATTCCTTTTTTTCTTTTCCTTGTTCTTCTTGCAAGGCACCAATATTTTTGCTATCGATTTAAAAATGTATATGTCGCTTCATGGTGTCTTGCTAGAATAATTTATCATAGTTGTATGAGTCATAATAGTGTCATCATGACTCAAAAAGGAGAGAATTGCAATTCTCATCAAGCAGTCACTTGGAATGAATGTAATTTAATCGGCTTATTCATTCATTCATTCATTGTGATCCAGAAAACAAGAACAAGAAGGTTCATGAAGGATTCACTGGAAGCCTGTGTTGTATACATTTGAAATTGACAAACACACATTAGTATTACACATGAATTGACATGTTACCGTCTCAATTGCCACTTGTAAAGCCTACAAAACTCTTACCACTGCTTCTGGATGGAAGCAAGCTCAATGCTCAAATGCATCTATCATGGAATGGGACTGCCTCTGGGTAGGGCTGACACTTCCACCTCGACTGATCTTTAGTGCATCCAAAGCCTTTTGTATTTCCATTGTCATGGCACTGTCGACACTTCCTGAAGAAAGTTTTTTGTGCGACTTCTGTAAATGGAGCTTCAGTGAGCTACTGCTCAAGCCAGCATTTTTGCCACATATAGGGCACACCTTCATTGTTGGTCTTCGTTGTTGCCACTCCATTGAAATTTTACCATGCAACATCAGATCAAGGTCCAATAAGATCTTAGCAAATCCATCATTGGGTTGGGCTCGCCGATGGACACGTTTCAGTGTGTTCCAGGCTTCCAGTAAGGTGTAGTTTCTGCATTGAAATGGAGAACGTTATCAGATAGATTAGAATAAAGATGTTCTAGTTTAGTGAAGTTAACAAGAAACTAATTAGCAGTTCAAAAGGTCCAAGGAGAAAGGCAATGGTTGTCCATAGAGAGTTACTCTTTCTTGTTGAACTTCACAGACTCGAGTGCCTAGAATGTTTGGACTCTAAAGAGCAGGGAAGCACAATCTTCAACAAAGTTACTACGATATCAATTCAATGTAAGTCATTTCCAGCTTTCAGTGCATGAGAATTGTCTGAACTAGAAGAACTTGATTGCAAAACCATTAACTTTCTAAAACCAATGCCTATCGGTGAAAATTAGCATAGATTATAAAAGAAAAAAAAGCTGCCAACAAAAACTCTTCAAGACAGAAGGCTAATCAAGTTCAAATATTTCAAACACATATCTCCTATTTTGATGCATGGTTTATTTGCACGTATTTGATGCGACAAACTTTTCAAAGGTGGGAGTACGACTTACTTCCTGAGCATAAGGTAAGCAAGGACCACGGTTGCACTTCGGCTTTTGCCTTCGAAGCAATGAACTAGAACCTTTCCCCCTTTTTGTTCAACATGATCTATGAAGTCATGAGCTTCTTTGAAGATATCACTGATGATTGTATCTTCGTTATCATAGACCTGTCCGCAGGGGGAAATCACAATCATGAAACTTTCTCCTTCCTAAATTCTTTAACAGCTTACTGGTAAATAAATAAAGACGCAAACCCAACAAACGTGAAGACCAAGCTAGTCAACTTAAAATTTTTTGGTGTATAGAATCTCGGATTCAAAACATACCCTACAGTAATAGTTTCAAATAGAGAACAATTTGTAGCACAAGATGAAAGTTCCCACCAGCAGAAAAGTAAATGTAAAAGCCCAAAAAATTGGCAACCAGATGGCACACTATTCAGACACTCCTTATGATTATTTGTATATCCAAAAGGATCCACAGTCAGCTGTGTCTCCAAAATGGCCCCAAAATGGATCCGGGAACGAAGGAATTCAATTAAGATGAGTGTTGACACAAAAGCAGAAGATAAAGCTAAGAGAATAAGGCTTCATCCCTAGAAGGAAAAAATGGGTGATGACCACAGAGGAAGGTATTCATCCCTAAAATGAAAAAGAAGATCCAAACACACTTACACAAAAGTTCTTGTATTCAAATAACTCAGGGAACTGAGAATCTGACTGCCCAATTTCATTAGCACACAAGCATAAGATGTGTGTAATTCCTAAATGTTGCAGAGTGTACAGAGACCTCGCGGCGAGTGCCCCACCTATGAACAGGCTACTTGAGATTGATGATGGCTTTTCTGTGTTTGCAGCATCAGATATCAAAGCTATTCTTTCGAGAATGTGCTCAAGCCTGACCTATAATGATCACAAGAATTTAAAACTTGATTCAGTATGAACTTTACTCTTTAGTCTTCAGTCATTACAAACGAAACCAGAGGCGCAAAACAAATTATAGTTATAATCTGAAGCCTTACCTTTAACTCATAAGCATCAACTACACAGTTACTGTCACTTCCCTCGAAGAAACCAGTAATAAAGTTGTTCTCTTGGCACAACTTAACAGCATCACTTTTAAGCATTTCATGCCACTGCTCTAACTCTTTATTTAATTCAGCATCCACCTGAAACAGGAATACCAAATAATTGTAAGGAATGTGGTTTTCCGAGTTTCAGTCTGCAAATTCAATACAATAGAGCAGTATCCTATACAGAAGACAAGAAGTAACCTAAAGCACATACAATGGATGTAAATCAAAAGAAATGGTGTCCCAATATCAGATAATGCATCAGAAAACAAATACTAGTTTGACACATCTCCTAACTTGTACAACAAAATAATACACCTTGGTGAATAGTAGGACGTTATTGGGTAATAAAAGGGATATTAAGAGCATTTAGGCCATAGCTAGAACTTCTGCACACTGAATATCTGGCAAATTAGGTAATTCGGGTATAACAATAGTTCTAAACTGACACAGGCTAGTTCTGAACTGACACAGGCTACCTTCACCCCAATCTAGGTGGAATTCATCACACATACTGCTACAAAGTGACCAACAAGCAAAGAAAATGGACCTTAGCAAATCTATGGAAGTCGCGGATCTTAGCCGTCAAACGCAGGCTCTGTACAGGTTCACTGCTCGATTTATTGAACTTCCCATGCCAACCTTCCCGTGAGTGTGGTGAGGCAGAATCTATGCTATCTCTACATCCTGGAGGTGACCACCTGGAGAATGAGGCATGTGGCTCCGTCTCATTTATATCTGGATTCTCTCCAACATTTCGTTCCTTGATAGGTGGAGATGGGAAATTACCAGCCTGTGATGGGGAACAAGGAACCATAAAATCTTCTTGGTCCAAGTCTCCAGAAGCTTTACATGTAATATTAAGAAATGTTTTCAACAGACTATCCAATTTTTGATGAAGAGTAAGTAGGAAAATGTGAAATCCTTGCAGGTCTCTAATTGCTGCTCGGAATCCACTACGAAATCTGTGAACAACTGATTGCACGTCAGTCACTGTATTAGTAGTTATGACACCTGAGCCTTCTGGAGGAGAACCAAGCTTTCCTGATGTTATTTCATACAAGAGTTCTGATGCATATTCAAAATTGTTGATGAGGAGCTCAACCAACTTGGGATAATTTTCTTGGTCATTTCCACGTTTTCCGGCAGGAGGTCTTCGAGGAACCCCAGAGTCTATTGCAACAATGTGGAAATCGGGGCCTGCTGATTCATTAAAATTTAGACTTCTGACACTCAGATTGCTAGATTTTGGAGATTCAGTGATGTCAGACATATCCGAACTCTGTGACACCAACACTGGATTGGGAGGGGTCAATCTGCTGTCCACTGAAGTTGCCCTTCTTTCCTTTTGAAGGGCTCGAATTACCTTTGGGCGATATCGATTAATTGCTGAATCAAAGGCAACCTCCAGTGCATCCATATTTGCTGTAGCCATTTTATCAGCCAACAACAAGTTTGCAGAATTTCCACGCCACCAAAGATGACGACAAGGAAGCCGATCTTCATTCCTTATAACAAGATCCAGCATCAGAACCCTGCCAAGGGCAGCTGCTGTTTTTTCTGCAGCTTCTCGAGTCTCAAATGCTGTCGCACTCTCTAATAAAGGGGAACCATGTATATAACTGCATATAAAATTGCATGGTGATGAGAAAGGAAAACAAACAGTTATAAAGGGGAGCACATCTTCCTACTTTACTTTATTTATTTACCACAGTGAATTACAATAAAAAAAACTTAGCGGTTGATCAATGGACGTGTAATTATACCCAACAACAATATCAAATGCTCATACAACTCGATGGGGCTAAAATGAACAATAAAGAAATGAATTTATGCTGGAGTTAAATAACTGATAAATTTCAAATTAAGGGTGATTGCATTCCAGAGCACAATATCGAGATATAAGTTCTGCACCCACAAATTTACTCTCAATGATAGATGGGGAAGATACTTAGGGCTGAATTTTCCACTTCACTTCTCAATCAGCAAACTGATTCCCAATAGACTATGATATCAAGAGTAAGCACATAATGTGGACAGTCCTCCACCATTAAAAAACAAGATTCTAGTCTCTCAGTATCTACCAGCAAAGTGTTTTCTATCCATGCAATATTAAAACAAAGAAAGAGCAGTGTCAGGTAATGTACACACTTCATCAGTAATAGGCATCGGCTGAGCTCAAGAGCTTCCAGCAGCTCCACACAAGTCATTTCACCAGCTTCATCTCCTTCTGCAATTGCAGCATCCTTCGCTTTTTCTGCAGCTTCCTTGATCTGCAACCACTCTGGACTGCTGTTGTGAATTACTCTAGCCTGCATTTTCCAAGATGTGAAAGTAAATGTCAATCAGGCTCAGAAGACGAATAAAAGCAATTGTTCTAGTAAGAGGAACAACTTGTGGAGTTCGAACACCTAGCCACTTTGCAAATTCATAGCCAAGGCGCTCTGATTGGGTAGCCATTCTAGAAGATGTTATCTTTATAACAGCAGCTGCTTCGCTGGGAGAAGATTCACCATCTTTTGATTGGTTGAACAGCGCAAAGAAGACTACACCTCCAGAATTAACAGTGACCTATAGAAATATATAATTTATTGAGTCAAAATATGAAAATAAAAATCAGATGGGCTAGGTTATGAGTTAGAAATCAACAGAAAACTACAAAAAGAAATGGCCAACTAGAAAGCACAATTTAAAATGTAACATCTGTAGCTTGGTTTCTTGAACATGATTGTATTTGCGTTTGCCTGGTTTTGAGAAAAATCAACAATTCCAGAATTATATTTCGGCATTTCCAAATATTTTATTTACACATTTTTCCAGCTCTAATTTTGTGGGAAAACTGATGTCTGATAACTACTCAGAAAACTTCGCGTACCTCAACCGCTTTATTCATTTCATCTTCGGACTGTTCAGCAGCACTACTACCATGTTCAGTGTGATGAAGTGAAGAAAGCATGTTCCAAGAAAATGAACTTGATTCGATATCCAAAATAGCAGCCTTGCCAAGTCTTTCCCACAGACTGACTTCTGTTATTGGCTCAGGAGGGGAACTTCTGACATCAGCACTTGACTCTTCTAAGCTGAATCCAAAATTAAAAAGTAAAAAGTAATTGTAAACAGCAGCACCAGTGTAAAAAATCAACAACCTAGAATCAAACTCTACGAAGCCATCATAGCAGATTATCTAAGGGACAGTTCAGGGAATGAAACAATAAAAACAAGAGCAAGGAAAAAAATGTGACTAGTTTTTTTGTTTTTTTTTTGAAGAAAATCAGTGGAAATAGTGATTCATTCTGAACATTCGGTAAGCACATCAATATTTATTGTTCCAAAAGGAGCCACACTAAAATCAACTTTTCGCTAAAAACAGGTACAATCAAGCACACGAAATTAAAAACTGCGATAAATTCCAGAAATGAGCCGGGACAATCAAATATCAACCTCAAGGGCATACTAGCTGTTCTGTGAGGTCTGTGAGGAAAACCTGAGGACCGATACTTGCCGCTTCGTTTACGAACATGCTCAAGCCATTGTGCGAAACGGTATGCCGGCCCAGCTGTAATGTCCCCCAACATGTACAATACCTGAGCAAATTTTCCATAATCACCATCACTACCACAAAAAAATGTCATTCATTCAAAGCCAAAAATGCATCAACAATTCATTATAGTGTTAGAGCACTTAATAAGTATCAAAACAATTGAACAAAACCACTGACCCGAGAAGTGACAGTTAGGGGCAATGGGGCCTCAGTCTCTTCCGATCCCAGATCAAATTCCTTATCTTCTTCTTCTCTCTGCATATATCCCTTGTACATAAATCTTAAGGAATTCAGGTTCTAAAAACTCTATATCTAACCACAATAAGCGGAACCCAGATCTGTATAATCTCCTAAGATTCACAAAAACGCATAAAAAAAGCTTGATTTTTGCATGATTCCACTAAATTCTTTTGGATTAAAAATAAGGGCATTTGAATATGTACTGTACAAACTAACAGCAAGAATATATTTATACTTCCGGAAGTGAAGGAACAGAGTAAGTGGACAGTCTTGAGAACACTATACCTGGAAAGCGTAAAGTTGTTCATTATTCTCGGTGTCCATTTTCCCTTCTTTTTCGAGACAATGCAATTTTTATTTTTGTTAATTTGTTTCCTTCAGCTTTTTCAGAAAGACCGGATCTTTTTCTTTCGTTTCCCGCTTTTATCTGAAGCAGTTGACACTTAACAGAAAAGGTTTTAACAAGAGGAAAAAAATTTAAGAATAGAGATGATGGGCACTTGGGCAAAACACAGAGGTTTTCTTGGACAACAACAATGGAGCGAGAGTGGAACTACTAAACTGGGAGTGTGTGTAAGATTTCATTTTTGTCGGTTTTGGACGGTTGCTTTTGGGCGGTTTTTCTTTTTCTTTTTCTTTTTTGTTTTTATATAGTGCCAATTTTATCCATAATACATAGTTGAATTTCATTTAAGAGACTATAGTGTTGTGACTGAATGACTTCTTGTTTAATTATGTACATTACTACTCTTATTTAGGTAAAGATCATTGTAAGGAATTGTGAGTACTCATCAGTAGAAAATGTAGACATGCATGGAGATAAGAAAATTGCCTAAATCTCTATGTAAGTATTCCTTTGAAGATGATGGATGAATAAAGATTCGTCCTTGTTTGGACGTCAACTTACATTTCATTTTGACACTTAAAAGTAGAAAGTGTTTCAAATTGAAAACTAAATGGAAAATAAAAATGTTGTTTGGATGTTGGTTTTGAAAAAAAAGTATTTTGAACTACATTTTAAAATATCAAGTACAAGTCATCACTAAACAATTAAATATTGTCAATTATAGTTATTGCAAAAAAAAACTTTTCCGAAAACAATCACTCAACAACAAAATCCTGCCAAATTTGTCACTGAAATATTTTTAGTTCTAAAATAGTCATTACAATAACAAAAAGTGAAAGTTGTTTGAGTGATATTTTTTCTTTACATTAGATTTTGTGTTTAAAAAGTAAAATGAGTTAAAATATAAAATGAGTGAATAAACAAACAAAAAAGCGAGAAACTCTGCCATAACTTCAACTACGGATGAGCATAAAAATCTGTTTCCCTCCGTCCCAAAATAAAATAATTGCTCTGATGAGCGCTACTTCGGAATAGAGGGTTGTTTGTTCAGCCGGTGAAAGTGGAGAATGAGAAATTACAAGCTTGCTACAAAACATGTCTCACTCATTTACATCTGCTCTTCTGCCAGTACAACCTCCTAAAATTGCAGGCGAAACAAAGAGCCCTTGAATGTTTCTTTTTTTCCCCCATTGAACCTTCAATCTGTCCAAATCCGAGAGCTGAAGCAATCACCTCAAAACAAAACCTCATATATTTTACTTTTCTGCTTTGCACACGCCAAAAAAATCCACTAATCATTACTTACAACCTTTGAATCTATTTACTCTATAAAAATTCCTATTTCTTCAGAACATTTCTGGCAGAGGCCTGCCTTGCAAGAATGATTGAAATAGCACCAGGGATCTCTCCGGCTGCGAAAATGGAGCTTCATGAGAAGCACCTCTAATGGTGGCAAATGAGAGTACATTCCCATATACTTGAGTCCATCCACCAACCTGTAGATCATCAGATAAACTGGAGTAAATTTCCATGAGGACAACATCAGGAAGTGGAGTAATCCAGCCAAAGCTAGTATTGAATCACATTGTAATGATCATTTTGGTTTAGTTTTGAATTATTCTACCTGCTGGCCTGCAAACCAAACTCTATACGGCGTGGTTGCATTCAACCCGAGTTGTTTTGCCAATCCATTGACTAACTTCCGGCTTCCAGTGAGTGGAATCACAGAATCCTGATCACCACTGTGGTAAAGTATTCCTTTAAGATTAGTTAAAGTCGAAAATAAAATGTACGCAGATAAACCAAAAGGGCCAGAAATGATTAATGCAGATAGTTACCTATACACCAATACTGTGATTCCTTCCTTGACAAGTGAGCCCACGATGGAGATTGTAGGAAGCTCCAAGTTAAGCACCTCATAATCCAAAATCCTGTTCAAAGTAGAAAGTTAGTTTCCTAGTACATTATAAGCTTGTATGGTTGCCAGAAATATGCCTTAAACAAGAATGAATATTGTGGCAGAAAAGCATTACTCGCTGCAAACAAGCCATTTTCGCACTCCTACGAGCTTTGCATGAAACGCCCTCTGCACGTCTAGCCGGTTTAAGTAACTGACAGTTTCATCTTCTATACAAACATCGATATTCTCTGCACTTTGCTGGTCATTAGCCCAGAAAAAACCCTTGTTACAATCAAGAAAACATATCTGAAGCTTCACAACTGCAATAACCTCCAACTGATAAGGCAGAAATGTATTTATTAACAAAATGCTGGAAGGGGGGAAAAACTTACTTGTGGTTTTGGATTAATGATCTTGGATTGGGAGAGGACCGATGAAATGCAAACATCAAGCGTGACATCGTACTTATCCACGAATCTGCTGGTTTCTCTAGTGACTTGGTTCATGACCTTTGAGCAAATTGGTGAAACAGAATCTCTGTAGTACTCACTCACATATCGAGAGTAGTTGCAGAAGGAAGTGAACAATCTGTAAGTTGAATCTGATATTAGTCCATGAGACCAGAAGTACTCAGCTCTTGAGTTCAAGTCTGTGGCATATTCAAGAACTGGATTCCCCAGCTGCAAGTAATAAAATAATGACAAAGCAAAAAGGACACATTAGTTCACAGCATATGCATTGGAAAAAAAGTAGATGAATTTCTTATGTAAACTTTTCATCCCACTTTCTGACTTTTCACCAACTTTTACAGATGCTTCAAACTATGAGGAAAAGTGGAGTTTCTGTATCTTGTTGGAGGTTAAGAGTGGAAGAAAGGATGATGATCTTTTCTGGTAAACTTTTTGGTGATCAATCATTCTGTTATCAATTCAAGCACTAGCGAAAGAGGCTTCTATTGCTTTTGTTTCTGGAAGAGTATTATAATTTCACTTACAGCAATTCCTTTCAAATTGAACAGCTTTTCCTTTTTGTTGAATTGAATCATGAGCTCGGCAAGCTGGGGTATATAGTGGCCTGATGAATCAAACAAAACAAAAGATATTAACACCTTTTGGGGCTAATACTAATAAACAAGATACCATCTTTACAAAGATACCTGCATAACTTTCTCCAGTGATAAATAAATCTCTGCTCCTATACTGTGGGAATTTGAGGAACCAACGCTGCAAGAACACAAGATTGTCCCTAGCTGAAAGGAAGGCCATGAAAAATATTCAAATGAGCTGATTGGCATATGGTAGTAAATTATTCAACCAAAAGTTAAATTTGGATCCATTTCAAAAGCTCTAAATCTTTCTGCAAAAATGCATTCTTTAACAGATTTTCCAGGCCAAGAATCTCCCTTGAAAATACTTCCATATTGAATGATTGATTCCCAGGAAAATTCTACAGCAAATTGGAAATTAACTTACCAGTTATTGCATCACTAACAGCATCATAGCCGGAAGGATCAGTTGAATAAGAGAATCCCACCCCAACAGGTGTCTCCAAATACAACATATTTGCCTCTGCATTTTCCAAGCAAAGATCATTGCTTTCCAACTTGATTTGAATTAAGAAATTGAGAACTGTATTCAAGGATCGAATTCCTAATTCTCACCTCTATTCCAGCTATATTCATTCCTCACAAGAACTTGCCCATTTGGTCTAAAAGGTCCATTTTCAGAAAATGCACCTACCCCAAGAGAAGAGCAACCAGGTCCTACAAGAACAGAAAGACAGAATTTTGGGTTAAATCAGAGGGCATTAGTAACGGTAGCAATTCACTGAAAAGACCCTTTAACATTCCAAAGACAATGTATGAAGAAGAATGTTCCCCATACCGCCATTCAACCACAAGACCAAAGGTTTTGAAACACAATCTATCTCTGCCTCAACAAAGTAATAAAAGAGAGCTTTTCCTTTCTTGTCATCAACAGTAACATAACCTGAAAACTGTTGGAACCCAACTTGTGGCTGTCCAGGAAGCTGGGTAATTTTGTCAGGATGAGAAAATGAAGGGAATGAAGATGCAGACTCCAGAAGAAAACACAGAAGAAGCAACAACAAGAATGCCATTTTCCTTTGTTTTTTGAATCTGGTGATGGGTTCAAGAAATTACTGTACAAGGTCGATGATCATGTACAGAATTGGGGAAATGCACATGGAGCTAGTGAGGAAGTGGATTGAGTGATGATATATAGTGATTTTTGCTAGTGGTGTGGCATGAAGTCATGGCCTTCTTATTTAAACAAATAGCATGCCTAGTAATTTTTGATTTTTTTATTGTATAGGTAAAATCTTTTCTCACCAGCAGGCCTAAAACAGCTAATTCATGAGTTGAATGTGGTGAAAAAGAGAGTCACTTGATCAAAAAAATGAATTTATTGCACTCAAGACTCAAACTTTTTGACATGGGATCATTAGTCAGCAAAAGGGATGAGTTGTTTTTTGAAAGTGAAAACTGAAAAGAACCTCAGATTGTAAAAATTTTCCCTTCAGTTTGTTGATGTATATAGATAGACTTTGCTTCTCTTCTCTAGAAATATTCTGAATGTGTACAAGGTGTTAAATCAGCATCATACCATGCCATGCTTTTGGGCTCCAGTGAAAAAAACAAGGCAGGGTATGTTCACCAGAAAGTGGCTTTTACAGGATTACTTTTTACCATCTCAAACAGTGTGCAACTATGGCAAGTATGATAGTGTCTCTTCCAAGGCCAACCCTTTTTAACTTCATTTTCAAGGAAGAGTATGATGCTAGTTTAGAATTTTTATCTTTTGTATTGTTTTGGCATGAAGAATCGTAATATTACTGCCAAGAACATACAGTACAGCTTCTTTATGGAACTGCTAAATTGCTTCTGTTTGGTTGGTTTTCATGATGTGGTAGAAGCATTAACATCACTGCCCATCCCATTTTCCTGATTTCCAAGGGATTTTTTACATGATGTGGTCGAAGAAATTTCTGGGTTTTTTTTGGGTTTTTAAAATTCAAGCACCTACCCAACTAGGATGAAAGAAACTATAAAAATTGTTCCAAAATACTACTTCATAATGGAAGAAACAAAATGAAGTGGATCAAGGCACAAGTACATTTATGTATATACAAATCACCAATGTGTACTAGTTTCAACTTTCAACTGAGGAAGACTTGGAAATTGGAGTGCAACAATGAGTAATGGAAGAAACAATATGAAAGTGGATCAAGGCATTATCTAGATTTGTGTTTTTACTAATATCAATAAGGTAGGCTTGAGCCTGAGGAAGACTTTTTTAAATTTCTTTTTTACCTCAATGAATAAAAGTGTGCTTCTGGTAATGATGAGGTTTCCACTAGCACAGGTCCACACTCTACACCAATTGATAGTCCACAACTTTTTTCACACACACACACACACACTGTAACCTAAAAACCATGTTATCCATCATAAGCTAAGGGCAAAAGGGTCCCCCATTCATCTCTGAAATATGCCATTTTTTTTTTACAAGAGGAGTGATAGAGAAAATACACTGCAAAATCTTTTCTGTTTCCCACTAGTATTAACAGCCAAATTCAGACAGATAGATAAAAAAAAATTAAAAAAAAAACTCACACACACACACCCACACAGAGAGATGACATGTATTATAGCAGCTTCCCACTTGAGCTGCAACAATCATAACAGGTATAGACTCATTGTCCATGTCTTCCAGGACCTCTGTTCCCAGTGCTAGAAGGAATAAAAAAGTGTCATAGATGGAGGCTTTTCCTTAGCTAATGCTTCTTTTTTTTTTTTTCTGTAGTAAAAGAAATATCCATGAAAAATTGTCTTGTCCTGTTTATCTTATGCATAGTGGTTCAGTAATGTGCAATGAAATGCATTGGGGTTGAGGAAGAAACGCTCAAATCAAGGTAATTTTGTCGTCTAACTGTCGTGCTGACATGGAGGATGCCATAATGGTGGTGGCAATGGGGTTAGGGAGAATAGGGATTACTCCATCTCCATGCCTAAGTTAAAAGCAACTTTTAGCTTAAAGGAATGTTGATTTACAGATGAATTTTTGTATAGTAATGTAAATTATTGAGTGAAATTGTATAGCAAATTATGTGTGCAACAACCGTAATTATTCGTTAAATGGTAGAAAATCAGTAAACATTAGTACATATATGTTGACATTGCATGCATTTCCATTAAATGAAAGGCTTTTTCTAGTAACGACAGCGTCGATAGTGACTGAAAATTCAAAATGAAAAAATAATGGTGCAAATCTCATAGTAAGAAATTCCAAACCTCCTCATTTCTTATCTATCCTTAAAAAAAATTTTTTTTTTAAAAAAGAACCCTTTTAGAGTCTTGATTTGTGTGCATTTACCCTTAATTGTCATGAACGAGAGAAGCAGATGTTGCTTAACATTTTATACGCCATTTTCTAAAGGGTCTTTCTAGCTCGTTACAAAGTAGAGCCTCTTTTTCCCTTTCTTCCTAATTTTATATTTCACCATCACACATTATTCAGCTTCGATCGTGTTTGTTTGTGCTAATTGTTTAGAATCATAACAAAGGTTATCATTTGTCTCTTTCCTCCTCCGTTTCAAATTCTGCTACCCCTTTTCCCATACTCTTTACATTGTAGCCTTTTTTTTTCTTTCTTCTTCATTTCCCAAAGCAGCTTCGTTATTTTCCCAGAAGATGTCCCACACTCTCGCCCTTTGTCTCCGTGCTTCATCAAAGTGCCCGGATTCAGCGGCTGTTAGCTTCAACTTGAAGCACAATTAAGCATTTTTCAGACACTTTAGATTAGTCAAAGATTTTAGTTTTGATGATTACAGTTAAACCCACTCCACCATCACTTAACCACCGACTCGTTTGACATCCAAAAAGAGAAGAACACGTGACTTATCTTACGTGCGATTGCATGCAGTGAGATTGAACTTTGACCACCTAAAAGATTTACCTAGCTGTGTTTTTGTTCCCCCAGTGATTCTTGCATCACAAGCTACAGTTTTGTTTGGTTGAAATAAGTAATTCAACTTTACAACTGGAATTCTGTTTCATCTGTGACAAGATATGGAAAAAACCAAAAAACTTGAGCAGTTGTGCCAGGTCAATCTACAAACTACTAGTACGAAGTAATTAGGACTGTATGGCAATCTTTTTTTGGTACTGTACAAAGGTTCTTTACAAGGGCCTCTTGCCGAAAAGATAAACCTGGTGAAAAACAGAGACAGCACCAAAGGAAAAAAAAATCTCATTGAAATTGATAATCACAAGAATGCAAAATCTTCGTTCATACTTAGCCAAGTTTTATACAAATGATTACATTTCTCGCTGGAACTATACCTCACCCTCTACTTCCCAAATGGTGGTATAACTGATACAAAGACGACTTTTCAAACCAGGAAAACTGAAAATGGAATCAATAAAACAAAAACTAAAGTGAACTACCTACAAATGCCAGAATCACGAAGAGTTGTCCGACTCAACACCTGGCTTGCCATTAGGAACAGATGACTGTTCTATTTCCCTCCGGGAGGCTTCCCACAGCTGCTGCTCTATTCCCAACTTCCTAAGCTCTGTTAGACCTCGTTCAACTGCACCAAAGCATACATATCATGTGTCTTACGTCCGGTAAACATCACACAAACAAGCCAAGCGATGTCCTCCAACCCCCCAAAAAAACACATACGCTCGCTGTCACACAAATAATCAGGAATAGAGTTTTTAGAAAGAGTAAAAGACAATTGTGTAAAGAGAACAAATGAATCCATAAGAATTATTACCATCAACGGCATAATGTGAAGTTGGAGACTGGGAACTACGACTAATCCAAAATTGAAGTCTCTCTTCAGCTATGTCCTCTTCCACACCATGAACTTTGGCTCTTCTCCAGAAATATATAAGCCAAGCCTGTTCAGTATCACAAAAGCCAAGTCATTAAACATTAAACAGCTATTCAATTACTAAATATCACACAACCACAGATGATCCAGAATACAATCCTAAACTGTTAAGATGTAAATATATCACAATCCCATTATGCCAAATAAAAAACGAAGACATAATCTTTCTCATATTTCTATGGACCGAGTGTTTTTCCATTATATTTCAGATGCCTTGCTATTTTTCTTGTTCTTTTTCCTTCTAACAATAAATGCAATTGGGGGAAGAAGAAAAGATCTACTTCAATATCCGAAAGAAAGAGCTTTTTGTCATTCTTTCTACCACGGGATGATTATAAAGTTTCCAAAAGAGAGAACAAATTGGACCATGCAAGAAAAAAGCAGATGGCACCTTAAAGAGAATATTCACAACTGATGGTAAAATACCACCACTTCTTAAGAGAACATTCTCCACTATTATATATAATAGCACTTAAAGCAAGGAGTCTGATCTTGAAAATCCAAAGCAACAGCAGCAGGATGATTTACCTCCTTAAAGTGAACATCTTCTGCTTCTTCTTCACTTAATTCTGCAATAACCGAGCTTATTAGTCTACAACATTTGCCTTCTTTCTTACTTAACAAATTTGAGTAACCCTACAGATGAATTTACCATTAAATCGTACGCTAATTTTACTCAAAAGTCTCTTGAGTTCAAATTGTGACTAAGAGCAAGGAAAACTGTTATCTGTAAGATTTGAACCTATTCAAAAAAAGAAAAGCTAGTAGTTCTTCTAGCAACATTAACATTAAGAGAATAAGTAAAAGAGGTCTTTACCAAATGCCTCAAGATATTTCGTTTCACCAACTGATTTAGGGTCTGCAACTCAAGGAGAAAAATAGTATAAGGTGAAACATTTTAATCCAGTGTCAGGTAATTTAGTAAGAAAAGATGTCACAATAAATTATTCACATAAAATGAATTTGTTTGACTGATTTCATTCAAATAATAAGCATGGTCAGGAGAAGAATGACGAATATATGTTTTTAGAAATACCTTTATGCTGAAAAGGTATTACTAATATAAAGTGAGGTGTGAATTCTACAGTACTTTCGTCGTTGCACCCCTCTCTGACTTCAATTCCTTTTAGTTAGCAAAATAAGATAGATATATATATATATATATATATATATATAGTTAGAGGGACCACAAACCATTGCCACTTGTCAATTAATAGCAACTCCACAATTCTTTTCCTCTACCATGTAGATCATAAAACACGTCAAATCTGAAGGTTTTTGTCATTTGTTAACCCAATAATCTAATTGGGTTGCCCTTTTCTCCTTTTCTTTGCCTTTTCCTTTTACTAATTAGACTACTTTAATAGACTTTTAGATAGTTATTATAAAAGATTTCAAATACTTTCTTATATAATTATTACTCTATCTGTCCCGAACTAATTGGTCCAAATAAATACTATTTTCATGATCGTCTTCCAAAAAAACGAAAAACAAAAATTTCCGAAACCTTTTTGTGTTATTGATGCAAAACCTATTAGCATTTTTCTCAATTATAAGCAAATGTTTAATTGATATGACAATTGATAAAATGTATCACATTTCATTTAACGCAAAAAATATTATTACTTTGAATGTTTACAAATGTTAGTTTAATTATTAAAAAAATATTATTTTATATTTACGCACGGGCAAGAAAAACCTAGTACTCCTAGAAATGTTAATATACTCCTAGTAGTGTTCCTTTATAAACAGTCAGTATGTCTAGACCAGAAAATTTACAGTCAGCACCAATTATCCTGGAAAGAATTGTTCAACTTTAAAATATCAGGTGTTACTCAAAAGATCTGGTTAATAAGAAAAGCCTAACTGGGAGGATTGTCCATACCCAAGAAAGATTGACGCAGCAAACTTGAACGTCGATGTTGAGCCAATGCTATCACAACCGCATCCTCAACCTAATCAACCGAAGAAAAAGATAAAATAATTAACAAACATAGAGTATAATGTAATTTCAAGTAACTGAAGGAACAACTACTGTAGAAAAATAGGGGTACTACTCTCATTATTGGTCAAACAAACATATTCATACGGGCAAATGGAATAACATTAGATGCATTCCAATATAGATATGGTCCGGTTTCAATTATAAACTGCATATCTAAGATTCAATCTACAGTTCAAATATATGTTCTAAGAAACAGACAGATCGATGATTATAGATTGTCAATAGAGTTGAGGTAGATTCGCAAATTACCAGATAGAAACAAATTTCCATAACTTTAGAGCAACACCCGATGGAAGGAGAAATAGATAAGAGACAAAATGTATAACGACTAGATTTGAGTCAAGTGAAAGAACAATAAAATAAGTAAACATGCACCTTCAAAGAAGCTAGTTCCCTTAAGCCCATTTCAACTGAAAGCATGCTCTCAATATTTCCGTCCCCTGTTAAGTCACTCAAATTGCGCACATGTTTGGTTTTCCTATCATTATCATCTCCACCTGATTAAATTAGGGACAACAATGCCGAGCATCAAACAAACAGACAACAGTTAATGACTTAGATAACACCGTCCAGATAAAAGGCAACCATCAGAGAAAGTTGATACCGGTCCAAGACTCTTCTCTCGCCTTCTGGCCTGCAGAAATGACGATTTCAAATGGCAGGGGTGCTAAAGAAGACCAGTACTCATGCTTTGAAGCTGCTACATCAGCACAAATGCCTGCAAGAAAGCGGAAACCCATGAACATGAGGACAGCTCACCATTGGAACCTTCACCACTAACTGAAGTTACAAATCCCTAAGGAGCAAGGCCCAGATAACAATATCTTAAAGCCAAAGATTCGGCTACATTTTAGCATTGATAACTGAATCTCCGGAATAAGGAGAACCATGCACAGATGAGACTGAATGAAAAAGTTAAAGATTGCAAAAAGCTAGATGCCTTTTGCTTGATGAATAAAACCATACGAAAATTACCATGGCGTACAGCAAGGTCCCAATACCGAGCAAGCCAACACCTCTTCAGGACAACCTCCTCCTAGATTGCCAACCAAACCACAAGCAGAAAGAAATGGAAGAGAAATCATGATAGTTAGGAATTGTGAACTTTGTACAATGCACTATTGCACTGAGCACTTAGTGACATCAAATTTTGCAACATTACCATTTCTTCATGAGATAAAATCATTCTTTGTGTCATTACTCGGAGGGATTTAGCTTCTGATTCAGCTTCTCGTAGCTGCTCCATAGCATTATTTGTCTCATCTTTCAAGTTCTGAAAATACCAATCAATACGAATATATAATGGATCTCTTCCTTCAAAAAGAAATAAATTAAACACATGAGTATACAGAATAGCATTCCCTAACCTCAATCTCTGCTCGAAGGGATGAAATTTCTCCATCTCTCCCATCTTTTGTTTGTTGAGCCGCTTTAAGAGCAGCCTAGAACAAAATTAAAGAGGCAAATAATTGCAAGAATTATAAATAGCAATATATGAAATTAACTACCAAAGAGCCAGAAAAACTTGAGAAAAACGAACATTAAAGGCCTCAGCAGATAAAGATATCAACATTTTCCTTGTGTATAGTGTGGTCTGGTAGTGTGTTTGAATAACTGATGACACATATATCGGTACAATCAATTAAAAGAAGAGTACTGCAGATAAAAATATCAACATTCTTCTTCTGTACAGTGTGGTATGGTGGTGTTCCAATAACCAAAAACCGGTAACTGGTGGCACATATATTGTCACTTCAATAATCAAACAACCGCTGATTACCTCCCTCTGTCGGAGAGCTGCTTCCTTCCTGCAAATAGAGATAGGTCCCACATCAATAAAAAATGTGAAGAATGATACACCACCAGGTGAAATAAATATTACCTCATCAATAACTTAGCTTCCAAAGAGACTCCTTCTCCAAGGTTAGCAACCTGATTATAGGAAATCCACATGTAAGCAACAAGAAAATGGGAGGGAAAGAATCCAATTTTGGGGACAGTGAAAATGGATGCAATGAACTATATTTTTCCGCAGTACCTGTTTCTCGAGCTCTCTAGCCCTGGCCTCTGCTTCTTCACGTTTCTCTTCTGCACGTCGAAGCTGTAGAAATTATCAGCACCTAGTTATTAGAGTTAAGTGACCACATTTTTATAGTAGAATTTTAGGCCATAGTAATTTCAGTTGGAAGGAAGTTCTTAACAGGAACCACAAGAGGGAAGTATAACAAACAGAAAAGAGAAGAGAGTCACCTTATCCAATATAGAATCATTCTCTTCTTGTAGCATATCAAGCTGCAAAAATAATTAAGAGTCACTCGTCAAAACCATGCACAAGCACTTAGTGATCTACTCATCAATGAAGGATTTCACGGGATGCAGGCACAGACCAATAACATTCTATACACTTTTAGTTACTCACAACTCTAATCCTACCAGCCCAAAAAATCATGTAGAATGCAAACCAAATCCCTTACTTCGTCTCGAAGAGCTGACACTTCATGTTCAGTAGCAGAACCTTTTGAGGCAGCACGGCCAACATCAGATGTAAACCTGAATTGACAGTCATGTAAGCAATTTACATTAGAATACTGAAAACATTATGAATGATTTAAAAGAACTAGATCCTTTAGCCTAAACATGCAGCAATATTCCGATAGTAATTGGGGCACAAAAATGTCAACGGCGTCAACAACATTCAGAGAGTTCAAATTAGTTCTATACACAAGTCACATTTCCAGCCCCAATGTTTGCAAAAGTACTATATTGGTTTAAAACTGGCGCATTGAGTCCCAATGTTTCAAATTATGAAGATAGGTCCCCCTAACAATAAACAGGAATCAAAAGAGTCCAACTCAACTGGCAGCAGTCAAAACCACTGGTTTTGTTCCAAAACTAGTTTGACCAGCTATGCTGGTCCTTAATCTTTTAAAACTAGCAGATATAGTCCCTATAATCAATGGCTTCAAAACTAGTTTGACCAGTTATTCTGGTCCTTAATCTTTCAAAACTAGCACATATAGTCCCTATAATCAATGGCTATTAATAGTAAGTTCACAGCTGTACGACCAAGTCTAAAACAATGAATCATAGTTTGATGGAGGAACTACAGCAGTACTTAAAATGGTAAAACCAAACTGAAATCAGTATTTAAAATGCTAAAAATAACCTTACATAAGGGGAAAAAGAAACTCACCTCTTTTCTCGTAATCTATTATTTGCAGGTTCTATTGGTGGGATGGCAGTTGGTGTTCTCAGTGACGATCTACTCTGGGGCACAACAGTAGCCGTGGTTGAACGAACTGACATTGAAGGTCTTCCAGCAGATGTTGAACGAATCGAAGGAGAGTGATCCATAAAGTTCCGACCTAGCTAAACACCATAACATCAAATTAGCAATTACAATCGCAAAATGGAGAGCCACACAATGTACAGACATGCAGTTGATATGTAACTTCTATACAATCAGGAATAAAAATATTTGCTTCTGAAAAACTTATACTCTAAAAAAATTTATACTTAAAGACATGTATACTCTAAAAAATCTATAGGAACCTGAATACCAAAACAAAAAGCTAATACCAAGCTATGAAGGCTATGGCCAATAATCTTACTTCCCATATCAATAAACTAATTCTCCACTTGTACACAATTGAAGTTCAAAATTCTCTCCGGACATTCTACTTCGCAGAATTTATTCAGCTCTAATCCTACCACATAAGCATTAGGACTTTATGCAGGTATATGCAAAGCAAACTATAAAAGCAAGTGAGACTCATGGAACCAAATATCCCCATGACAATAGTCAAGTCTCAGCACAAAAGCCATCAAATTTCGTTCATTTGAATGGAGGTCAAACTTAAATGGTTTCTGATAGTATGCCAAAATTGAAGACATCAATAAGCAACCAGACTTACCGCAGGCGACGGCGATCTATTAGGTTTAACAAGCGAGACTGGCGCCAATCCGCCGTGACTGTTGCTATTACTATTATTATTATTCACATGATTAGCTGAAAAACCACTAGACGGGGGAACGCCACCAAACCGGAATCCTAGATCATCGTCTTCGTCGTCGTCGTCCGCCGTAGCCTGGGAAGCCATAACCTGAGCAAGGCGCTGAGCGGCGGCCTTGGCGGCGACATTCTGAGTCCGCTTAATGGTAGACATGCCGCCAGCAGCCGGCGGCAACCTCGATCGTGGATGCGCCGGCGAACCTACCGGCGACGACGAACCCGTGCTGCTCGATCCCCCGCTCCACTGGCGAGCATACACCGGACTCTCCGTCCTCCTCCGATCCATTTAAAGCTTGTTCAATGGATTTTGTATAACTTTTTTGTATATATCTACAGCTATGTATATACGTGTAGATTCTGTGTCTGTATAAAAGTATCAGAGCTAGATTTCTGGAAATTGGAAGCTAAATTCTCTCCCCTCAAAAATCAGAATTTGGACAATTGGAGAAGAAAAGCGTTGAATTAGGAGCGAATTTGTTCAGAATTGGGAGTGAGAGAGAGAGAGGGAAAAAGAAAAAAAAAAGAAAAAAAGTAATGAAAAGTAAATGGAAGCGGTGATCTGTATTTTTGCTGGAGTGACGACTAGGCCAAGCGAGCCCAACTTAACGACGTCGTTGTTTAAGGATAATGACACGGACAAGACAAATTTGGTTAAAATTGCTTTATTCATTTATGTTCATAAGGTCTTTCATCCGAAAATGAATATTTGGTTTTACCAAACCAAAATAAATTAGTAGTATGAAAATGAGACGAAAAGAATGAAGAGTATTTGTTAGTTAAGTAGTTATAACTGATGTTGCTTCAAGTAGGTACATATTTGATTGTAATTATAAAGCCAATAAAGATGGGAAGTTACAATGTTCATGGAAATGCTCCCCTCTAACTACAATTATATTGTTTCTTATATCGAAGAGTAACTAAGGTTAGCCATTTTTGTTGATGATGTCTGATAAGGAGATGTAACGCATAGGGTGTAGCAGTGTAAGAACATCGACATATCTGTTATTTTTGTTTTACAGTATCAAATATTCGAACTAGACCTTCAATTTTTTTTTCTCCTCCTTGAAAACATAAATTTCATAATTTTTAACTAGTTGGTATATTTTATTTACTTACTAATGTATCGCATTTGTAAGTGAATATTTCATTTATTGTGTGTATGTTAATTTGCACAAATTATTGATAGGGTATCTGATTTAAAGTATGATTACGGTAATCTCTTAATTCTCATACCGATGGAGGAAGAAGAAAGGCAATCGAGTTATTTAGGTAACACAATGATATAGTCATCTTGTACCAATGAAAATATATGTATACACAGACCTAAGTAAAAAACACAACAATTGCAATAAGGATAATATCATATAAATCAAATCCCCCATTAAACCGAGTTTTAGCAACAGGGAACAAAAAGGTGTCCAGAAAGAATCAAATCCAATGTCACTACAGCTCCAAACAAATTTGTTCAAGCTAAAATTAAATCCAAAATTTGACTCTATAACAATTGTAACTACTACAATTTAAAAGCCTCCCTCAATTACCGAACACAATACAATTCAATCTGCTTAGTAGATCCTTTTTGCTTCTTTTTTTTTCTCTTATCATTTTCAGAAGATTTGGCATCCTAATCCTAGGCTTCTCCCTTCTTCTCAACGAGTTTCTCAATCAAATCAGCAGCTTCTTGGACAGTTGTTATGCTGTCTGAGCTCTCTTCCTCCACATTGATATCAAACTCTTCTTCCAGCCCCATCACAATTTCTACCTGCATAACATCAAACTCACGACTTTTACAATAGTTTTCTGTTACATTGTCGTGTAATAATCGTGTTATATTTTAAAAAACAGCGTCAAATCAAATTTGGTTATTTATGCAAAAAATAGTAAAAAAAAAAAAAGGGTGAAAAGTTTGGATTTGGGGGACTCACGGTGTCAAGAGAATCAGCTCCAAGTTCGGAAAATTTAGTATCGGGAGTGATCTGAGATTCTTCGGGTAAAGCCAATTGCTTCTTGACAATTTGAACAACCTTATCCACTGTCGCAGGCTTCGCCTGCATTTTCATTCAAATCCAGTCACAGAAAATGAGTACTCTGTTCGTCCCAAAAATATAGTCCACGATGTACAAAGAATCATGCATAAACTAACCGCGCAAGAGATTTGGAAACGGCGGCTGGCGGTGGCTCTTTTCCCCCAGCTTATAGATACCACATTTGGACCTTGAATTATCTTAGTTCCCTGATACTCAAAAGTACAAACAGATTACAGTCAACAGAGGAAATTTGGTTGGTGGAATGGTGGTACACAAATATTTTACAAAACACTCCGACACGCTCAAATTAAAACTAAACGTTACTTAGTAGTACAATTTGACAGTGATATACTTCCTGTGGGAAATTACCCACAATTCAGAGAAACATTGAATGCAACAATTTTTTAGTACGATGCAGATTTTTTTTTTTATTTTTTTTTTAGAATTAACACACATCTCTTCAAGGGCCAATAACTGTGACAAAGTACAAAATATAACTATATGAGTCACGAATTAACTTGCTCAAATTAAATTAAACCGCAGGATATTCTTAATCAATGTCGATAATTAAGAATGATGATTATTACTAGAATTTACCTGGTCGTTCTTGAAACCGTGTGTTAGGCAAGAGCCAAACCGGGCAACACATGTAGTTGAAAGAGATGCCATTTGGTCCGGGGGGAACTGGAAGTAGCAAATACAACGTAAAAGAGATGGACGCTAACAACAAATGGAGAGGAGGCTGTTGCTTAGTTAGAAACGAATTAGAATGAATCGAATTGGTAAATGATGAGAAAAAAAAGAGAAGATATGAGTGGTGAATATTCACCCGACAAACTCAAAACCCTATCTCATCTTCTATACATTTTTTTCTTCCCCTTCCATTTTCCTTTTTTTTTTTTTTTTAAACTTAAAAAGTGTATAACTATTCCATTCCCAAGTTGGCGGTGTTTGAATCAATCATTGGTTATTATTATATACTCCCTCCCTTCCGTCCTTAATATAAGACATTTTGATTTTATCATAAGTTTCATCTATTAAACATTTTTAATTGACGAAAAACTTTAAAAATATAATTTCAAGTTCGTTGTATTCCTCATGATTGTTATGAAATATTTTTAAGATTTTTTTGTCAAAAATATAAAATACATATACTAAATTAAATCTAGGACAAATCAAAATACCTTATATTAAAGACGTGAGAGTACGTTATTTATCGTCTTATCGTCTTATCTTATTAATTATTGGTCTAATTTGGTCTGAACGGTGAAAATCAGACTTTTTTTATTTGGGGAGACAATATATATAGTAGATTGAATCATGGCAAGGAAGCAAGCCCCTCTGTCCCTTGTTAATTTTCGAACAAATTCCAAATTGTGTCAAACTCTCGAATTTGAACTTTGCGGAGTCAAGAAAAAAAATGGGTCCTGATCTTTATTCTCACTATATGTATTACTTCATCTCTTTCTACTTAATTCTTCTCCTTTTGAAGAAAAAAAAAAGCAAATCAAAATGTAAAATTATACTGTTCCAATAAAATTAATTCACTTTATTATATTCAAGCAATTTGAGGCGGTCAATTTTACACAAACAGTTATACATAGTACGTTCCCATTGTCAGTTATATAAATATACATAGTAGTAGTAGTATATTTTGCCTTTTTATTTAAAGAAATATAATCCAAGTAATATAAGTAGTATTTTTTAACAGGCAAAACTTCCTAATAAGTACATAAGTATAGTTTGGGAAGCACGCATACGTGAGTCTATACGTATATGTATACAACTTAAAAGAAAAAAGAAAAGAAAAAAAGAAAAAAGAAATATTTGACTATTTTTGTTGATTTTTTTGACCGACTTCAAAGAAACTCCCGTAAGGCAGCCAAATTGGGTCAGCGGAGCCTCCACGAAGCCTCATCCACCGCCTTGGGCTCCAAGCCAAAATTCCCATTCCTCTCCCCCTTAATTTATTATTTTAGGAAAAAATGGAAAAACAAAAAATATTTATAGCCCTCCCTTTAAAAGCAACGCAGCAACCTCCATCACCTTCCAATTTGTTCCCCCATTCCGCCTCCCTTGTCTCTGTCGAAGGGAGCATATATTTCTTTATTGGAGCCATCTTAACAGATTTATTAACTCCTTTCCTTGAATTAAACCCCCCCAATTCTTTCCGTGCTGTTGTTTGCATTTTAACTTGGGGATATTATTTTCTGGGATTATCTTTTCTCATCGGCCTTTCTTCAAACAGGTAATTAGCTCTTATTGTTTCATTCTTGTTGCTTTTGTATGATTTATGTTTATCTGCATCAATTGGATTCACATGTTTGTTATATTGATTCCTGCAAATTTCCTTTCTGGGTTTTGATTGTTAAGATCCTCGCGTTTTTTGCAATTTTCTTGTTTTAGGTTCAAGCCTGCGTCCTAAACTGTTGTTTCTAGCTTCTTTTTCTTTTTCTTTTCTTCCCCCCCCCCCTCCCCCCCCAAAATGGTTTTCTGTTTTATTTCTTTAATGGAGGATCTTATGTTATTTGATAATAATCTGTTGCAAAATTGATGGTTTGGCCTCTCATATTGTGCAATTTTTAATTGAACTTCCCCGTTCCTTCTGTACAGATTTGTTTAGTTAAAAAGGCGAGAATTTTCCTATTTGAGGGTGTTTATTGTGACTCTGCCGCTCAACTGGGCTCTAGGGACTCTAGTGATTTGGCTTCTTTAGATCATAATATGAGCGTGCCAGCTCAGAGTAACCGGAGAGAGAATTGGTCAAGACATAGAGGTGTCCAAAGTGATCGGCGTGAGTGGGTACAGCGTGCTCCTGCTTCCCGTTCCCCTGCCACGGATGTTGCCAACACTGGCACTGCCACTGCCACTGCAGCTTCCAATGATGTGAGGCCTGCTGTGACTGTTGAAAGTGTTTATGGAAATGTGAGCTCAAATAGGCCGGTTCACCCGGCCAACCGTAACAGAGTACATCCGGGGTCAAGAGGCATCGTAGGTCATCATCCAAATCAGAGGAGGGAAAGGGAGAAAGAGAAAAGGAGGGATCACAATCAAGAGGCAAAAGGACCAAAGGATGCGAACCTGCCGTTACTTGTCCAAGAAATTCAGGATAAGTTGATGAAAGGTGCTGTTGAGTGCATGATTTGTTATGATATGGTTAGGAGGTCTGCACCAATATGGTCTTGCTCCAGCTGTTTCTCTATTTTTCACTTGGCATGTATTAAGAAATGGGCAAGAGCTCCAACTTCAGTAGACTTGTCTGCAGAGAAGAGTCAAGGAGTTAATTGGAGGTGCCCTGGTTGTCAAGCAGTGCAGCTCACATCATCAAAGGAGATTCGATATGTTTGCTATTGTGGGAAAAGGCCGGACCCTTCTTCAGATTTGTATTTGACTCCACATTCTTGTGGAGAGCCTTGTGGTAAGGTGCTTGAGAAGGAAGTCCCAGGTTCTGATATGTCAAAGGAGGATCTTTGTCCCCACACTTGTGTTCTGCAATGTCATCCCGGTCCTTGTCCTCCTTGCAAGGCTTTTGCTCCCCCGCGGATGTGCCCGTGCGGGAAGAAAGTTATTACCACAAGGTGCTCTGATAGGAAGGTTGTTCTTACATGTGGACAGCAGTGTGATAAGCTTCTTGATTGTGGGCGTCATAATTGTCAGCGGACTTGTCATGTCGGGCCTTGCGATCCGTGTGAAGTCGTGTTTAATGCCTCGTGCTTTTGCAAGAAGAAAACTGAGGCAATCCTTTGTGGAAGCATGTTTCTGAAGGGAGAAATTAAAGTAGAAGATGGGGTTTTCTCATGTAATTTTACCTGTGAGAAGAATTTGGGTTGTGGAAACCATGCATGCAATGACATGTGCCACCCTGGACCCTGTGGTGAATGTGACTTGTTGCCAAGTAAAATCAGCTCTTGCTGCTGCGGTAAAACCAAGTTAGAAGAAGATAGGAAGAGTTGTCTGGATCCGATCCCGACATGTTCGCAAATTTGCGGTAAAAGCCTGCCCTGCAGGTTGCACTATTGCAAAGACACATGCCACGCTGGAGTTTGTGCACCATGTCCTGTGCTGGTAACTCAGAAATGTCGCTGTGGGGCTTCTTCTCGCACTGTTGAGTGCTACAGAACAATGGACCAGACAGAGGAGTTCACATGTGACAGACCTTGTGGGCACAAGAAAAGTTGCGGCAGACATCGATGCAGCGAACGGTGTTGCCCTTTGTCTAATTCAAAAAGCCCTGTCCCCACTGACTGGGATCCACACTTGTGCGCAATGCCATGTGGTAAGAAGTTAAGGTGTAGCCAGCATTCATGCCAATCATTGTGCCATAGTGGTCATTGTCCTCCCTGCCTGAACACCATTTTTACCGACTTGACTTGTGCTTGTGGAAGGACATCGATTCCACCACCACAGCCTTGTGGTACTCCCCCGCCTTATTGCCAGCACCCATGTTCAGTTCCTCAGCCTTGTGGCCATCCATCCACTCACAGCTGCCACTTTGGTGACTGCCGGCCCTGTACTGTTCCAATAGCAAAAGAGTGTGTTGGTGGACACGTAGTATTAAGGAACATTCTATGTGGTTCAAAAGATATACGATGCAACAAAATTTGTGGTAAGACAAGGCAGTGTGGCTTGCATGCATGCGCTAGAACTTGTCATCCATCACCTTGTGATAGTCCTACTGAAACTAGTATGGGCAAGAGAGCTTCTTGTGGCCAGCCTTGTGGTGCTCCACGACGGGATTGCCGACATACTTGTACGGCCCTTTGTCATCCATCGGTGCCCTGTCCTGATGCTAGGTGTGAGTTTCCTGTTACAATTTCTTGTTCCTGTGGACGAGTGACTGCAACTGTCCCTTGTGATGCTGGAGGCAATAATGGTGGGTATATTGCTGACAATGTCTTGGAAGCTTCTTTGGTCCAGAAGTTGCCAGCACCCCTTCAACCTATTGAAGCAAATGCAAAGGTACCGCTTGGTCAGAGGAAACTGATGTGTGATGATTATTGCGCTAAGACAGAGCGGAAGAAGGTTCTTGCTGATGCTTTTGGTGTTACATCTTCAAACCTGGATGCACTTCACTTTGGTGACACTGCATTTGTTTCTGAGGTGCTTAGTGACGTCCTACGCAGAGAACCAAAGTGGGTGTTAGCTGTCGAAGAGAGATGTAAATATCTGGTTCTTGGAAGAGGCAGAGGTGGCATTAATGCCCTTAAAGTGCATGTGTTTTGTGCAATGTCAAAGGAGAAGACAGATGCAGTGAGAGTAATAGCAGATAGATGGAAGCTTTCAGTAAATGTTGCTGGTTGGGAGCCAAAAAGATTTGTCATTCTTCATGTTACCTCCAAGTCCAAAGCTCCAGCTCGCCTCCTTGGAGGAAAAGTTGGTATCTCCAATGGTATGTTGCAACCCCCATTGTTTGATCCTTTGGTGGACATGGATCCTAGACTTGTCGTTGCTCTATTTGATTTACCTAGGGATGCAGATATTAGTGCGTTGGTCCTGAGGTTTGGTGGGGAATGTGAGCTTGTCTGGCTGAATGACAAGAATGCTCTGGCTGTATTTAATGATCCAGCCCGAGCAGGTACAGCCATGAGGAGACTGGATCAAGGTTCACTGTATTATGGAGCTGTAGTAGTTCCGCAGAATGTGGGAACAACAGCTGCATCAATTACTGGTGGTTTCAGAGGATCTGGACCTTCCAGGGATGGGTCTCTTAATCAAAATCCATGGAATAAAGTAGTAATGCAGGAACCTGATGGAGGGGAGAGTTCATGGGGTGCGGAGGAGGAATGGACGGATAATGCTCTTGATCCGCAGCCAGCCACTCAAATGAGTAACGAATCTTCTATTTCTGCTCCCAACAGATGGAGTGCTCTAGACTCCAAAAGTAGTGTTCAAAGTTTTTCCACGACTACGGTGCGCAACAACAGTGATGCTTTGAGCAAACCAAGGACTACCGTGGTGTCAACTTTTGAAACGGGAAATAGTAGTAGTTCAGTTTTGACAGGGCAGCAGCCGCAGCAGCAAGAAGGTGGGGATGACGACGATGTTGATGTAGTGGATGATTGGGAGAAGGCGTACGATTAAGAATTTTTGTGACATTAATTTGTGGAGGTATTGTAGTATATCAGCTGGAATACGTGAGCAAGCAAGAATTTAGACAGTTGCTCATGCAGATTCATCAGTTTTATCGTATGTTTCTGAACCTTTTTAAGGGATGGTTGTGGTTACTTTTTGGTATCAACTCACAACCTTTTTGTAAATGTCGAAGGATTTTTTTTACTTTTATTATAATTTGAAATAAAAATAAAAATACAAACTAAATATTATTTATTTTATGACCCAAGAATGATAAACTTAACTTTATTTAAGCATACATCCAATACATACGTTTACAATAAAGATTTGGAGGATACATTAAATTCATCCACATTGAATTGATCCAAACTTCTAGTTCTAGGAACTAGGAAGCCGGAAGAATTCTTTTTATTTCAAGTAGTAATTACTAGTACAAAAACTAAAACCAAATGATGGGCCAACATATTCGGGCTCATGGATGGCTACTTATTGGGCCACGTAAAAGAGGCTGAAAATATAATGGGTTTGAATCTTTAATTGATCATGGAGAATTCTTCTCAGCTGCAGCCTGGTTCTCGAAAACCATAGGAACACCAGGGTTCCGGCAGCATAAGCAACAAATTTCTCCCTGAGGTGGTGTCCCGCAGCAATTGCAGCGTGGACAACGCTGAACTAGTTCTGCACGTAAGAAAAAGGTTCAAGTAATCAGATAAAAAAAAAAAAGAATATCAATAGAAATTTATTGAGATGATTATTATTTGTGTAACACTGTAAATCAAAAAATTCCAAAATAGTAACAGTTATTTGGGACGGAAGGAGCAAATAATGTTGTGCACATTACCACGAGTAGGCAGTCTTGCAGACTGGGATTGAACAACCAACATAGGAGAGACAACCAAAGCAAACACAACAATGGTGACCATTAAAATGGACCTAGAGGAAGTTGAGAGGATCGGTGCCATTTTTTTATTTTTTTTTGATTGTCAACTATCTTAAGATTTTTTTTAAAGTGATTTGCACTTGAGATATCTCGTTTGAGTGCCGATGATCTCTATTTATAGAGTTATAAGACATGCATATCATGCACTCGTGATTATTTCTCGAAAAATAGGACTATATTCTTATTTAATAATTTATTGATATGTGGATCAGAGTGTGAAATGTTGAAATTTCTTTGTGTTCTGCAAATTGCAGAAGAAATTTTCAAGATACGATAAGGATGATCATGTAGCAACTAGCTTAAGAATCAATTGCCTCGTGTTTGACTGCTTGACCATCAACTAGATGCAAGCCAACAAAAATTTTCGTATGCTTTAATTAAAAAATGTAATCGAGTCAATGATAAGTGGGAATAAAGTTGGCTTTAAATTATTATTTTTTTCTCAAATCAAAATTGTGTTATCCCGCCAAAATTTAACAGCGTAAATAATTTTGTTATAATAACAACTTACTCTGATTACCTTTCCAACTTCTCAAGATTTAAGTTTATTATATTTCACTTTAGAAGATTCACGTTTTTGCTTCACAGGAAAAAAAGAAGAACTGTGGACCGTGAAGTAAACTAATTCGTCTCCCTCCCTTAATTTATGGTAGATTGTTAGCGGGAGGAAAATATAACTAAATGAATCATAATCATTCATAATTAAATTTTACCTTTACGAGTTTTATGTATTTAAAAGTTAGTGAATAATTAAATTCCATTCACTCTACTTGCCATTACTCTTTTATGGTAATGTACTCGGGTTCGATCAATTTTGTTAGTCAATTATTTTTGCCAAAAAAGATGAGATGTTGTTGCCTAAAGCGTTATTTATAATTCGATCGCTTCAACAAACCAACGCATGTTAAATTCAACCAATAATCTGTAACTAAAACACAAATGTTTTAGGTCACTTGTTGTAAACTTGGAAGAGTCCCAAACCGAATTTGAATAGTATAACTTAGTCGTGACAGTAACTTTGATCATTCATTATATGTATCCTTTTTTTAAAAAAAAAATAATAAATAAATACTAATACTACCCTACAATTTCAAAGTAAACAAAAAAAAATATTCAAAGTAGTAACCAAATTTAAGGAACCGTTTATACCAATATAAGTTCATAATGACTTAATTACAGAAAAATTTAATCGACATAAACATCTAGCCAGAAAGTGGCTACACATATTGGGAATGCTATCACATTAGCATACCCTTACTAATAGTGTGACACAATTTACTGATGTACTATGCCATTTATTCCATAACTAATTAATACAATCTTGAATTTCGAAACCATCAATACTGAGGCTTGGAGATAAGATGAAAGCTGCGTATATGAATTTCTGTGGATGTGATGGAGCTGCCTTGTGTTTCAGTATGGTGGTGGTGGTGGTGGTGGTGGACAGAAGCAGGGGCAACAAGTGCCTGGTCTTGGTGGTGGCGCGCAGCAAACACAGGCCGGACAAAATATCGGCGGCGACTCGTAGTCCTGGAGGAGTTCTACTACATTCACACGGCGAGAAACACAGTCACAAATACGAAATAATATCTAGGTTTATTGACCACATATAGTTGACATTTGAGACAGTAATGCATGAAATTATCAAACTTCATACCCGTTTTGTTGACACTCCATCTAACAGAATGGACAATTGCACAAGGTTTGAAATAATAGTTTCATCCATCTTATATTGTAATAGTCGATTTTTTTACGTTTTATCGAAATAAAATGTTTTAGAAGAGGTGGAAGCCGTGAGGGATTAACATTACTTCTTCCCTCTCATCATAATATATATTATTTCTGTTTCAGAAATGAAACAAAAATGCAATTTATTCAAAATTCACCTAAATTCGAAAAAACATATTCGACTTGGTTCCAAGGCTTGAGCCTCTTTTTATTATTGTTAATTAAAAAAAATAAAAAGAGGAAGAAAAGCAGCTCTATTTATTTTGATTGTTGATCATATGTCAATTCTTCGCCTAAATTTATTCAACTATATCAACATAATTAAATCCTGAACGCATCATCGGTTTGGATTTTGTTCAGTATTATCGTTTCTTATGTTTACCACCAGCACCACCATGCGTTCCGACTCCATTGAGTTACTTGAATATTTTGGTTTCATACACTAATTTCGGTGGAGATTTAATAAAACTCTACTTCCTCAGCTAAAAGTCGCTAATATAATAAACGCAATAATTATTATTTTGACTCGAAGAAAAGTAGAAAATTCAAATTGAATAATAATTTTGAGGCATTTTCTAATTTGCGTAGTTTTCTTTTTGCGACACGATGAAGGACTGACTATATGCAGTAGATGTTAATAAAGTCTTAAAAGTTAACATTAATTAATTAATTAATATTAAAAGGGGAGAGGGACTACTGCCCATACCAAAAGAGGGGCCCAAGACTTTTATGGACTCAATCACCGAAAAAAACAGAAGGGGAATTTCGGCCCAAAATCATGCAGAAAAGGCCAAGGCGCCCCATCCATGCTAATCTTCTCTGCATCGTATAGAATCGTATCCAATTTTATGGGAGGATATACTACGGACGAGAAGCCGGGTTACATAAAGAAGCCCACTGAGCCTACCATCAGCGCCGAAATCTGCCAAGAACGTAAACTAAGCTCTCTTCTTCATTAAAGAATTAGGGCTTCCAATCTTAGATGTTCGATTTTGTGGGCTCAGCCTCCTTAGGATGCAGTTTAAGCATTTCCATCATCGACATCACAAAACCTTCCAAATCCTTAGGATGCAGCTTAAGCATTTCCATCATCGACATCACAAAACCTTCCAAACATCGTTTTAGACTCAGATAATACTTTTTGTGCAGACTTTTTTAGATCTTGGTAAACTTTTCTTTTTCTACAGAGATTTTCCCTGCCATCAAAATTATGACAGCGAGGTTAAACAATTTTTTCTTTTTTTTTGGGGGGGGGAGGGGGGTTCGCAAACCAGAACTTACATTGGAACAACTCCACCGCCTTAGACTCCAATACATCAGTAAAATCATCAATGGGTGATCAAGAAGGCCCGTGTTCTGAGTGGGTGACTTCCATTGCACATGGGGGAGGGGAGCAGGCCCCTGCCCATTTCTTCAGCCCAAAATGCTTCTTATTGATTGCGGCCTATTTTTGTTATGGAAAATTAAAAATTTCGGTAAGTAGTATAAATCTCAAAATTTATTATTAACAATTTTAAGAAGTCAGCCCTAATATATTTTCCATTGCATGAAATAAGTTACTAACACAAACACACAAATCAAAACAATAGTCCGAAGTCCGGAGGAAGCCATGTTTTTCCGCTTTACTTCCCCTTGCGTTGGATTATATTGCTTCTAAATTGTAATTAATTCCTTAACTAAAATAAACTTTCATTTCTGGCAGAATAATTGTTAGGTTTGTTATATATACGATCATTCTGACACGAGAAATAATATACTACCAAAGAATTGTAGGTGTACACTAATGGACCAAATGGGCTGTCAACATCGATTTATTATGTCACTCGGAAAACATCGAAGTGGCCCAATGACGTTTGTCTGCCTCAACGACACCAAAAAAAAAAAAAAAAAAAACATACTTACTATTATATAGTACCGATTCTGGGTGCAAAATTTCGAAGGAAGTAGAGCCAAAAAAACACAATTATAAAAGTAGTAAAAAAAAAAAAAACACACACACATTGTGACGATGATGATATATGATAGTGATTATTAAAAATGTCAGCTTTCAGTACGTAGATGCAAACAACAAAGCTTTGAGGAACAAACAAAACAACTCACACCTAACAGTCCCATTGTTTTGGGTGAACCTTGGCCAGCAGCTAAAACCAGCCAAACAGTATAATTCATCTGAACTGAAAAGATAGATACTATTTCCGTCGCAAAATAATTATTCTTTTCGAGCAATCCATTTGTAAAAGATGACTCGAATTTTTTTCGGGGAAAAAAGGATAGTTACATAATCAAAATTAGTATAGAGGATGTAACATGGTTTTGCATTGTCACTTGTTGCAACCTCGTACTGACGAATGACCTCAGTTTGTTGATCTTCAAGTCTTTAATTAACCTACTGCTCATATGTCAAAGACATAAACAAAAAAGAAGAAGAAAATGCTCAAAAATTTCCAAATCTTACCAACTCTTTTCCTCCAACCTAACCCCCAATGTATACGCAATTAGTCTACCTTTTTATCGAGTCAATGATGATTATTTAACATTAAAGTTTACAGTACTTTATTCTCCTCTTTTGCTCACCTACTACTCCTCCGTACTCCGAATTTACGGCTCAACTGACCAAGTAAATTAAAATCATGTCAAAGAGAAAATTTAGCATACCAAAATGATCGCTATAGTTGTTGTACTAAAATATATTACCATGGCGGTCATATATATTCCTTCTATTCTAAAATTATTGTCCAGTTTGAGATTTCAGGTTTAGTACAATTTGAACTAAAAATAAAAACCCAAACTGGACAATAATTATGGGACGGAGGGAGTAAAAATCATACTAAATGTCTACTAACAACACTTTTCGAGTGATATAACATGTGTATAATTAACTAAATCTTTTGTGGGATTTTTGGGTGCACATTAACTAAAATATCATACTATATTAGAAACAAAAACCTCCCTTTCAAACACCTCATATGATTGCCACGTGGCATGTAGAAAATACTAAATTGCCCTTTTGTCTAACCATAACTAAATTACTAAATCTCCCTTTGCACTTTACGTGACACGTTTTTTTTTTAATTTTTTCTTTATGTTTCATTCAACTAGAGTAGTTTTTTAAATTGAATTGATCAATTAGGTTTTTTGTTACAAAGTGTCAATTTTGTTTTAAGCGTATACCCTTCGGATGAAGCTTATTACAAAGCTATTAAAAATCTCCAAAACTAAGTATTGATTTGGCACGACCAATAGAGAACATCAATAAATCATCTTACTAATATTTAAATTTATTAGGATGCTTTTATATTTTATCTAACATTTACTTCAACACATATATTCGATTAAGCTATTTATATTTAATAAGTAACACTTATAAAACATTTCTAAAACATACATGGTGAAATACAATTTTTTTTTTTTTGCGAAATACAAATATTTCTATGATCACACTTATAAAACATTTCTGAATCCTTCAAAAATTTCTAAAATATATCGCTCCAAATACAAAATTTTATTTTTTTCAAATATAAACATTTCTAAGATCTACAGATAGACTGGGCCGACCAGACATCACTAGTATTAAATAGAATTACTATGAGGTGTAACGTGTGGCATGACAATTCATCATCACTATGACGTACTTTAAATGATAAAATCAAAATACTACACCACTAATATTCATCAATTATGATTCTAAAATTATTCCACTATTTTAGTTTTAATAAAAACCAGGAGTGAATCACTCGGTCAGAGTTGAGTCCATGAATCTATCCCTTAAACTCGGAGATTCCGGTCCGGTTTCTAGATGAAAGAAGATTCTACTACTACTATTCAAAAATCCTTCCCCTTTAAAAACGAAATTCAAAAAATTACTTACTACTTTCTAAATTATCAGAAAAAAGAGAGAACCAAACAAACCACTAATGACTCTGGACTTTTGCCGTCATATTTATGGTATGGGGGACATGGAGTTGGTGCTGGCAAAAATGCTTTCATTGGTTAATACCAGCCTTTTTTCTTCTTTTCTTTTTAACCTTCATGAAAATATATCCATCCGTCCCAAAAAAAAAAAAAAAAAAGTAAAAAATCATACATGTGACAATTTTTTTTATTTTTTATGATAAGTTGATAACAGGAATACATTAATTATTCTCCAAATACACGTATAAGTTCGAATCCTCAATTACTTCCGTTTTTATTTTCACATTACATTTAGGATAAGAATATTTTTATGTTAATTTTATCCGTTTTACTCACAATTGTAAAGGTGATAAGTATAAAACAATTAATATTTAGAAATTTAATTAGAATCAGTTTCAATCTAGAACACCACTTCTTTTATCTTATATTGGTTTCATCACCGAAAATAAAAAAAAAATAATCAGTTCCATTAGTTTAGGTATCCCACATCATCGTATTTGATGACTTTTCCAAGATTCTTTTCAGCTCATTACTTAATTAATTAATTACTGCTTTTCCTTTTTGGAAGAATACATTTTTGGTTCAAAAAAAAAAAAAAACCAACAAAATCCAGAGTCCTAGTAGTATTAGTAGTGGATCTCCCCCCTAGTTTTTTCCTTGAACACTCCACTCTCCCTTGGCCTATAGGCTTCTTCAACTTCCATTATTTTGCTGCAAAAATTTTCCTTCACCCAAAAGGCCAGATTTTTTCTGGGTTTGACTTTGTGGGTTTCTCCTGTTTGTGAAGATGGCTCTCCTTTCAGATCTCATTAACCTGAATCTCTCTGATACCACTGAGAAGATCATTGCTGAATACGTATGGTAAGCACTGGATTCTTTGCTCTTTTTCCTCACCTTTTGGATCTTTTGATGTTCTTTCATATATCTGCTGTTTTTGATTTGCATGGTTTTATTGCTCTGTTTTTATTAATTAATTTTCTGGGATGATGAACATTCATGGAGTTTGCTTGTATTGATTAATCATGCAGAAGATGTGATGAATGATGCATGTTGTTTTTGCCTTGTACCGTACAAGCACCCTTTTATAAAGTTTGGATTTTTATGAATATTTTGCCCAGATGGCACCCCTCGCTTTCTTTTGTTGTTTTTTTGCATTGATGTTCTGTTGTTTTTCCTCCAAGATATTGTCTTTTTTCTGAATTTCTTCCCCCTTCCTGATTTTGTGTATCTGCTGACTATTTGACCAGGATCGGTGGAACTGGGATGGATCTTAGAAGCAAAGCCAGGGTAATTTCTGTTTTCCATTCTTCATTATTGTGTTTTTTTGTTTTTCTGTGTTATTTGTAACTGATATTTTCTGGTGAAAAATAGACTCTGTCTGGCCCAGTCAGTGATCCTGCTAAGCTTCCAAAGTGGAACTATGATGGTTCAAGCACTCTCCAAGCCCCTGGTGAAGACAGTGAAGTCATCTTATAGTAAAGATTCTTTCCCACAGATTCGATTCTCACTTTTTGTTCATAAAGTTCTTATTTTATACCTTAGCTCTGTATTTGATGAAGGGATCTAAGTTCTAAAATTCTGATCTTTATTTTATTTATTTATTTTTTTTTTGTAAAAACTAAAGTCCTCAGGCAATATTCAAGGATCCATTCAGGAGAGGCAATAATATTCTGGTGAGTGTTTATTTCACTGATGCTGTCCCATTAGTTTTGCTTCTTTCCTTTGATACCTTTACCTGATCATGGGTGGTCCAGCCTTAAAAGGTAAGGTCTGGCTATTGGTGAAAATTTGTGATAAACAATAGGATACTTAATACTCGTACTAATTGGAATCTAGAGAATCTTACTTCCGCATTAGATAAATGTCCCACTTGTTTTCCACTATCTAAAATGGACTAACCATGCACTAGGAGCGAATATAAAACTAGGCGACAGAGGATTCCCCGTGTGAGTTTTTGTGCTGTTATCTCTTTTCCAATTTTAGTTGATTTATGTGTATAGGTGATGTGTGATGCTTATACTCCTGCTGGAGAGCCTATTCCGACAAACAAGCGGTACAATGCTGCAAAGATATTCAGCGACCCTGCGGTGGCTTCTGAGGAGCCCTGGTAAAAATATTGATTCATTTTGAGTTTTACCGTTTACTGGCGTATGTCTTTCATTTAGACTTTTTAATTTTAAGGAATACGAAAAATTCTTAATTAATTGAGAATGCAGGTATGGTATTGAGCAAGAGTATACATTGCTTCAGAAGGAAGTGAAGTGGCCCCTTGGATGGCCAATTGGAGGATTTCCAGGACCACAGGTAACTTTTCTTAATCTCTTTTGTTTTGGTTGCTTATTCTTACAGGATTATCCTTCTATTCTTCTTTTGTGTGGAGATTGATTTTGAAAAAGTTACCTAATTTATAGGGGCCATACTATTGCGGTATTGGAGCCGACAAGGCATTTGGTCGTGACATCGTTGACTCCCATTACAAAGCTTGTCTGTATGCTGGTATTAACATTAGTGGAATCAATGGCGAAGTTATGCCTGGCCAGGTAAATATCAGAGATCAGATGAGACGCTTTAAACAAAAGTTAGAGTCAATGTAAAGCCAATTGAATGAATAATTGACAAAGCTTACCATGTTTTTCTACAGTGGGAATTCCAAGTTGGTCCTGCTGTTGGTATCTCTGCTGGAGATGAGGTTTGGATGGCTCGTTACATTCTCGAGGTATTTCCATTATAGTGCACCTTTTCAATCCATGAGTTGATGTAAAACTATTTTTTTTTTGTTTTTATATAAATGAGCCGATGTTCACCATTTTCCTTTGTTAACAGAGGATAACAGAAATTGCTGGAGTAGTTGTTTCCTTTGACCCCAAACCAATTGATGTGAGATTTCTTTTCTCCTCTGTGGCTACTTCTTCCCTTCGGGATTTTTCTTAAAAGCTTTAATGTTGCTTCTTAGTTGTCACTTTACCTTGTTCTTCAAGTTTTCTGATTTTATTTTTCCCTGCAGGGTGACTGGAATGGAGCTGGTGCTCATACCAATTACAGGTTCATTACTGCTGTCCTTGACCTTTTAAGGACTTTCTGTCGGAAGATAATCTTTATTTTCTATGCATGTGGATGCTTGAATTAACATTCTTAGTTATAGTCTTCTAACTTTCGGCTTTATTTTGATGTTGATATAGCACCAAGTCTATGAGGAGCGATGGAGGATATAATGTGATAACAAGTGCTATTGAAAAGCTCAAGTTGAAGCACAAGGAACACATTGCCGCATATGGAGAAGGCAATGAAAGACGGCTCACTGGGAAGCATGAAACAGCATCAATTCACAACTTCTCATGGGTAAATTCCTGTTCACTTTCTTTCTCTAATTCGAGGTTGACTTAGCTGTGAACTACACAGACTACTAATCTTTGTTGTCTTTGGATATTTGTAGTTTTAGTGATACACGGGTTCGTCCTGTATAATACGTGAATATGCATTTTTAATGAAATGATTTGAACAACCAAACTGGTTTTTTTGTACTGATGCTCTTTTCTGGACTTCGATACTGGTTTGCAGGGCGTAGCCAATCGTGGCGCCTCCGTGAGGGTTGGCAGGGAAACAGAGCAGAATGGCAAGGGTTATTTCGAGGACAGGAGGCCGGCTTCAAACATGGATCCATACGTGGTCACTTCCATGATCGCCGAGACCACCATCCTCTGGAAGCCATGAGCTTGTTGTGGTCATTTGCATTCTTCAACCTGATGGGGAATCATCTAAGTGATTCTTTATTGTCATCATGGTTTTATTTCTTTCAACAGAAAAAAATACTCTGGCATGGAACAGAGTAATTTATGTAGTAGTTTTAAAAAGTCAGGATGGTTTGCATTTGGGTTGTTTATATGACTGCACCTTCTTCTTTTAATAAAATCTGCCTTTCTAGTTTCTCATGAAAACCATTGATCTTGTCTTTGTGAAAGTTGCCAGTTTCATTGGCACTGAACATCAGTCCTCAAAGAATCAAAAATAGATTGAGGATGGTTGAATGTTAGGCACATATTGAATGGAGGATTTAGCATAAACACCTTAAAAATGGGTCCAAGATGTGACCTTTATTAATTAATTAAGTAATCAAAAGAGCTCCCTTTTTGTTGTTCTACCATCCATGTGGTTGGTGGCTTTGGTGTAATCAATCCACAACATGGTTGCGTCCTTCTATGCCCTCTGATCAGTTCTGCTGATGCTGTCTGAAACTGCAACGGATAAGACCATGGAATATTCAATATGAATGTAATATTCTCAGGCTCAAGATACTTCCAACTCCAGTATAACAGTACGAAGGAGCTTTTTTTTTTTTTTTTTTTGGAAAGCCAGTACAAAGGAGCTGATATGTAATCCCTCTTATAAAACACCTATTTCCAAAAAAAAAAAAAGAAAAGAAAAATGTTGGATTGATGAAAAATGATTAGTACATGGAAACAAGAGCAAAATTTCGATTGATGCATTGTTTGGAGTTTCAAGTTTCATCAGGGATTCCAGAAGTGGTTCTCAAAGTCAAGCTAAAGAGAGAAAGATAAGACATGGGACATGGGGTCACGGATAAGCCATGGAAACCATAAGTATTTTTTAGGTCTGTATTGGTTGGTTTTAAATCATCTACAAATATAGATCAGGCACTTTGATCTCTGAATTATGGACCGGTTCTTTTGTACACTAATCAATTCGTTTACATAAATAAAAACTCTTTCCGTCCCAAAATGATGGATCGTAGACGTATAGTCGTTCCTGTGGAGAGGAAATTGCAAATTTGTGGTCTAAATTGGAATAGACAATCATGATTGTTGGGAGCATGTGAAGATGATAGTATTTCTTGGGATTCTTTCCAATCCAAGTGGGTTGCCATTTATTAGGCTTTACTATTTGGTTTTTAGCCGTACCTTTCTGAACTACCAATCCAACAACTAGTGTTCTGAATATCAGCAGAATCTTTTTTGTTAGTATTTTATTATTTTATAAAAAGAGGTCAATTATTGGGAATCAGTCCATTTTGCCCTATAAAAATTGTAGGCGGACTTGGTCATAGAGTATCATGCATTTGTATGCAGTATACACCTCCCAAGGCTATCTTTGATCAGTTTGGCGTTGGATTTCTTGAGAATATATACCCAAATAAAATTAATTAATTAAATCACCTTGGCCAAGTAGAGATTACGATGGATTCTATGCTGGATTTGGAATTATTATTTGTTTTATACTCAATCAAGCCATATAAGTAATGATGATGTGTATTTTTTTTAAAATCTTTTTTGGGAAATTAAATTCATAATTTTTTTTACCACTCAACTTTTCTGTCAAACTAGACAAAGCACTAGCTTTTTTCCCGTCTTTGTGGAACAAGAAGATGGAGGTTTCCGCACTACTTAGTTGATAATCTGTTTGTTTGATTTTCTTTTTTTTTTTTGAGTTTTTCAGTTTATTTTATTAATAACTGTCTCATCCCAATATACCTTTTTATATTTCCGATACAAAAAACATCTAAAAAAACATACTATAAAAAAGGAAACAAAATACAAGTATAATAAACCAAAAAGTTGAGACTGATTTAAACCCTTTTGATGAAACTCATTCACCCATATTGCTTTTTTTTTTTTTTTTTTGGTATTAGATTATAATTCAATCATAGTCATTCTCGCAACACAAAGTAAGGATTAAACCAATTTTTATGGACATCTCGAATTAGGAGTTATCTTCAATATATTACAATATATGTGAAAATCCAATATTTGACAAAATGGAGCAACTTTCCAACTTATAAATTAGGTTGGACCAAACTTCTATTGGCAATCTCGCGTTCTCTCTTTACTTAGTGTACTAGATAACTTTTTGATGCACCATATTCAAAATACCCATGTTTCAAAAGCAAAAGCTCACCAAAATTCAACAAATATGAGAGAGGAAGCTTCCTAAGTTGGAATCCATACAATTGTTTTGACCATCCAATCGTAGTTTAATGCGATTCCTAGGATGCTTACTTTTGAGTTTTCATGATGAGATTCCTCAGGAGAAAAAAAAAAGAAAAAAAAAAAGAACGTAAGTTTGCACTTGGTTAGACTTTTATGTGATCACATGTCATAAACTTCAGTGAAACAAGAAACGATGGGAAGGGCCAACAGAAAAGTGTAAATTCGTTTATTCATCTTTTATTCAGCACGGGAATGAAAATTCCGGTTTAGAAGAATGTTGATGTATGTATATGTGACGAAAAATCGTGCTGTACAATATTACGTTACCAGAGATCTCAGGCTTTAGCTGAGTAAGTTATAGTGTACAAAACTGAAAATATGCATCCGAATTGGTGCTTACCTACAGCTTACCAAAAAATCACTATCTATACCTACTCTGTATCGTGTATTCCCTTAAGTTTGCACCCCCAACAAGGGAATTGGCACGGTTGTATGAGTTACCTTGTCTGTTATATACGTTTGAAACATGGGCACCCGCATCACCAATTAGATGAGGCAGCCCTGGAATGTCCAGCTGAGTTATCGGGTCATCCACATTGCAGAAATCAGATAGCAATGCAGAATCTCTTCATATGTATCCACTGCTGCATATGAGGTGCTCATACTTTCCTTTTCTTCTGCAAAGCAAATTGAAGTGTACCAATTCTTTAGGTATGACTGAAACACTGAATTTAGATACAAACTGTGTGCTTAAAGCTATCCGAGTGACACAATGAATGTAGAATCTCCCAAGAGTATTCTGCCCAAGTAAACAGTCTAACAAATATCCATAAGAGCCTGTTCTAACATTGAACTGATTGTGTATAAATGGAGTTTACTTTCCCATTCTAAAAAATCACCTTTAGCTCAAAGATCCAAACAACATCTAAACTCAAGAAGCACAGCAAGGAACAGTGTCTTCTATGTAACTTAAACTGCTAGAAACATGTTTTCAGTTCTTCAGTGGCAGAGAACAAAGCAGAAACATACCTCAAGTTATCTCAAGCAGAATGTAATCGACGCTCAAAATGTTGGTCTGGTCATTGTTGATGAACCACGCCCCACAGGAATGATACTCGGAAGACTCCCAACAGATTCTTCTGGTAATGAATCTGCCGAAAATAAAACGTTTTTATTGCTAGGTGGCCATGCTGCTGTTTACTTTAACTAAGAAAGACTGAACTCCAACCACAAATTATAATCATTGGAATACTTATACTCAGAGGCACAATTCTAATGCATCATAAACTAATAACTTCTCAAGCAGGCTGTACCTAATCATAGTATAAGATAAGTGTTACCTGAGACTTCTTCTCCAGCCTGAGCACCAGCAATACCAATGCAAGAATACAAGGAATTTTCATCTATCTTCAACTGCTCATACGCCAGATACACATCTTCAATTTGGGTAGCTTCATATAAAGCTGTGAGATCCTTGATACAAGAGATGTCCTAATAAAAAAGACCACATATCAATTGACATTCTACCGAGAAAAAGCTAGGGACACCCAAAGAGTATTTACTTCCCCACAGATACCCAAACCAAGAAGATGTCAACATGATATGTGTGTTTCACCTTTCTGGGGACAGAAGTTGCTTGCAAGTGAGATAACAACCCAAGCCAATAGGCATTTGATTTGATATCAGCTTCATGTCTCATCATCAGAGTCCGCTTAGCCTATCAACATATTAAGTTGGAGAGGTAAGAAACAAACACACAATTACAGGTTCTGAAGAATCAACTACACGCCACACCAAACATACTTCATCAGTTTCTTTTTAACTATATTCTGAACATCTTGTACTGTATAGTTATCTGTACAAACCAACAACCAGACCAATCATTCTTTTAACAGTAATCTGCATCTCAAATCTCTCCCCAGCATCCCCCAAAACATTATTTTCATTTCAACTGTCTTAAGGTAAAATGATGTTTAATATCAACTGCGGTGAGTACTGTATAGTCAATCAATCAGTTTATAGCTAGTAATATAAGGATTTGTATCATATTGAAACTCTTTCAGGTGACCTGAAAGTCTATTGAATTCAATTCTCACCATTGGTGCCATAAAGATCTTGGACGTGAATAGACCACGTAGCATAATTTGAGATTCTTGTATTTGAATCTAGAACCATATAATAAATGACCCCATACCATGGGACAGAGACTTGGTTGTTATAGTGTTCTACATAAGATAGGACTAAGAATGAAGGATTTATATAATTTATCGAGGCTGGAACTTGCTCGAGTTCACCTGCAATAGCTCTAAGCATTCAATCTTATTATTGGCACCCTTGAGACTTCTCCCTAAAACCCCACATCACCATGGTATTTTTTTTACCCTCCCTAAACCCATCATTATCTGGCCTTATGCTCATGTAACATGATTTTCCAGCTCAATCTCGTTCGAATTGAAACAAAAAAATCCTCCAAAGAAGCTCAGACATTGGATGGAACGAGCACATGATGGGGAAAAGGACTTACACGATCCAACTCCCTTGGAGTAATCCTGTTTGTATGCAGACCTCTTAGAACACTTTTGCAAGCGTCAACTGCTTTATGAACCTGTCAGATAAATTGCTATTGTTAGACTTACAGATCAATCATTAACATTAAGTAACTTTCGGATCCAGAGAAAACCAAAAAAGTACCTTTCCTGGAGTAGACGTCACTGAAATCACATACCAACCAAGCTTCAGGCGGTCAAACAGGTTTAATTCAAATGACACGTCATATGTCAATCCAAGGGAGTCCCTAACAGTTGTAAAAAGTCTGCAAGGGAAGTAAATATATTAAATGTAATCCCTGGTGACTACACAATAAGGGCCACCGAAAAAATTAAATACAGCAACCAGGAATTGTGCAAGGAGACCTCACTCAATGGTTTTAATGAACAGAACAGTCAAAGACAGTGCGTGCAAGAGATACTCAACCATTACTGATCTAGGTACCTGGAATTTATGACTTCAGCCATTAGACCCAGTGTTATGGCAAAAAATAGTGGGTGGCTGCGAAAGGCTTGTTGCAGTGTCCTCTCACTATTCTTCGGCTCTGCAGGCTGGTCTTCAAGTTTCGATTCCTCACCTGAAAAGGTTTCCATTTCCATTCTTAGTTAGGTGAAGAAAGAATATGAGTTCCATAGCAAGACCTAAAAAAATAGTGACATATTCATGGTTGCAATCAGATATTCCTAATTGTCGATATCCTCTGCAGAACTATCTAATTAAATTTCCCAAATCTTAAGGAGTTGAAAGCGCAAAACTTCCAAATTCATGCTGGTCCAGAGAACTCATACACTTGTCCTTTAACAAAAAACAGCTATAACATAGTCAAAACACTCTAGCAGCATAGGTCCACTCTGCACTCAATTGTAAACATGTAAACTGAACTTAAAAGATCTACAGGTGATACACCCTGCTGCATTTCAGTCTTAGATGAACCTTCTGCTCCCAATAGGAAACGTGAAAAAGTTTTTTGTGACTCCCAGAGCAGTAAAGAGTAAAACTCACCTTCTTGTGTGGTTGTATTAATAGCTTCAAAAAGGTCTTGCCCGTCAAAATTAAAACCCCATCGGTTTGGAGCAGGCCCCGCAATGTAAGCACAAGCCCTCTCATCCGTATCCTTTAGGAAAACCTGATAAAGATTGAACAATGATTTGAGGTCAGAAAGGATTACAAGCCAACTCAAAGGCATTAATTCGGCTCAAGACTAAGGGAAACCCAACCTGATCAAAGCCTAAAAAGAAGAGGTTTCATGAAGCCATAAGCTACTTACTTGTTGATGTTGTAAATCAGGGGTAAAGGGCCTGAATACAATAGGGTTGTATTTTTGTGCTCTCTCCCACCCTCTACTTGATCGAACTGTACCCAGGTAATCAAGGATACAGGACTCAATTTCATCCTCAGAGAAGTCACCAACAATACTCACCTAATGACAGTACAATTATAAGGTCAAATATCACACCATATATCATCATCACTGATCGAACAAATAATCTGTTACCACAGGCTTAAAAACTAAGATGAAAGCCTAAACCAGGATAGCTGTTTCACCTCCATATTGTCACAAACAAACTGACTCATCACAGCATCTTTCACAGATTCCAATGTCAAGTTCTGCAATGAACCCGGAGTGGGCTCCACAAAGCGTTCATCTCCATTGAGCATCGCCAGCATAAGTTTGTGAGCAGTTGAACGTTCCAGGCTTTTTGGAATAGAGCGGAAATATGACAAATACAACTGTCTTGCCCTATCAAAGGCATCTTCCAGCCAAACACTATGCTGTTCACGAGTAAATTATAAAAGAGAAAGCGTTAATGATGTACCAGATAAAACCCAAAAGCAACAAGAACTAAATACCAAATAGAAGTTGACTTCCCTATCATTCCATGGCAAAAGAGAAGGCAGATATTAAGAGTAACACAGGAAAAAGAGAAGGAACAGATTTTGGAAAATGCATAACTTGCCTATTGAGTCTGTTTGCAATCGTTGCTAATTATTAAGAAAGTCTTCACACAAGTTTAAATTGGTAGATAGAGGACGGGAAAATAGAATTACCTCAAGTACCATATGAAGTAGTTGGAAAGCTGCACGCATTCCATTGTCTCTTAAGGTGAAACGGAATTCCATACAAATGAATTCCTCAGTTGACTCCAGTGAGCAATTTATAAGGTGGTTTACGCAAAAGAGTTCCACCTAAAAACATATCGAAGATGAACAATTAGAAGAATGTTGACAAGAAATTGGGACAGGAAAATGAGGAAGCAGGAAATTTCCCACATACTGTCTACCTTATTTTTCTGCTTTATACACAATCAGAAAACTTGAAATAACGAATTCAAACAAAAAGGTATACACTGTTACCTGTTCTCGTGAGAAGTTGCCAACACGACCACCCTCACTCAGAGTGCGAACTCCCACTATGACAGCTCCTTTTTTATCCAACTCTTCAGCAGCTCGACCACCACCAACAATGAGCCTCATGACACCACACTTTGCTTCACTTGTTGATATCTATACGACGTACAATTAAAGATATCAACAAATCCAACAATTCAAAATAAATAAGTATACTTCATACTTAAATACTTCCTTTTTCTTAATAAAGACATCAACATTCACAACATAAAAAGGAAGAATCACAGGGGGGGAAAAAAAAAGAAAGAGAGAGAGAGAGACCCTATAATTAACAGGAAGTCCATTGGAAAGCCTCCGTAGGGTAATTCCTGTTTCGTTGTCAAGGACTTTAGTCTCCTTTGAATCTGGTCCAACAGGGATAAATGAAGGCTTCTGTAAGGACCTCAACTCCTGCAGCTGCCTTGAGGTTATCAATTCTTTTGGCACTTCAAGCTGCATATATAAACATCTCAAAAGTAAGTTGCCAGTATTTTGAGTGATAGCAAAAGAACTGCATAGCAATGCCAGGAGGACTAAAATCTCAACCATACATCAGACCTCACGACAAGGAACAACAACGGGGCAATGAGCTTTAAGCATATTTTTGCTTTCTAGTTGAACAAAATCAGAAAGACCCTACTGAGGAAGTAATGAAAGTTTTTAAAACAGAAGGGGCACCTCCAGTTCTGCCTCTATAGGCTGCTGTAAACCTGCCTCAATAGCAGCAGTGATCTCCCCTGGTGTTATCTTAAATTCAGTTTCACCTATTCCATCTACATGTACTTTTGAAGGGACACAAGCAACAATTGCTGCAGGAAGGGGCGCATTTGGCTTTCCAAAATCAGAAATAAATTCCAGCACTTCTGCACCAACCGCATTAACCTGCAACAATTCAGATAAATTTAGAGCAAACGTTTAATGCCGAACCTTTTACACAGGTAAAAATGGGGATGCTAGAAGCTCCAACTAAGACAACTCTCCACCAAATTTAAAAAGGAAATCTGATTTCAGAAAGAGAAAATGCTGGAAAACCATAACCTCAACAAGATAAATAAGCTATCTGTAATCAATATCAACTCATTCTAATCCAATTAATTAAATGATTATGTACCCTTACAAACATATTACTGGATAACCCAAAATTAGCACCAACTGTTCCACTGATAGACGAGATTGATATGTAACCTCCCGAGAATTAATTAACTAATAAACAAAGTAAGGCACCAACAAAACAATGGTTTGACCAATAGTTCAATCTAAGACTTACCTCCTCAAGGCTCACAGTTCCCGCAATAGCAAGCAAACTCTCATGTCCCTGCATTTGATCCATCACTGTGTGGCCAAGAGCATCACTCTCCATTATGAAATCCAGATTATCCACGGATGACACATTGTCAATCATAGCTGCCAATTGTTCACTATCTTTAAGTAGTGCATCCAAATAGCGTGACAATTCACCTTTTGTCACACCAAATTCTTTAAGCCTGCGGACCTGGATTATACGAATTGTGCCATAAGAAATAAGAAAATTCAAATCAACAAAAAACACAAAGACCAGGTGTGCTGACTACAAAACTAGACATTTTCTTGGAGATGAAGGGGACAACAGTTACTTTCAAGCTATGTTTTGATTAGTGACAATTAAGACCACAGACAACGCTTAACTTATGCAAAAAGAATAGACATGCGCCGCCACTGACCAATCACAGAAAGAGAGATCTACAGGGCCAAAGAGATTAACGCAAAGTAATACACATAAAAGAAAACAACATACCTCTTGAACAGCAATTTTTATTGCACTATCCCAGTTTCTTGGTTCAGCAGTTACTGTAAGAGTCGTTACAGTGCAACCTTCTCTTCCCGAATCACTATGATCCAGCTCCACCGAGGTAAATGGTGGATCTGAACTCTGAAATAACCCCGAAGTTCGCCAAGAGCAAAATTTCATTTCAAAATAGTCAATAAAACAAACAGGAAATGAAAAGAATACATAACTAGAATTAGAAATTAACCAAAAACAGAGACGGAAAATTTTTTTTTTGGGTATTCACGATACAACCCGCCTAAGCTTCTACATGATGCCACTTCTTTTAACATGTTGGGTAGAAACGCGGTTTATTAAAGAGGACTTCAAAACTAGGAGGTTAATACTCTAATTTAATTCACAACTGCATGTGGCCATTGAACTTCTGGCATACATTTTAGCACGAGAAAAAGATAACTGTTCTTTCACATCAAGCAAGCAGAAAAACATAAAAATTGGATTTTGGATTTGGGCAACAAACATAAGTGTTCTGACATTTTGGTTTCATGAAGTGGTTCCATAATTGACACATGAGAGTCAAACATGTCCCAAATACATTGATAATAAGAGAACTTCTGCTTAGTAAATCATCGCACCTTGTATCTGGTATTAATACGAAAATGCAGAGCGGAAAGGAAAATCCTCTTCATCAGGACATTACGCAAATCACCAAAAGTTTTAACCTTGTTCACAGGAATCTGCAAGCAAGTAGCATTCACTAGTAAGAAAATATTCCACTGATCAATCGTTCTCTCTATAAGCATAATAATGGGGAATCTCCAGGAAACATATCCAAATGAATTTTATCACTAGGGATAGGACAGATAAGGGGTAGAGGTTGGCCAAAGCTTATCAGCAAAAAAGTAAAAGAAAAAATTAACACAAAGCAGTACACCACTATTCTGCTAGTGAAAGCAACTAAGGTTGCTCATTCCCAATCTATGATAGGTGTAAGCAAAGAACACAAATCATATACAGAATTTTGATATTTCAATAATTTACTTTCATACATGCAACTGAATGATACCGAAATAAATCAACCTTACACCAAAGTTAGTCATTTTCAACTTCTCATTCCAATATAACTGGACTGCAGTTTTACTTGATGCAAGACAAGAAGGCATTAAAAGGCATACTTTAAATAACCAGTTTCATGCTTTTACCCATTATAACCCCCGCTGTGAACAAACATGCAAAGAAAATAACAAATGTAGTTAATTGACATCGCTAACTGTTTTACCTTGCAAAACATATTAATTGAGAAATTCTGAAGTAACTCATGTTGAAATATCTGAGGTGGCTTTAAAGTATCATTACTTCCAGGAAGGGACCAGTTGTGCTGGACAGGAGGGCGTACTGCGTGTCTTTCCTTCTTGACGATTTTTGCTTGCTCCACTGAACCAGATGGCTTATCATGAGGTAAATTTCCAGCCAAACCCATCAATGGCTTCGGAAGGAAATTAGACATAGAAAAGGCACTAGGTTTTGGTGCTGGGGAAGCGGTCATCTCACTGTCCACACCAGTCTGACCGAAAACATTCTGAACAGATATCACGACTAAAAAGGTTTACATTTGAAAAGCCAAATCTTTACCGCAGAACATATTTCAATAAAACTCTCGACATCTCCCCTTGGATAAAAAAAGAAACATAAGTTGCAAAACAGAGATATTTGACATACTTCGATATGTTGCACTGTCTTTGGAATGTTTTCAATATCCCCCACAACATATAATGTGGCATTAGCAGGAAAGTACCAACGTTCATGAAACTTCCTAATCTTATCTGCATCCCATTTCTTTATCTGATCTTCCAATCCAATCGGGAATCTTTTACTGAGCTTGTTCTCTGAATGCAAATGTTGTAACAGCTATTGCAAAAAAGAAAAAGGAATTACTTCTTCAGGCCAATAAGAATACAAAACGGAAAACAAAGAAAAAGGGGACAGCATAAGACAATACATTTATGTTACCTGACAATCAACACGGTACTCAATTGTGTTCATCATTTGTAATTCTGATAGTATTGCTCGCCTTTCTTTTTCAACACGGGAAGCTAAAAACTTGGGATGGAAAGCAATCTATAGTGCAGAAAATTTCAACAGATTCAGAAACGTTTCACGCAGATTCTTTTAGCAAGAATATTTAATCAGTAAATAATGGAAGTTACTATATGGACTTCTAGACTGGGTTAATCAGTAAGGTTGTAAAAACAGCCAGCAAGAATTAATCTCTCATATTTGTACCTCATTGAGGGCATCAAGAACCACGGGCAGTAAGTCTTCATCAGAATCCTGTTAAAAAAAAAAAAACCTTGTCATGATAAATGTCAAAGTATTTAAGCAACTACATTTAAAAAAAATTAAAAAAAAATAAAAAAACAAGAGCACACTGCCAGAAATACCTACCTTTGTTATAGTTGGTGAATGGATATGAAACACAGTATGATGGAAATCAGTATAAGCATTTGATCTCGCCCCTGTTCCAAGAAGTTTCTCTCTCTTCTTACTACCAAGGAATGCAACATGTTCAATCATGTGAGCAATTCCTTGTTCATCTTCTTCCTCATCAATTGACCCAGCATGAACTTCCATGTGCGCCTCGAACCTATATGTAAACAACTATATATTTAAAACTATACTCAAAAATAGAACTTCATAGAAAACCTCTATGCATACACTTTTATGCAGAATAGGGACCAGATTATCTCTGAAACATACTTAATCTTAGAAAGTCACCAATGAGTTTTCATTCATCTATAATAAACAATTGGGAAATATCCATTACAGTTTCAGACAAATGTCTCAACAGTGTTAACAATTTTTTCACATTCTATTTTGGTGAATATATTCCAGCCTGAAAATAAAGTTTATGAGCTAAATATAAGCATGATAATATTAAAGGATTGCACTAGAAAGCAGACATCAAAGATAATTTTACAGCTCTTTTGTGTCACCTGTTCCATGATAATCATTAAATAATTATATACTCTCCGCAAATCATAGCAAACTGTGTGGTGGAATTGGGTGCCTTTAGCCCAATGGCATAGAAATACTAACCTATTTGGAGGGACTTTGTTGGGCAAAATCAGGTACCGAAGCCCATTTTTAAGTTGTCCTCTGTGAAGTTTTGGGTGAGATGGCAATTCTGAAGCCAAGAAATGCTCAAACTCAAATCTCTCGAGCTCGGGATCGGATAATTCAGGATCCTGCTTTTCAAGAATACCATCCGTCCATGTTGTGCTTGCTGCATGTGGCTCTTCTGGACCAACAGTTGCATGCGGTACATAGATTTTCTTAACCTAATCATCAGATATCAAAGTCACAAGTTCACAATTAATAGACCACATATCGCAAAAGAAGTACAATAGTCACCAGTATTTCTACCTGGAGTGTATTAGGAATAAACCTTTGACAGAAATGTAATTAAGCACTCCAGCATAGAAATGAATTAAGATCATTTTGGCACAAGATTGACCGAATAAGGGACTCCAGTCCAAGGGACACAAGTTATAGCATACGATGACCAACCCAAATTGTCAGAAGATATGCCAGCGATGACCAAACTATATATTCTAACTTTCAGCATAAGATTGAAATATCCCACGCATTCCGATAACTTTCTAAAGATGACACTATAAATACCCCAAGTATACAAAATATATATATATATATATATATAAATTAGAAACAATAACTAATTCCATTTCAATCAAGTGATGATACAAGTTTCATACACACAAACCAACCGAAAGACGGTCATGAATTGTTTAACTACCTCAGTTGAACTGTCATCGTCAGCCTTCTGGCTCACTATACGCAATGTCGATTTGTCAAAAAATGCTCCAGTTCTGAATCTATAACCAAGAACTCCTTTTTTTTGGGGATAATGGAAGCAAGAAACTCGTTTTGGCCCATCAACGAAGCTTCTAGGCGCAATTGAAAACCTATCCAACGCATTCTACAAAGGAACAAATATGTGTAATTTCATTATCACATCGATAATTCAGCAGGGGTGGGGGCAAAAAACAACATAATTTTGTAAATGAACACTGAGATGCACTAAAAACGGTTCAATGATATTCCTTCCACCTAATCAACCTATAAACACATACCCACGTAAGCAATCACTGAGCTGAATACAACTAATGGTTACTTTTTCGATACGGCAATTTGAAACCCAATTAAAAGAAGAAGGAAAAAAAACATTAAAACATTGAATATATGCTATTAAACAAAGTAAATTAATAGCCCAAAAAAAAATAAAAATGCTTAAAATCAAACACCTTGCCACTAGTAACGGTGGCGCGAATTCTGCGATGTCTATCAGCACGGAAAGTGGCGATGGCTTTCTTATTTTGCGCCCAATTGCAATTATTGACAGTCAATAGTGACGGAGGGAGTGATGACAAACTTGAAGTCCGGTCACGGTGGCTAATTGACTTCACCGGAACCGGAGCATACAACAACGGCTTAGCGTTGAATAAAATAGAACTGGTCTGCATAGTTTAACTATTTTTCTTTTTATCAACAATTGATTCGGTTTTCCACCCTCCCAGATTATTGGAATTTCCACAGAACACTAGGGTTTATGTGGATTGAAAGAAGGAAGAAGAAAGCTGGTGGGGGGTTTTGGGTTAACGGGTTTAGGATTTTTTTTTTTTTTAATCATTTAACGGTAAATCAAAAAAATATGGGGGTGGGCTTCTAAGGTTGGCGGAATTACCAGTGGTGGCCGTTTAGCCAATTGGCGCAGATTTTTTTTTTTAATTTTATTTTTCTTGTTTTTATTTTGTCTTCCCCCTCTTCTAGTATTTTCTTTTTGACTAAAAATATCATTCGGTTAATCAAAGGGCATTAGTACGTTCAAAAAAAATAATTTGTAATTTTTTACTACAACAGAGTGAAATTTTTCAGTTTTTTCCAGGCGGAAAAAGTGTTACGTATTTAGCTCTGTTTTTTTTTCTTTTAGTATTTTCTTACAGATTTTCAAACGAAAAAAGAATCTGGAAATTAGGTAAAAACGGAAGCCATGGATGAGTGAAATCTTTGTCTATAATTCATTAATTGCGTAAAATGATTATCTTAATTAATTCTGTACGGATTCGGTACTCCCTCCATTCCAAAATAAGCATCGTTTTAGCAAAATGAAAAAATTTCAAAATAAGTATCATTCTCACATTTCCATTCACTTTTCGTCCAAAGTTTTTAAAATTGCTCTCAAAAGAATTAATACTATTGGTGGACATTTTTTTAATGGAGATGGTTGAGGATATTAAAGTAATTTTATTACCATATTTAAGAGTTTCTTAAACTATGTGCAAAATATAGAATGTCACTTATTTTGGAATGGAGGGAGTAGTTTATATACTAATTACAACCGCCTTATCTCTATACAAATGTACAAGTATACCCTTACATATTTACACGTCTACCATACTACTTTAATTATATACAATCTAACCCCTTGTTATATATACAACTTTAGTAACATTTTTACAGCCCCCCTCAAGTTGGTGTTTGTTAAAGATCGATCGAACCTAACTTGACAAGAAAGGTATGAAACTGTGGAGCTGCCAAGGATTTTGTAAAGCAGTCGGCTAACTGGTTGTGAGTAGAGATATGATGAAGTCATATGAATTCTTCTTTGTAATAATCACGAACAATGCGGCAATTGATCTCAAGATGCTTTGTTCGTTCGTGAAAAACTGGATTCTTGGTGATGTGTTGTGCAGCTTGATTGTCACAATGAAGTGGAATTAGCAATGAAGTCTGAACATGAAGATCACGTGGTATATAAGATATCCACTTAAGTTCTCGGACTGTGTTGCCAAGACTTTGATATTCTGCCTCAGCAGAAGAAGTAGAAATTGTCTCTTGTTTTTTTGTTTTCCAAGATACAAGACAACTACCAATAAAGATGCATAATCCTGATAATGATCGTCTAGTGACCTTGCATGTTGCCCAGTCTGAATCACTATATGCAACCAAGTTCAAACTAGTAGAAAATGGATAATGAATAACTGTTGAAGGACATCCCTTTAAGTATTTCAGAACATGGATCAAGGCATCCCAGTGTGCTTCTCTTGGAGCCTGAGTGTGTTGAGTTAATTGTTGAACTGCATATGTCAAGTCAGGCCGAGTGAATCCAGGATAGAGCAGCTGTCCAACTAAGGTTCGATAAGCAGATGCATCAGCAAGCAAAGAACCACAAAGTTTATCATCATGAAATGAATGGCCTTTTGAAAGAGGGGCGGTGTTAGGTTTACAACCTGTCAATCCTGTTCTGTGAAGAATATCCATCACATATTTTCTCTGATTAAGATAAAAACCATCTTTGCTTCTGGCTATTTCAATGCCCAAAAAATATCTTGCTGGGCCAAGGTCTTTGATTGTAAAAGCCTTGTGCAAGAAGTTCTTAACAGCCAGGATGGCATATTCTGATGAATTGGTAATCAGAACATTATCAACATACACCAAAAGCGCTATAAAACTTCATTCATGAACCATGGTAAACAAACATGGATCACTATGAGACTGATTCAATCTAAACTGCTTAAGTTTTGTAGCAAACTCAATGCGCCACTGTCTAGAGGCCTGCTTAAGTCCATACGGATCTAATCAACTTACAAATCTGACCAGGCTGACCTTTTGTGTATCTTTCTGGAATCTTCATGTACACATCCTCAGTCAAATATCCATGTAGGAATGCATTGTTGATATCTATTTGATGGAGATGCCAATCATGAGCTGAAGCCATTGCAAGAAGTACTCTGACAGTCACCATTTTTGCCACTGGTGAAACTGTCCATGTAATCTATACCTTCATTTAATTGTAGCCTTTTGCTACCAGTCGTGCCTTGTACCTCTCCACTGCGCCATCTGGTTTGTATTTGGTTTTTTAAACCCATTTACATCCTATGGCTTTCTTTCCAGCAGGCAGAGAGTAAGTTCCCAAGTTCTGTTTTTCTCCAATGCTTCAAGCTCAATATTCATAGCCTCCACCCATTCTCGTTGACCTTGAGCCTGCACATAGCTAATAGGATCTGGTGCTTGGCTTATGTTAGCAAGAAATGCTAAATACTCAGATCTAAAACAAGGATTATGAGTATAAGGGAAAGTATTTTGAGTGTATGTAGAAGAGCTAGGTGGTTGGAAAAAACAAGTGTTTACTATATGAGACTGTCTTGGTAGATCAATATAGTAATCTTGAAGTTTGACAGGCATATGTTTTTCTTTATTGCTTCTTCTAATAGTAGGATGGATGGGAACTCCATGGTTAGAACCAGTGGATTCATCATCAGAATCTGAAGAAGAAGGAGAAAAATGAGGATCAGAAGCATCATCAGACGTATCATGAAAGAAATGATCATCAGTAGAAGAGGGATTTTCAGTATTCTGAGGTAGAGGGAAAACATTATGATTCTGTGGAGAAGTGGAATCCTCATACAACAAGGTATCTAATGATTCAAAAGGCATGGATGAATGTGTTTTTGAAGAAGTAGACAAGTCTTTCTGATAAGGGAATTCCTGTTCATGGAATATCACATCTCTAGAAGTGAATATTTTCCTAGCTTGAGGATCATACAATCTATAGGCCTTCTGACCAGGAGGATAATCCAAGAAGATGGCCTTGATGGCTCTTACATCAAACTTGTCTTTTCCAGGAAGGTTATTTGTAGCAAAACACAAACAACCAAAAGTTTTTAAGTGGGTAAGATCTGGTGGCTTATGATAAAGTAATTCAAAGGGTGTTTCCAATCCAAGATGTGAGAAGGTAATCTGTTGATCAAGTAAGTAGCAGTTAATACTGCCTCCCCCCAAAAAGGTTTTGGCAAATCAAACTGAAAAAGTAAGGAATGAGCAACTTGCAACAAATGTTGATGTTTTCTATCAACAATGCCATTTTGTTGAAGGGTGTAAACACATGATCTCTGATGTATTATTCCTAGGGAAGAGAAAAGAGACTGACAAGATGTACCCAAAAATTCAGCCCCATTATATGATCTAACCCCCTTTATGGCAGTCTGAAACTGTGTTTGCACCATTTTGAAGAACGTTTCAAGAAGATGTACCGTTTGAGATTTGCTATGCATGAAGAAAGTCCATGTGGTTCTGATTTGATCATCCACTATAGTGAGAAAATAGTGATACCCTGAGAAAGTAGGTTGTTTGTAAGGTCCCTAAATGTCAGCATGAATAAGATCAAAAGCTTTTGAAGCTCTAGAATGACTAAGGGGAAAAACTAAACGATGCTGCTTTGATATAAGGCAAACAATACATAAGGAATCATTTTTGATTAAATGCTGTAAAACAGGAATCTATTTTATTACATTGTGAGAAGGATGACCCAGTCTGTTATGCCAGATTATGGTTTCATCATGAACTACAGCATGTACTTGATATGAAGTACTGTATTGAGGAATGGAACAACACTTAGGATTTACAAAGAATTGTATGAATGACATGATGTGTTTTTGGCTAAAAGATTCCTGATCTATTACATATAGTCCATTAACAACCTTGCCAACATCTATCACCTCTTTACCCCCTGGTCCTGCAAGATGCAAAAATTAGTGGAGAATAGAGTGTCAATCCTTGCTGTTTTGGCAAGTTTGCTAACGGATATAAGATTAAACTTAAAATCAGGAATGTGAAGACAATCAATGAGTTTTAAAGATTTTGAAAGGGTAATATCGCACATATGTTTGACATATTTCACACTTCCATCAGGCAAGTATACATATGTGGGTTTAGAAATAGTTCTAAAAGAATCAAAGATATCCAGATCATGAGCCATAAACCTTGTAGCACCAGAATCCATAAACCATGTATTAAGATCAACTTTATCAACAGTAGCAAGAATATGATCATAATTCATACCTGCAAACTCTGCGTAGTGTGCAAAGTTGACCATCTTTCCTCCATGATTGTTCTGAATCCCCTTTCCGGTTGTCAACCTTCTCATCTCTTGTTGAAGATAGTTAAGACCATTCATGATTGCCTGCAAATTTTCAGGTCCAGTGTTCACGATGTTTCCAGCAGATGACTGAACATTGCTTGCATTCCCTCCATTGAAAGGCATCATATCCATTGGAGTTTTAGCTATATGTGTCATGTTCCTGTTTCCTCCTGATTTCTTGAAGCCTCTATTGTTTTCTGGAACTCTTCACCAGTCTGGATACGATGTATCTTGAAGCATGTATATAACGACCCGGCTAATCCACGCGCTTGCTTCTCTACGTCATGCTTCGCGACCGCCGAGCTCTCACCCAAGGCAGAATACTATCGATTCTCCACTTGAATTCGCCAACGCGATCCCACTACAAAATGAACGTGCCAACTTTCTACTAGAGTTCTTTGATCTTTCTTCTAAACCTGAGAGGAGATAGGGGATATTATATATAGATACAAAAGCGATGAGCGCCGAGCTCAATGAGGTTCTTACAATACTACTATGATATTATTAACAAAATAATTTTGAGAAATTATACGGTGGTAAAACCTTTTTATCAAAACGTTTGTTAGGCAACAAATCAATTGAACAATCACTTTAATCAGTTAACAAAAGGGGTAGATACTAGAAAATCTAGCAAGGCACGTCGAGGCCGATGTGGCACAAGAACGTTATCCCAAACTAGATTTTAACAATCGATCAATATATCGTCGAAAGGATCGACCTTACCGACTATCAATAAAAATTCACAATTCAATCACCTTACTCCTGTTGCGACCGGGGTCACTCCGTCGAGTTTCCCCTACGATACGGCCACTGACGGCAAAGATTGGTGACCAAGCCCGATGCCAGCTCACGTTCCTTGCTCGCTCAGTGCCTGGGCCCGTGCTCCAGGGCGACCGAGATCACCCGAGCATGTGTACACATCAACGATTGCATGCACAAACAATACACTTTTTTGGGGCGATGAAGTACACCATCAGGTACAATACATTTAACGATAATATTGCAAACTCTGCCGACGTGATGTCACCATCAGTAACATTTCCGTTAAAACATTTCCCTTTAGTACAATACGTTTAACATTCAATACTTATAGATAATCATATAACTAGTCAGTAACATTCAAACACATTAACACATACGGTCGAAACTAGTAACACTTATAACAATTAAACATATACCCCGTATATGTTACAATAACATTTTAAAAGTGCTCACGGGTGCAGTGACTTTCAAATATATATTCCCATACTCCCAATATTTTTTTAAAAGAGTGAGAATTACTCACCTGAATTGCAAGGCAACTGATGTAGTGACTGTGCTTTCCTATCCTGCACACACATTATATTGTGTCACTACACCTCTCATAAATGGTTCCTTCCTTTCTTTTTGCCGATTTAGTTACAACTTTTGATCGTATTAGTTCTTTACGTGTATAGCCCTTGGCCCTTTTTGGCTATACTATTAGAGGGGAATTCTATCTAGGTATTACTTTAGATTGTTCTAACTAAAATAAGGAGTGATTGATGTTTAAGTATTTATAGATTGTGACTTAAGGACTATTGCCAGTTAATAGCATTTAGTCAGTTAACTAATTAGTACAACCTCTGTTCCTATGTTGGCAGTCCGATTTCTGAATGAACATTATGATTATCGAATTAAAGGGAATAAAACACTAGTTGCTCCCGTCCGCATTTCCTTCTTTTTAATCTAGCAATTCCAATGACTCTTTGAGTTGATATCTTAATCTAACAATTCGGGAAATTAAGGATCTGTTTATGAGGACAAACATATGATCAGACTCTTTCGTATAAACAGAAGTACGTTGATAGAACATGAAGTCTCATTTGATGATAAGCTAGTGTTTATATATTAAAAAGTATCTGATCAAACCTTCCTATAGATTTGAATTTTCTCACACTTTCTTTTGTTTGAATTATATGGATTGCAAATAACTTGCTACTTGAATTTAATAAGCAAAGATGGTTTACAAAGCTAAGAGGGCAGAGGCAGTTACCTATGTACACCACGACGACTTCCGACAACGTTCGAAGTTGAAACTCAAGATTTCTTTTGCCCTCCTTGGATTTTGTCCTTCCGTCCTCCTTTCTCTTTTCTTTCTTTCGGTTTGGCAACCTTAATGGTATCTAATTGAGTTCCTTGCTAATAGTACGAGTAGGCAAAGTAAAGGGTTTGTTGAGAACTTTGAAAATCCACCCGGTATTGAATAGAAAACATGGATGATGAGAGTGATAGGCTCAATAATCTTCAATTGCTACCTCCACCAAATTCCCTATAGCTCTGGTTTTCGTTTGTATAGCCAATAGATATTTAAGCTAGTGTTTTAGGGAAGAGTTTAAGCATGCCGACGATTTGCGGAGGTCGGTGATACTGTCTCATAAAAGGAAGAAGGCTTTGTGATGATCATCTTAAGAAGGGAATAAAAAGAAATGGATTTGTGTAGTATATATGTCGGCTTTGCATCTAAAGTTGATCCAAGCTGGAACAACTTAAAAAGGACGCGATGTAGGACGGTGACCGACTATGAGAGAAACTGGATTAGCTTTTGTTTCAAGTTTTTTTTTTTTTTTTTTTAAAGAAACATAGTTTTGTGCGGTGGAAGTAATAAATATAAAATGGGTTATTGAAATTTTTAATGCAAGTTTAAATATTGATAAACTTGCTATACTGCTGGATAAGCTTAGAAGACTCGATGAGCTTCTTATTTGAAAGAGTTTGTGGGCATATTTTTCCATAAAATAAAGGACATGACTTAACCTTCACCATTTTGAGCCATGAAATTGTTTAGTTGGTTTGGCCGACTTTGAAAAAAATTAATTGTATTGATCTAGATAGCTTTGTCCTACGTTCCATATATCATTAGAAGCCCCTCTGAGTCTAGTTTAACCAGCAACAAACGGTTTGTAATTTGGAGTTTCCTATAACAAGTTATGATCAATCTACCAAAACTGCGCGTTACTAACTAAAGAACCTTTGTCTACGGATTTTAAATTGTTCTTTTCGTTTAGCATGCCGAAGCAAGAAATTAGGACTCCTCCTACTTACTATACTTTATCTTGATGTTGGCTATAGTGTCTTATAAGTTAATATACTCATTCCTTTATTTCGATTACAACTCAAAGACCTAAAACATTATTAGTTCTGTATTATCCTACACCCACACGTATAGAGTAATCTTGCTACCCCAATTTGCTTACTATATTGGTGCCGGACCTATAATAATAATAATATTATTATTCTTACTATTATCAGACGTACTTGTGTAAATCATCTGCACATTTCTCTGCTTCTCTATATCAAACACCATTCCATATGCCACCCTAACATCAGGTAATGGTCTCATTGTCAGAATCTGATTCTTCAGTCTCATAAACTCCATTTAGTCCCATCAAGAATTGCATCATTTTATCTCTCTCCAGTTTCAACGCATAAGATATGTCAATTCTGCAAGAACAACCAGAACAGTGACAAGCAACTGGAGGATCAAGATGTGCCAATTCATCCCAATATTGCTTCAATTTTGTAAAATATGTGGCCAGAGGCATGTCGCCTTGGGAAATTGAACTTATTTCTCTTTTAAGCTGGTAAATTCTTGAAGCGTTAACTCCACCAAATCTCTGTTCCAGATCACACCACAGATCTCTGGCATTTTATGCTAAGATGTGTCCTTCTTGCACTTCTTCAGACATAGAATTGAGGATCCAGGCCACCACAGTGTTATTGACTCGAGTCCATTGGGCGAATTCCATGCTTGATTCATAAGGCCGAGGATAATCACCATTGATGAACCCTACCTTGTTCTTTGTTCCTAAATTCGTGCGCATCGCATGACTCCAGGCGATGTAGTTTTCCTCAGTAAGCTTGATCCCTACGATCGCCATGCTGGAGGGATCAGAAGCGTGTAGAGCAAGCGGATGCGAATAGATTCCGAAATTCGCATTATCTTCATCTCTGCAATCTCGTTCATCATCTGAATTGGATCGACGAGCGTTCCTCCGGTCGCGATTGAAATCTTCATCATCGCGATTCTCCATCTTTCAAGAACGAACTGAAACTTCAAGATTCTGGTACGGTTTTGATCGGAATCTGGTGAATTATTCGACTATGGTGTGTAATCAGATAGGGCGAACCTGCTCTGATCCCATCAAGCGAAAAAAAAAAACTGGATATTAGGTCAAAAACGGAAGCCATGAATGAGTGAAATCTGTGTCTATAATTCATTAATTGTGTAAAATGATTATATTAATTAATTCTTTACAGATTCGGTAGTTTATATACTAATTACAACCGCCTTATCTCTATACAAATGTACAAGTATGCCCTTACATATTCACACATCTACCACACTACTTTAGCTATATACAATCTAACCCCTTGTTACTATTATGACGATCCAAGTCTCCAGCACGACTATTTATCGTGTTTGGTGACCAACTGAGTCGCCCGCCGGACAATCTCTCGCCCAAGGCATAGTGATACAGAACCAGCTAAATCTATTATGTTTTTAAATTCCAATTTATACAGCGGAAGAATTAATTACAACAAGACATATCTTCAAAATCTAAAATTATCTTAATGTCACATGCCCCTTAGACTAGAGAATTGTTCACTATCTTCGTATCAAAGCTTTGTACGAACTCGGCTGACTTGTTAACCTGTGGGAAAAATTAATGGGATGAGCTTTAAAGCCCAGTGAATACCTCATACAACAACTCCCAGTCTCTCGCGCTCCATACAGTAATCAAGTCATAAACATACAGTTATTCACACAATTCATTTTTATCCATTTTTATTTTAATTAATACAATTCATTTTTATCCATTTTTATTTTAATTAATGAAAGAGCATAAGCAGTTCTATTATTCTCTTTATTCCAAAGTAAAATGATACTACCAATTCCAAATTCCAACTACGTTCAACATCTTCTAAGCTTCCACTACACTTCCAATAAATTAAACTATCTCAAGGCCGAATCTAACAATCTTTTACCACCGATCATTGCATGCAATTTAAGGGTCCAAGAGTTAACCAAATAACTATTTTCCTTCTTTACCAAAAACTTTTTTTTTTTTTTTTGGTTGCTTGCCACGGTTTCCGGAACTCTGCCCCGACTAATCTGTTGGTCGACCCAGGTCGCACACCTGGCTGTGTACCAAAAACTTGTTAATTCAACCAAAAGATTTGGTGTTGAATATAAAGGGTGTTTACCTCGTTTTGCTGCCAACAAATCCTAGCGTTTCCCAGTTGTCGTTGCTCGCTAACCCACCGAATTACGAAATCGAAAGGAAATCTCCAAGCAACTTTTCTTCTCCTTCTCTCATTCCTCTCGACCTCTTTCCCATTTCTTTCCTCTTAATGTATGCAGTTCGATTGATTAAATAGCCATGGAAAACAAATTAGAATTTTCGGATGGCTTAGAGGAGGAAGGAGGGCTGGTAATCGAATGGTGGTGGCTGGAGGTGTAATTGAATTTGGATGCAAAGAAATTCCAGCATCTTGAAAGAAAATGAATGAGAATGTGCGAATGAACGTGTGTGTGTGTGTGCGTGCGCGAGAGTACAAGAGGGAAGTGAGAGAGCTTCCTAAATTTTGTTCTCTTTTTTTTTTTTTTTTACAACAAAACCTTAATGGTTTTATTAACTCATTAACCTTACACATGGCCTATATTTAATTATTAAAATTTCTAATGGTTCTTTTAATTTGTTCCATATAATCTACAAATATCGTCATTAACTTCAAATATCTTGTTATTAATCAAGATTATTATATGCAGAAAAGAGTTTTCGAAAATTAGTAAATAGACTCCATCGTTTATGTTAAACCAACGGGAACCCGTAGACAGGCCTCACAAATATATACAACTTTAGTAACATTTCTACACATTTTTTCCTCTTCTGAGATGAAAGACACCCAAAGAGCCAAACTACAACATTTTCAAAGTCTCAAAACTCAAACCTCTGATGTCATACAAGTAATTTCTTTTTATTCTTTTTTTTCCCATGTTATGCATTCAGTCAGTCAGTGTTTAAAAATTAAAAAATGCTATATCCGCATGTTCAATTCCGCTTTAAGTAAGCGACAGTCTCATCCATTATAAGTGATTTTAATTCTTAAATTTGCTCATAAAGTTATAGTCAATTAGATAGCCATCTCATAATTCGCATGTGTTTTGTAGAGTAGATATTTTCACCCATTAATATAATTAAGTTGACGCGATGCATGTTATTTATTAAGAGAGATTCGAAGGAGAACAAATACAGAATCAGAGAAGAATGAGAACATAATCTTTAATTGGATGAAGAAGAGATTGAAGGAGGAAAAAAGGATAATTCACGGAATAAGAAGAATCCATAGTTTAATTCTCATTACAAAACCTAGTATAGCATTTGAAGAGTTACAAAAGATAAATCAACGAAATAAGTTTTAACGATATCGAAATTGAAAATGACAAACAAAATTTCAAAAGACAGAGTCATTTTTTTTTGTAAGGATCCTTCCTCCTGGCCCAGAACTACTCTCAAGCCCAATACACAAAGCCCAAATTGGAGTTCTACTTTAAAACCAATTGATAATAGAGGGAGTCACTCACTAGGCTTATGTATTGAGCTTGGAGTTCTCCCACCACCGATGTGGGATTGGATTTGTACCCAACAAATCTCGCCTCAAACACAAGACACACACTTGAGCCTCCCCTTCAACGACAATCCAACTTGTACCGCCGCTATCACCCGCGGAGCACGCCGCCTGACCCACCATTATCAGGAAGACTTTCGACACAAGGCCCACAACTAGATACCGGCCCTACTCCTCAAGCCCACAAGTCGTTGCAAGGTCAAACTGGGAGAACACGCCACCCTATCTGCACATCCACTGTGCTAGAACCGAGGACTTTCGACACAAGGCCCACAACTAGGCACCGGCTCTACTCCTCGAGCCCACGAGTCGTTGCAAGGTCAAACTGGGAGAACACGTCACGCTATCCGCACATCCACTGGGCTAGAGCCACGCACAACCACTGGGCTAGAACTGTTGCTCTGATACCAGTTGTAAGTATCCTTCCTCCTAACCCAGAACTGCTCTCAAGCCCAATACACAAGGTCTAAATTGGGGTTCCAATCTAAAACCAATTGGTAATAGAGAAATCCACTAGGCTTATATATTGAGCTTGGAGCTCTCCCACCACCGATGTGGATTGGATTTGCACCCAACATTTCTGTAATTTGTAAGTGAGTAAAAAGACTTTCTAAGAGCACAACATGTCTTATATCTTGTATCTAATTTTTTTCCATCACTCTATACTAATGTAGTACTCCCTCCGTCCCATAATTATTGTCCACTTTGACAAAAAAATTTTGTCCCAAAATTATTGTCCAATTTGACTTTTTATGAAATAAGTTACACGTTTACCCTTTAGTTTACTATCCGGAAATCATTTTATTGAATTGGCTACACACCACACACAGTATAAGTTAATACAACCCAGTAACAGCAAATGAAGCTGTTTCAATATCAAAAAAAAAAAAACAAACGAAGCCCAAACTCCGACGGCCCAAGGCGGCTTCCCTGCGGTGATGCCGGTGGTTTTCGGAAAGGAATTTGGGGAAGAAAACTTCGACTCAAATAGGCCAAAACAACATCAATCAGTAGAGGGCATCGGTGAACTATAGCCACATAAGAGGAGAGAAATTGAAATAATCTCACCACTCACCAAATTCTATCAGGGTAAGACGTCAAAATTCCATTTCCTCCATAGCCGCCGATGGTGACAGAGATAGGTGCAGTAGGTTCAAATTCCCCATCAGAGGCATTAGAGCATGAAGATTCTCCGAATTTGAGATTCTTCATCTTAAAAATTGGTTCAATTGGCACAAGGGAAGACTTTTACAATCGAAGAATTCTCTCGCTTCCGTCTTGCGAAAACTTTTCCGGTGGTGTATTTCAACTGAGGATGGCTTCTACATTCGGTCGGTGCTAGTGTGAGAAAAGGAGTAAAGTGTGTTTATAAATCTATATACAATTACTGTTTAAACAATTAAGCCAATATGTACCATATTTAAATAATTGCCGGTTAAACATTACACATACAGGGGTATTTTCGAAAGTTGAAGCTAAAATATAATCAAGTTTGACCAAAAATAAATTCTTTTATCTTGGCTAAACTGGACAATAATTATGGGACGGAGGGAGTAATAGTTACACAAAATTTATCTCTCGTTGATTCTAAAGTGAATGAACATTTTCATTCTCTTCTTGTACAATTTGTTGTTCTTCCCCATCACCGATCTTATATTTCATTACTAACATTTCCAAGAGAAAGAAAAGATTCATAAATTGCAGAAATTGCAGCAATAAAACAGATACCAAACCAAAAAACGGTAGCCCTAAGAGGTAATTAACACAATATGATTACTACTACTACTAAATAAGCCTTAAGCCTAATTAGAAAAAACAAACGCGTGATTTTGGGGGGTTTTTTTTAGTTGGGCTGGTGTCTCTCTTTCAATTCTCTGTTTTTGTTGGGCAATACCAATTTTATGCGGACTGTTTCTTTGAAGGTAGTTAACAAATGAGTTGGTCCTGCTTAAGATAATCCATGCAAATAATGAATGCTAATTAAAATGGTTTTCCACCTACCTTGAATCTCACCTATTAAACACACTAGTTAGTTAATGGAGTGTATGTAATATACAATCCCAAAACCCCTGAATAATTCCTTTCACTCCATTATTTCGGCATCTTTCCTCTGCTCTTGAACCAGAGTGCTGTTGAAGTCTTATAATAAGAAGAAAATAGAGTATCAAAAATAAAGAAAGAAGAAAAAATGAGGGGTTTCAGTACTTTGATCGTCTTGCTCTGTTTTCTTGTCATCCAAAATTGCGAGCGTGGGTCATTCCACACCTGTGTCCCACTCAAGGGAGTTGTTTTCCATGGGGAATTTGTGGGAGGTCATGATGGGATTACCATGAAAATGGGTTCAAAGGGTTCATGGATTCCGGCTAAGCTCAATTCGGAGACGCCATTCACGACGTTCCGGCGGGGCGATGTACGTTAAATTTCGGGACGCTTTCCGGAGGCGGATGATGCAGTATCCTCTTGTAATTCTTCCATCCATTCACAACAACAACGTCTTCTTCGACACCTGCTACGATCTTAGTAAGGTCAAGACCCCGGGAATTTTCATTCCGAGTATTGCTTTCATCTTCTCTGCTGGAGAAAAATCCGGTGACGATGAAGAAGAAAAAATCGTGGAATTGCAAAGCCACCAAGTGTTCGTTCTTGTGGATTTTTCTTGTAGAATCTACTGTTTGCCAGTTGCTCCATCGCCTGAAGGACAGGATTTCGCTGTCATCGGAAAAATTTAACAGAAGGGGTGGGTTAGCTTAGATTTTTTAGCGCAAGATTGTGAAAATGGATTACTGCGCCCGGGCTTAATAGTGTCTCTTTTAATTTTTTTTTTATTTAAAAAGAATTTGTTTTAATGTCTTTCTCTGTTGTTGTTGCAATGCGATGTTTCTTCGCAGAAAAATTATTAGTGTAATTCTCCACTACTTAATGTTTTGTCCATATAAATTCACAGGGCGACGGTGGTTTTGATTCCAATGATCAAGAATCCATAATTCAAAAATCATTTTCAGAGGAGTAATGCTATCAGGTTTAGACTAATTATTATGTCAAAACTCGTTCTCCCAACAAAATCCAACTTTGTCTGCAGAAGAAGTATAGTTGAAAACATTATTACCGCTAAAGAAACCATCCATACTATGAGAGAAACCAGATAAAAGAATGATTGGATGGCTCTAAAAATAGACATAGCAAAGACATTTGACATTTGACAACTATTTTTCTTAAACCTCTATTGCATAATACTCCCTCCGTCCCAAAATTATTGTCCAATTTTTACTAAAATAAAAAATTTTATTTTTTGTCAAACTTAACTATATTTTACCTTAAACAACCGGATATACCCCTACATAAGTAATTGTTTAACCACTAAGATTTTATGGATAATATTTTTTACTAAGGACAAATGTGTAACTTGATCCATAAAGAGTCAAATTAGACAATAATTTTGGGACAAAATTTTTTAAACAAAGTGGACAATAATTATGGGACGGAGGGAGTAACAAACATAAGTTGCCATTTAAAAAAAAAAAAACACAGGTTGAATAAATTTCATGTGAAGTTCTTCTTCCTTCCGTAGCTAGTTAGACTATCAACAGTGGAACCAATTCTTTCTAATTTCTAGATAGATATGCTGGAAAAAAATGTAGTGAAATTTTAAATAACCTTTTCTTTTTGTGAAACATTGCTCTCTTTTTGGTAAGTCTAGATTCACTATATCATATGTTTCTTTTATTTGAATATAATTGTCCATTTGAATTTTCATTTTTTAGCTCAATTTTGAGGATATCAATGTGGAGAGGGAAACACTCAAATACAACATAATTAAAACCTAATGAAGATTAATTTTGCTGGAAATGAATGCCCAAACCTTTTAACATTTTAGAGTAAAGGTGGACCTTTTGCAGTAATCAAGGGAAGTGTTTGATGAAAATTCTAACAGCCAAATACTACCCAAATCGGTTCGTCATATTTAGCCCAGAATTAATTTGGTCTCCTATGAAAAAAAAAACGAGTAAGAAGTTTGGATTTGTAGTGTTACCTCCATCTCAAAATGATCGAAAAGTTTGGATTTTTATTTTAGTATATGATACATTTATTCTGAGATAGGAAGAGTAATTTATATCTAATATATTTTGTGTTTGATTCTTGATATTCCTCTTCAACTATTTTTGATCCAAAATCCCGGAATTTAAATCTGCAAGGGTGTGTGATCAAGACCAAAGTTAGTATGGAAATATTCAAAATAATAATAATAATAATAAAAGAGTTTTTTTTTTTTTTTGAATTATTAAATCAATGAGATGAAGTTACATTTTGTTGGGTAAATGCAAAAGTTGCCTAGAATTACAATGAGATTTTAGCTAGAATGTCTTCCTAGTTCCTAGTTCCTACAAACAAAACACCTTTGAGATGACAAATTCTTGTAGTTTTCAATTTTCAATTAACTTCACAACCAAATTCAAAAATATTAAACCCATAAAAACTTATGCGCATCTTCGTTTTGCTCCATCAAAAATACTTTTTTTGCTTTGGCTCTAGCACATCTCCACACATAATTGTGGCCTTCCTCATTAAAACTCTTCGATTTCAACTTTTTAAGTCCTCCAATTCTACTTCTACCATCCTTATCTTCCTGAAAGACATATAAATCACAGCGTTGGGATTTCATAATCGTAGGCTAAAAAATATGGAATCCCACGCTGGCGGAGAATCTCTGATGTCATAACGCTAACAAATGAAGTTATAATCATTGGTGGGTTTCTAGCTGGGCTGGTCCTCATCACCTTTTTTTTTTTCTTTCTTCTAAACTGGTCTTCAAATTCAATTCTCTGTTCACTCTATTCCAGATGGAAGAATAAAACAAACACAAATATTTGGAATTATCCCTTTTACCCTATTAAAGCAGAAAACAGGATACTGATATGGCAATTTCTTATTAAAAGGTTTTGGCTCCAAATGCACCATATTGCATAAACCATTCTGCCACGTGTCACCCCCTTTTAAAAACAAGAAATATATTTACAATATTAACGAAGAGATCAGATGGTCATGTTCATTCAAAATTTGAATTTGACAGTGAATGGAATTTTCCTTCTCCACTTATTTATGACTTTTGAAAAAATTAATTTTCGATCAATCAATTATCTTCATAAAAAAACTAAATTTATTCCTAATCAGTTTTGATTATTTACAGATTAATTTATTAGATGGGAGGACGCCCTCGGGCATTTGCCCGGGGCAAGCATCTAGTTGTTGTTATCAACAAGTACACCACAATTTTAGTATGGCTTCAGCATTTCATTAGTTAGAACAACAATTAGAACTAATCCCCATTGTAAAAAAATTGAAATCGATAGAGCTGAATTTGAACCTAGTACTTACTCTCTGGCATTTATCACATGATGATGATGCAGACTGAAAACCTTTAAACCTTAACACGCCTTTCCTCTTTCATTTATGTACTAACTAATACATCCGTATATTAAAATACCCTTCACTGTAATTTCAGCATTCCTCTCCCGTTTCATCCACCCCTGAACCATCCCAAAAAACAGAGGGGAAAAAATGAAGGGTATGTACTGCTATTGTTACTTAATAGAATAAAGGTATTTTTTTAAAAAAAAAAAGATTAGCACATGAATGGACAAAGGGGGATTTTTTTTTTTTTTGTTAGTCTTGCATATTTGTGGATGTCCTATAAGAGAGTTTTATGATTATTATTAAATTTATTATTAATTTTTAATAAAATTAACTGGAATATGTCACATTGAATGGAGCTTGTGTTGATTGGTTAAAATTGGGAAGAAAAAAAAAATCCAAAACATTCCGGATAAAATTGTTCAATGAATAAAGTTTTGGGTAATAACGACAGAGATGTTAAAGTTCTGGATAGATTCGTAAATTTTTGGGAAAATAAGTCGGTCATTCCTCCCACAATATAAATAAGAGATGCGTTGCCTCACATCTGAAACGTAAGAAAATTCTTCGAAATCTGGCTTAGATGCATACTATTTTGTTGCTCGATTTTCTTCCTGAATTTGGTAATTGTCAGCTGATATTATCTAAACTCAATTTTACTGGAACAGTTAGATCCAGAACTCACGTTTATATGAATTAAAATCAACTTTGTTCATCTACGTCTGATTTTGGTTTTGTTTGCTTTGTTAGATCTAAATTGAGAACGATTTCGTCTACCGTGGACCTGAATCCATCTTCAAAGGTAAAGTTCCTCTGTCGCTTTTGACTCTAAACTACCACCAACAGCACCAATTAAGACGACCTTTGTTCAAATTTTGGTTTTGGTGATTTTTGTTTGTGTTGCTTGGATTTAGGGAAAGAGAAAGATGGATATCACCTCCGGTTTTCCTGAATCTGAATCTGAATCTGAATCCTCCACTGAGGTAATATCTTTGTCCCTCCAAATCTCTTTCCTTGTGTTGGGATTAGGGTTTGATTTTGTTGTTCTGTTTCCGCAGCAGTTTTATTTTTTTGCAGCTCCTTCTTGTTTAAAACTTTGGTTCTTGCTTTTTCGTTTTGCTTTCTCATCTCCGTTTTTTAATTACTGACTACTAGTACCCACATCAATTTAATTTTGGTTGTTTTGCTTGGATTGAAGGGGAGAAACACTTTGTTGCCTTCCCATCTTCGCCCATGGATTCGCCCCATTCATCTGCGTGAGGATGGCGTAAGTGTTCTCTTGCTTACCTTTTTATCAAGGTTTTGATATGTGTGCTTTATTTTTTGAATAATTATTTTCTTTGTTTCTGGTAGTCTTTTAGACCAGATAGCCCTACGTTCGAAATGGGAACCACTGCCATGGCTTTTGTTTTTGACGAGGGAATTGTGTTAGCTACTGATTAACGTGAGTTTGTTTTTCAAGTTAACTTTATATCTAATATATTTTCGCCATTTATATGTATGGTACTACTTTACTAACTTTCCCTTTCAAATTTAGCTTCCAGCGTTATTCAACTGAGTTCTCACATGCTGGTTGCAATATCTGCTGGACGAGGATTCCAATTTTCTCCCAAAGATTTGGTAATTGAGGTACTTGCTAGTAATTTACATTAATAGCCCTGTGTTTTTTCATGTATTGAACAGCGTGCATAGACACGCTTTTGTCTAAAAAATTTAGAAATGAAAAAATAAGAAAGGATTGGTCATTGTGTTGCAGTACGCTGTGGGAAAGTTGGGAACGATGGGGAATCGTTCGGCTGCTGAGGTATCGAAAGAGCTGGGAGAGTTTGTTTCACATCGCTATCCCAAAGCGGGAAGTTCTTCAATAGGAATACTGGTCGCCGCGTGGCACGCGCAGGTACTTTTTCTCTCTTTAAGTCTGTTGTATATTCTGAAGTAGAACCTTTCATATCCTAATCTCTAAATGGTTTGTAGGGGTGTGGCCTGTATCGCATAAATGGTAACGGGGTAGTGGTCAAAGGTGATATTCTTGCCACTGGATCTGGTTCATCTTATCAAACTGTCCTGAAGGATGAGTATGCTCCCTTCTTCTATATCTGCTCCTTTGTAATTCATTTATATCGTGTTGCGAGATAGATAAACTAGTTTCTGGTTTTTCTGGTAGGCGCAGAACCTGTTTTTCTCTGGACGAAGCTTGCATATTATTGTCTAAGTATGCTCCTTCCTCCTATATGCACTCCTATTTCATTCTGTTATATTGTGTGGTGTGTTATATTTCTTGTCGAATGTTTGAAAACAAACTAGTTTGTGGTTTTTGTAGTAGGCGCAAACATGAAAAAGGATGCTGCATGTCCGTTAACGAAGCTGCAGGCTTGGCCAAAAAGGCTATAAGCTTTGCTTCATATATGGCTCCTCATAGTGGGGACTGGGGTACTGGTATGTTTTTTGAACTCCTGGCTGCTGTCTTCCTTGCTTGTTGGTCTGTTTATCTATTTATTTGCCTGATGTGTGGTTCTTTTCTGTGTTTTCAAGTTTACCACGTAGGAACTCATGGGTGCAAGCTGCTGCACCAGGGCAACATAGAAGAATGGCAAAAGGACGTCATCAAATTCAAACTCTGGAAGTACAAAATTATTGGGAAAGGATGGTCTGATTGATTTGCTTATACAGTGGTTTGATGTTTATTTTAGTAACGACCAACGTTCAGCACTATAGCCTGGTCAAGACAAAGTTGATAGATCCCACCTTTTATTGTCAGCATGGACTGTTGCAAGCTTTCATATTTTGACAATGCACCATCGTCGTTTTTTAATATGTATTTTAACTTGGAGATAATTGGTAATTAATTTTGTTATTTTGCGTCTTTTTTTTTTTTTATATCCATTGAAAATGGAGCTGGAAGAGTCATTAGTTACAATTCTTTCGGTTTTGTGCTAATAATAGATTAGATCAAAATGACTCATTAAAATTTCGACATTTCTTAATTGGAGTTTCCGGAAATCAATACATCAATGCACCAATGCATCTTGGGTCGTATTACTTAAATAGCCTCCCTGTATTGACATAGAGGATTAAGGCTTCGTACATCTTGACCCTCTAGACCTCAACCGAGTTAGGAATATACTGGATAGTTGTTGTATTTTGCGTCTCAGGACTAAATGACTACTGTTTTGCTTAATTAGTATCACATAGAAACCGATAAAAGAATTGAACCAGAAGACCTAGATTTCTGTTTCTTTGGAAGAAAAAGATAGAGAACATAATCTCGTCACCCAATCTTGTTGGAACTTGTGAAGCTTCTCCTTCTATTCCTCTTCAATCTTGGTCCTAATGTTCACTCTCTACAAGAAGGTTGATGAGGAAGGAGATCACAACCATGCATGTCAGGAGAGAACATAAAAGGAATGAAGACAAATTGTTTTGTTCCACGAATGCATTTGCCACAGGTTCCAGTACTCAAACAAATTTATCACCTAAGATTAAAAGCAAATTCTGACTGCATTCTCGAAGCAACTTCATAGCTATTAGCTAATGAGAAGTTCATAATTATTTTTTTCTCCGTTCTAGTGTTTCTTTTTTCGTATCAAAGAAGAAACCTAAACAAACACAACCTTTCACATCTCACATGTGAAGAAATCACCATGTAACGAGGAAAGCAATTCGCATGCATTACTTATTCAGTCTTATAAACGAAGTTAAAAGGAAGTATTGCTGCTAGCTAAATTAAAATATTTTTTTGCAAGATACAATATCGTCAGACGGACTGTGATAATGTGGCGCCCAATAGCTTTTGCCCACCAGCTTCTTCTGGCACACCTTATATTTGTTTTTTTTTTTAAATTAATACTAATAGATTTCATTCTTTATAATACTGATGATGATTGTTTTGATTTTCACTTTTAATATAAATATTACTAAATAAGAAATTCTAAACAAATACAGTAATAATTTTGGAAGAAATGAAATGCAAAGTCAATGAAGGAACAAAATTCCAGAGTTCATCATTGTATATAAACCTTAACAAAATGAAATTACCTTATTTTATTGATGGCATAATGGCTGCTTCCGAGTCTTGACCGAGAGTAATGTTGTTGCCTTGTCGAAATGGGTGGCGCCTCCGCCGGAGCAACAACGCTTCTTCTCTTCTGCTGCTGATGCCGCCGCGGTGACCAGTACTCCACGTCATCATTTTGTGATTCTTGTTTTATTTTCTCCACTTGGTTATGGACTATCTGATGATTACTCGGCACCAGTACTTCATCGTCGTGGCGGCCGACGTCGCATCTCTTCCCTATCAACATGGTGTTGCCGCCGCCAACGACCTTTTTCTCCTCCACGCCGGAACAAGTCATCATCATCATATCAGAACAATAAATTTCTAATTAAGCACAAAAAAAAAAATACTGTTCGGTTTTTTGTTTATATAACTGGGAATATTAGCGTGGAAAAATAATTAGCCACCAGTAAAATGGGTTATATTGCAAAATTTAATCACTTTGATTGTAGTTACATTTGGTATTCTGGATAGGCTTTGATGATGAAGATTCAAACGACTCTCTATTGGACCGGTTTTATGAGGATACAAATTAATTACGATGAGGATTTGACTACTATATTATTTTCTTTCTAATTAAAGCACGTGAGAAATGAGAATGCATTTACAATTATTTATGTTAGAAATGAATTTTTTGTGGACCTCAATTTCACGAAAATTTATTGGGTACATAAGCTATATCCTAATTTTTAGTGCATCAAGTACTAGCACCCCCTATTTTGGTGGTAGAACTTTCGTAAAAATTATCTATCTTCCCTCAAAATTACTACTTTACCCTATTATTGTTTCTGGCTGCACAATCCTACATAGTACATCAGATGCACTGAATAATTTCTCCGATCTTACTGTTTCTCGTATTTCTTATCATTTTTTTTTTAAAAAAAGGTATACAATGAAAATGAATAACTCCAAACTTTTCATAATATACTGTATAATTATTCTCAAGCTTCTGGGAAGGGATAATCATGATCACAAATATATTCTTCCCTTAGTTGGGCGTTTCTAGCGTGATTTTAGCTTTTAGTAATTTACAAGGAAACGTAATTATTTTCTTTCAATAATCTTATAACGTCAAAATCAAAGCAATTTAAAATTACTTCTTCCTGTCTCGAAATTATTATTAGTTTATAAATTAAATTAAAATAAAAAAAATTAACTGGATACCTAAAATGCAAATTCACAATCAATTTTTTAATTTGAACCCAAATCCTTTTTATTTCATGAAAGCAAATGACACTTAGGACACTATGTCAGCTTCACATAAGTTTTTTTCCCGCCTAAACAAAAAAAAAAACATCTTTTGCAAAAGAATGATGCCACGTGTCATGTGTACATCCAAAAAAAAGACTCCACAATTCTGCAAGATACAAAATGATCACCTTAAAACACTCCCTAATTTAAGGGTTTTCTAGAATATAATGGGATTTTAAAAAATCAGTAAAAGAAGGGATATAATCACTCCCTATTTTAAATGTTCACGTTAAACTCTCCCCAATTTAAGGGATTTATATTCAAATCCGAAAATAATTCCTCCAAATTTTAATTCCATCGATAACATTTCAATTTTTTCCTTTTTAAAAGAAGAAGAGATAAGTGAAGTTCAAAATTCTTTTTCAGATACGATTCTTCTCCTTTAAAAGAGCAATCTCCTCTTCCAATACCCACTGCCGGCCTTCCTCCTCTCTCCTTCCTTCAAAATCCGAGCAACCAATAAAATATCAGTTCCTCCTCCCCCTGTTACTTCCAAACTGAAACCCGAGCTTCTCCATCGAGAGAAATATTAGACCTTTGAGATTGATTTGAAACAACCCGATTGACTATTACGGTTCTATTCTTCTTTTGTTTTGAATCCACAGAGAGAAATTTCAGTCCCAGTGGCAAGATGAGTTGTTCCGGGAATAATTGTCGATGAAACAGAAACCAAAGTCACCGATCTATTGACGTTCAAAGGTAAACTCTTATGAATTAATTGTTCATAGGTCGTCAGCTTTAGCCTTTAGGGGGAGAATTCGTGAAGAATGGTAAGCCCTTATTACATAGATCGATGACAATGATGGTGTCCGGGTCGAACAAATCAGTCCGACTAAGTACGTCGATCAATTTGTGAAGAATGAGGTTTCAAGTTCCTATCAGACGGAATTTCTTTCAGATTTTTTGTCGTCTTCTCAGACAATATTTCCCTTGTTTACTCTCTTTATAGATATGAAATAACTGTATCACATTATTAACGAATTTAAAATACGGGCCCCCGAACATCTGTTTGGGCCAAACATCTAGTCTATATTGAAGTAATTGGGCCAACGGAAAATTCCGAAACTGGAAGAAATGTGGCCTTAGGTCTTTTTGATTCCCGACTCTCATGCAAATTTGCATTGTTACGTTTTTACTACTTTTTGCATGAAACGGTCAACGCAAAAACATAGTATAATTTTCGGCGGCCTTCCAGAATAGAACCCGTGTGGACTCCGGAGACTAACAGCCGGAAATGGAACAGATCATTAATGCAATACATTTTATATCATTGTCAACAAGAAAAATCTCCCGGCGCTGACCCTCCGTCCACTGGTTGTGTATTTTTTCCGTACAATCTCCACCGTTTGAATCATTTGGAAGATATTTTCCCATAAGGCTTTTGTTTCTTTTACTTCTCCCTATAAATTTGGATTTCTTTGGAGAATATTATGAAAATTGTCCCACTAAATGGAGTAAAAAAAATGCACCCCAACGCCAAATCGGCCCATTAAGTCGGAGGCCGTCTTTGGACTGATTGGGGTTTTCTTCTTTTTGTTTTTTACTTACTTCCCTTCTGGCCCAGAAGCAATCGGCTGACTGAGGTTGCAAAAGCGTATTCCTTGTGAATTTGTGGTGCTCTCCGGATTTTCTTAATTTTATTAATCCTTGTATTTTACTCATTATTCAAGAATGGAATTTGAAAACATTAAATTTTAGATAAAATTGGTATTTGTTACGTTTTTCACTATACATATTTTGGTTTTTTTGTTTTTGGAAAAAACAGATATTTACTACTTTATATATCAACAAATCGTTTGCAATTCCAATAAAAATAAATAAATATTTACTTTATATATAAATAAATCGTTTACGGTTCCAACAAAAAACACTCATTAGAAACCACTCATTATGATATGGATTCAATATGTGTAGTTTGAGTCCATGAAGGCAAGTAATGATAAAGACTGAATTTATTCTAAAAAGTTGAAGGTAAACGAACCAGATGTACACGTATGATTGATTTGATTTTGTACCACCCAAAATTCATCACAAAGATTAATCCTTTGGCCGGTTACAATGGACCCCTTGAGCCATATGCTTACTCCACAAAAATCAATCATCAAATAAATATATAATGTCCACTTGTTTTGAGATGATAGGGAATCATCTTCTACTACTAGTATATATATGTTCGACCATACAAAATAATGTGCGAACGGATTATACTTCTCCTCCATTTCTTCCTCGTTAAATAATGATAGGAATTTTTTTTAGTGTATTATGCATTCGGTGTTCGAAGTTATTATTCTAATTAATTCGGATCCGAATCAGATAGGTCCGATTCGAGAAACAAAATTCTCTCAACAAACAACATTTGTTTAAACCATCCAAACTCTTTATCACTTAATTGGATCAATAAAGATCGTTGAGGCTGCATTGACTAATGAATGTACATAACCAAATGTTTTGTTTTGGAACTTTAAAAAAGTTAGAGATTATGGTATGATACTTCTATCATATCCGGCCAAACAGGAAAGATGGATGGAGATGATCAAGCAGGAATGGGATACCCAACACACCACAAAGGCACAAAACAAACGAAAGTGAAAGCTGATGAAAAGTCTACAAAAAAAGAATAAAAACACATATATACTGATTGATGATGATAATGTTTCTTTTTTCTTCATGGGAAAGTGGGTGTGGAATAATAAACAGCAAACTTTGGGCATGTATAGTAATTATAAAAAGACTTGAAAAGGTAATATAACTTATTAAGATCAAAGGGCCACAATTTTGATCATCATCATCATCAAAATTTCTTCTTCTTCTTCTACTACCATTTTTTTTTTTTTTTGGTTCTGTCTTTAGTGGAAAACAAAGGCATCTTCTAGTTGTTATTGTTGTCACCATCGGAATAAGTTTCCAGAAAGGCATAAAATTATCTATATATATTCATCGTCATCAATTTTCTCCTGTCACTCTCACCAAAGGGCATCTTGCCCCTCTCTGCGTACATTTTGGAAAAAAACGGCATCTCCATTTCCTATTTGGCTATTTCTATACGCACACTTGCAGGCGAATCCAAATGTGCTCACGACTTTGATTTTATTTTTTTCCCTTATAAAAAAATACTTGAGTCTCTCTGGAGTTATATATTTTTTTTCGAGTAATTATTATAAGGCCTTTTAATTTTTCATAAGTTATATTTATTAACATGTTTCTTAAATTGAAAAAATATTTATTTTAAAAATATTTTATAATAATTAAGAAGATACAAGGAAAGTGAAAATACATTTTAAAATTTTTACTTCAATTACAAAACCACAATAAATAAAATTTACGACAAATCAAAATTTGCAAATTTACGACAAATCAAAATTTTTTATAATAAATACTGAATAGAGTATTTGCTCATTAAAGGATACACACACAAATCGCTAGAACATGACTTTAGCAATGGCTAGCCTGTTGGAGTGACATGGTTAATAAATCTAGGGCTCGGCTGTTGTAAAATCTTGAATAAAACATAATATTGTCTTGTATCATACCAGTGTGTTGTAATAACTTAAAACTCAAGGGGATGATTTCCATTATTGCACCAAAAATAATTAAATAAAAAAAGGACAGATGTTTACGTAATATAGGTGTGAAAATTTGAACATTATGTATGGCATTAATCGACATTTTTCTTTTGCTTCTTCTTCTGGATAATCTTTATTTATAGTCGGTAGGATTGGGACTTTCGTTTTTCTTTTTCATCCCGTTTTCCACACCATCGAACTCACGACCTTAGTGTGGATACCTTACTAGAATGCAACTGTATATATAGTACTCCATGATCATATTTTAATTGATAAATTACAACAAAATGCAATTTTATATTCCAATGTTTATTTGTATTTTTGCGTTTGGCGCACTCTATATATATAATTATATATATACATACCTGGATCGAAAAATTAAATTTCCCTAATTGTGGAAATGCGGAAATAATCATTTTTTACTTGTTTCAAGATCTTAATCTATTGGCTTTAAAAGGAAAAACTAGCACCTGAATGGAGATATCAACTTCCAAGTTTCCGGCTACCACTGACATGGCATCCAATTAGTGTTGTCAATTCATTGTCAAAACAAAATATAATTATTTCGTTTTCAAATTATCTCTCAATATCTCAAAATCCTTTTTTCTTAAAAAAAAAAAGATTTGTTTTTTAGGTAATATTGCAAATATTTATTTGTGACAAGAAAGAGTTTTTGTACTCATACATGATTTGCAATTTTTATTTTAAAAAAAAAAGTGAAAAAGATAGGGAGCGGTAAAAAAAAAACAAAAAAAAATAAAAAATAGACAGTAAGATTAATAATATCTGTCCACTCAAAGCGACAGGTAACTAATACTTCTATCATCATCCTGAACTTGATAACTTCTTTGTGCGTGTGTTTTCTTTTCCTTCTTTTATCCTACAAAGCTTATGAAACCGCAGGTCCCATTGTTTGAGTATGGGGTATGGCCATGTATATCATTACTTTCTTTACTGTTTTCCATTTTCATTTTTTTTTTAATAATCGTGTTTTACATTACAAATCATAGTGTTTTATGGGGGCTCCCTTGACATTAAAAAAAAAAAAACGTAAAACCGTTTAGAGATATTATTTATTTTGTTATGATTCATCAGGGCATTGTAATAATGATGTTTTGTAATCTTTTTATTACCATGAGTCTCTCATCGTTTAATTGTGTAATCTTTTTATTCATAAACCGACACATATATGTCGAGATTTTAATATCTTTATTAGTGTCTAATTTAGCTAGATTATTGAAGTAAAAGATTAAATGATGTTTTGATTTCGAAATAAGGAAAATAAAAATTAAAACTTTCGACTTTTGAAATGAACGCATAATATAAAATAGTCGTGTTATTGTTCTCGACCGGTCGCCTACGGGTTGATTCCAGAGTAAAGCTAACCCGGACTCCCTAACAACCAGAATTTGTTCAGCTAAAACCAACCTGTGAAAAGTCCAATTAACTCGTGGGAGTTGAAAAACTTGGAATTGGAGGATGGGAAAAAAAAACCGTGTTTAGACCTCCAGAAAAGCCGAGTTGATTTCGAGTCAGACGCCTTTGATTGAGTTTTGGAAAAATAAAAATAAAAATAAAAATAAAAATAAAAACCGAGTGCGGGCACAGTTTCCATTAAGCAAAAAAAAAAAATTGAGTCGAGTGAGTCATCCAAATTGATAACAACATTGGAATTTAAAAAAAAAAAAAGCAAAACAATAATAAGAAAACATTAAATTAAGGTAAAAGAGTTTATATTTAGGACAAAGTCAAAACGTCATATGCCATTGTAACAAGATGGACATGCACATATGAGACATGACACAAGCATCCAATTGGGTCCTGTCCAATTCCGAATACAAACGCGTACTACACGCCCCCCAAGTGATCCAGATTAAATTTAAAATAAGAATATTCTATACCTAAATTTTGTGACAATCCTCCAACTATACTGGTCTAATCATTTTGCCATCTTCATCTCTCAATTGCACCTTTTCGTCCCACAACTTTTATTTATTGTGAATTGTATATGTGTTCAAGTCATATAAAACTCTCTAATTAGTAGACATGACACCCTTTTGTCCATGAACCTGTAAAACGCAAATATTCTCGGAGAGAAACACATCGATAACTAACTATCAATCTATGGTAATGTGAATATAATATTTTTTCCATTCAAAGATTGTTTCACATAACATTTGTAGCTTATGATTTATTTCCTAAAATTAAGGTAAATAATTATTTTATTTCAATATTGCGAGACAAAAGCTTGAGCATTGTGAGGTCACAAAACTAATACAAATAGGGTGTAAGCCGCGCGCTTTTAAATTACAAGCATAATTGTATGCTAATCTAGATTAAGCACACATATTTTTCCTCTAACAAAATGGCTTTAATAACTAAACAGATGGATCTTATAATCTATAAAAATAAATCAAAGAAACCTCATGTTTTGCTTACATTTCGAACAACATTTTGCTGTGATGTATTTTCCTCTTTATTTTATTTTTTTTACGATGATGCAATTTATTGTGTAACCTGTAAAAAACAAACTATTCGATACATTTTTACAAAGGTGCTTTAAAAATTTTAAAACTAAACATCTAAATGTTGCTTCAAAATTTGTGATAGTTTTCTAAGTTTTCTATAAAGAGCAAAAGAGATGATTGGAAATCTGAAATTGCCAACTAAAACGTACAAAAGGGACATTTATGAAAGTAGAAAGAAGAGAAGGGGCAACAATTTGTACTTTCTATAAAGTTAAAGAGCAATATTACAATTAAGCATCTCAAAAAATAAAAAATAAAATAAAAAAAATTTGTTAACGCCTTCTTCGCAGAAATACAACCAATCATTGACCCCATTGAGTGAAAATTCTGCTGTCTTCCTATTAAAGGAGTGGACAGCCTCAGCCATTTCCTCATAATCCACAATTCCCCCCTTCCTTTCTCACAACCAGGCAACAGAAAACAAAATCAATATAACTGTTCATTTCTGATTTACCCTTAAGAAATCTTAGTAGTGATAAACGGTTTCACAAGATTTTCGGTTCTCTATATATTTATTCCGGGGCCGTTGTTTATTCTGTTTATTTCTCTTGTCTTCCTCTTTGGTTTATTGTTTTTGCGGGAAACAAGAAAAGCTCAGAGATCCCATCAGGGTTTTTTTCTCGAAAGGGAGAAAAAAAAAAACAATTTACGTGACTGTAAAAAGAATATGCAAATCAAGACATTTGTTTCTATGTATTCTCGCACCGGAAGGGACCTGCAAAGATACAATTTTGATGGATGTCGTCAAGTTGTTGGGTGAGTTTTGAATCTGAATTCGGGAACTGAATTATCTGTTGGGATATTGCTAATTAGGGGAATTCCTCATCTGGGTTCTGATAATTTGAGGGGGATTTTTGTGGGGATTCCATTTCTTGAACCTTTAGGCTTTTTTCCCCCATTCTTTGCCCCTGTTGAAAATTATTCTTTTGATGGCTGTAAAATTGCAAAGGAAGAGGCAAAGGGGGATTTGGACATTATCAATTTATCATTCATAATAATGTGATGATAGTGATGTTTATTCCCCGTTTACTTTCGCTTTCTGTGCGCCATTTGCCGTTTACTTTTGTTGTCTGACCTGTTTTTTTTTAACCATTGTCAATTTTGATAATGTTTGCAGATGTATACCATACAGATTCAGAAAGAATCACAAGGCTCCCTCTGTTCATGGAACATTAATCAACGAATTAGAATTCCTGTTGATCAGCTCGCAGAAGAGTACAAAAATGATGTTCCCTAAGGTATATTTTGAGATACGCACATGCGTTTTTGGTTGTTGAATGTAGGAAATGCAATTATTGGATCTGCCCATTATTTATTATTTTTTTACCCTTTCAATAATTGACACCGTTTCTGTTGTGATTGAATTATCAGGGTGGTTGGGAACTTGATGAAACTATTGAAGATGCAGCTAGAAGGGAAACCATGGAAGAAGCTGGAGTACTTGGGGTTGTTGGGGTGAGTATTTGCAAAGTTTGTTTCTTTCAATTGCAATTCCGGGTATAATTTTCTTGTCAGTTTCTAATTTTATGCATATATGTTATTGCAGAAAAAATTGGGAGTTTGGTCATTTAAGAGCAAGAGCCAAGATACATTTCATGAAGGGCATATGCTGTCTTTCAAGGTTACCGATGAATTAGATTGTTGGCCAGAGAAAGATGTCCGGAGTCGTGTTTGGGTATGTTCTGATCCTTCTATGATTGGATATATATATATATATATATATATATATATATATATATATATATGTTCATGAGCTTGGGAGTGAACAAGTGGTGCCTGATATTTGTTTGGAGATTCTGATGTTGTGATTTGTAAAATTTTTCAGGTTTCTGCGGATGAAGCCAGAAAACTCTGTGCACACGAGTGGATGAAGGAGGCATTGGATAGATTTATTGTCCAATTAGATGAGGACCAAGGAGAACCTCGCCCTCCTACTTTATTAGACTTGTTGAGACTTGATGAATCATCTTTCAGTGAAGAAGAAGAAGATGAGGTCAATTGCACCCTCTCTCATTTCCAAATGAAGGAAGAAGAATGCCATATACACTTGTTCATGCACCACCTTCCGATATCACCTTGTTCCACAGAAAAGTCGAAAATGAGTAGGGTATCACAAAGCGGAGAAGAAGATGTTGATCGCATTGCTTTGTTAGTGAATTAGATTTGATGCAGGAAGCCAGAAGACCTAACTTTTCATTAGCGAATTGTTGATCACTCAAGAACCCGGAATTTGGCATGGTTGCCCAAAACTGGAGAAGCTTTTGAGTTGATCCAAACGAATATGAAGCTGGTGGCCTGAACAAGCGTAAGCTTACTGCCTTTTAAGCTCTTTTCCAGGATCAGGACAAGAAATGAGCCAAACCGGTACATCTACTACTACACCTTAGGGATAGTGTGTAAAAAGAAAAAGAGTACACATTGCTCATGAGTTTGAGACCTCAAGCATTCTTGCCCCTAACCTGGAAGCATCAAGGGTGACTGTCCACTTGTTTAGGACTTCCAGATTCTGAGCAACCGTAAAAAAACTGAGTTGTTTATAAAATTCGAGGCTAGTTTCATAGTGTAGGAATGCTGAACTTTGTAGTTGTACAAATGTTCTAATTGATTCTTTGATTCTTTCCAATTCATTCATTCTTTCAGAAGATTTTTGAATCTTAATGCTTTCTTTACGGATTGTATGGTTAATGGTTTCACCTTCCACATACAAATCTTATATCTGAACTGAACTCCAGTTTGCTCTCTGCTAATTGATTGCACATGTGAGTGATTATAATCTTTTGGTAACCGGTTAGTATATGAACGCTTATGACCTAATTTGTGGTTTCTCCAGAACAATAATATGTTGATCTGATTGTTGAATTTTGCAGCATCTAGAATGTCATTTCATATCTGTTCAATTTTCTTTGAGTCTATGACCATTCTGTTTGGAAATTGTCCAACTCCAGTTAATACACATTAAATTGGTAGTTATAAGTCCTTGTTGTCCTCTTTTCTGTCTACTTTTCTTCAAGTTGCGGCTCATTAAACACCTCGTGATCACAACTCACACAAGTCACTCTCAGTTATGCATACAACTTGAAGATCCAAGCACCCAGACTCATTATTATACAGCTTTTTCTGGTCTGGACTTTACAGATGACCCTGAAACCCACTTGTTGCATCTGTTCCACAAGTTAACAAACAGCTTTTTCCAGCGAGAAATTTTGAACGTCAAATGCCGGTAAAACCGAAAACATTGTCCATATATATAGACTCCATGTGATTCTAGAAGGCTAAGGATTGAGGCTTGAAAGGCATTATTAAAGGTTTTAAGAGCTTAAGCTTTATAAAAGGACTCATACAAGACAGTTGAGAGGCAGGTAGAACTCTGAGACTCCCATGGTCGGTCATTCTAGAAAGGCAGAGCTCAAAAATATCAGTAAATGTTACTGAAATTTCCTTCCTATTTTCCTACTCCAGAAAAGTAAAAAAAGGAAGAAGATTGAATTATATAAATGCAAGGTTTATTTTGTTGACTTTTAGGTTGGATACATTCATTGCATTACACGTCTGTACACGGCTCTTAATCTATCAGGTAACTTATAACGACAGAGACGGTTAAAAGAATAGAAAATTTATAATGCTTCTTTTCACCTTGCATTGAAAATGCGTATGTACAATAAACTTGTGTCATAAATTGTTTTTCCATAATGTCACACTATACAATGTAGAATTTAGAAATTTCTTATATCATTAAAAAACTTTTCTCCTCTTTTGGGAAGGTTTGGATAGATATGCAGGCTCCCACATTTTAAAAAAGTATCCGTTAAGCAGCAAAACCTAGAAATAAAGCTTTCACAAGTGTCATCCATTAACAGCTGACAGACAAACCCAACTTAAACCTCGTACCAAGATGAACAATTGAATTTGAACATAATAAACCCCAGAAGCATCTACAATTCCACTTCATTGAAATGGGAAAGCTCAGAGCAAAAACTGACTATGAAAAACTCAGAAATGCCCGCATTTTGGAAAATCAGGTAGTCCCTTTTAATCCCTTTTATTTTCAGAAGAAATTTTTTTCAATTTTGTGTTTCTGGGCTCACTTTCCTTTGTAATTTTTTTGGTGTTTAAATAAAAAAAAAGGCTCGATTAGCTTGTCTAGGAGTTCAAAAAACCATATCAGAGCTTCGATCAATCACTTCCTCAGCAAAAACTACAAAGAGGAAATGTCAGAAAGTTGATTATTCCTCAGCCCCTTTGCGCCGTTCCAGTCGTTTGAAAGGAATAACGAGCGGCTCAGAGGCGTTATCCAAAGGTTTAATGATTTTTGTAATGGAAAAACTGTTTGTTTGTTCTTTTTTTTTTTTTTTGATGTGTTCTTTAGTCTTAAAGAGTTGGTTTTGCAGGGAAAAGTTGGGATCTTTGGCTAAGCGACGATGAATATGATGAAGATCAGAAGAGGCCTGCAAATGCACCTCGGTTGAGTGTCAGAAAGGCAGAATTAGCAAGGCTTTCACCAGATGTGTTGGCTCGGCGTTGTAACAGTAAGGGAAGAGGAAGCTTATATAATCCCACTTATGGTATTTCCTGCCATTTCTGCAGGTTAGGTTGTCTTCTCCCTTTACGCAAATCTGTTGTTCTTATTGAGACTCTGGACTCTGGCCTGTCATCTCCTTTAAATCTTTTTGCCTATTGCTCAACACAATCCAAATGAAATATAGCTTTCGATTCGCTACTTATCAAACTACTATCTGTTTCTGTGGATTAAAGAAGCAAATACAGTAGATGGAAAAGGTGGTCAAGAAATACTATTTGAAAATTAACCATCTTAAGTAGTAAAAAGTGAGACAGGCAGTGAGCATTGGATATGTCTATTCCTGGCAGGGTATTTAGATTGAAATGGTGGCTTGATCTTTTTAAAACGTACATAGCTGTTAAGATCAATCATGCGGTCAGTTGCGAAACAATGTGTTAGGGAAGCAGCCAAGCTAAAGTAATTTCAACTTTTCAAGTAGGCAATGACTTTACAGGAGTATATACTTATTGGAGTTGACACCACATATGGACTGATTAGAAGTGTACTAATTGAAGTTGACATGACATATGAACTGATTAGAATAGATCATTAGAAGTCTACTGATCGGAGTTGGCAGTTTGAGTAGTAGTTATCATGCACCTTTCAAATGAACTTCTGGTTTCAAATAACACCTTAGTTTTCTTTCCGATCTTACCTTTCTTTTCCCAAGTGACACTGAACCCCGAATGCAGGCAAAAGAAATTATGTGGTGAAGAAGATTGTAGAAGATGTGGTAATCTGGAATTGGATCAACCATGCTTAGGTTCGTGGATTGGAATAAGTCTTTTCTATTATTTGGCAATTTCTTTTTCAGCAGATGACTAAATCAAATAATTCTCTGGTACAGGAAAGACAGATTGTTCTGTTTGTCACTCTACCAATGGCGTCTTCTGTCGGGCTTGCCTCAAAGTTAGATATGGTGAAGGTATGCCACTAGAAATGCTTCAGTTTTTACTTTGTAGTCACCTGCTTATGTTTTATGACACACCTAGGTTAAAGTTTAGAGGGGTAGATGCTAATCTATCAGTGCGTTCAGCATTTTAAGGGCTTCGACATGGTTTAGGTTTTAGTGTATTGATCAGGCGATAAAATGAAGAAAGCCATGTGATCATACTGAATCATTTTCTTGGATGTATTGCAGAACTCGAGGATGTCCGGGAAAACAAAAATTGGATGTGTCCACATTGCATTGAAGAAAAAGGAACTAGACCATTTTGGATTTGTAACAGGTATTTTACAATACGCAATGTTTGATGCAAAAAGCACACAAGAAGCACACAACTGCTTCACATATTGCTGAAATATACTGGAAAAAGAAAATCTCATCATGTGCTCTTCTGGTAAACAGCTCAATATGCTTAAATAGGCGTCACATACAGCCAACTGGGATAGCAATTTTCAAAGGTACAGTCATAATTTCTCGTTCCGGTTTCATAGTCTGAGATTAGTTTTCCTATTCAATGTTCAAAAGGTGGATAATTCTCCTTCTGTTCTGGACTTGGAAAAAAAAAAAAAAACACAGCAAGAGAGATGGGGTATGAATCTGTGGCACACTTCTTAATGGACAAGCTTCGGAAAAAAACCAAAGCCAAAGCATGACGATGACAACAAAGCTTTAGGCCAGGCCAGCAACATATGTATCATATGTAGGAATCGTCCTTCCATCGAAGCAAGAAAGTGTAATTGCCATGCTCTTGATTACAATGTCAAAACTTATGCAGTAAACTCTGTTAATCGAGCAAAGCAACCTTTTCTATTTTCCGTAGTTGTTATTAGGATGAACCATTCTCTCTTTTGTAAAAAAGTTGTGGCCTTTAGACAGGAATGTATCTAGATCATTTGCGCCATCAGGCTATTTTCAAATGTGCAAAACAAAAATGGCATTGAATCACTGAACAATGGAAATCGAATTCATTGCATAAAGAATCCACCAAAGTTTTATCACTGATGGAACAACATTTTAATCACTTGCACAGCTTCAGCTTTTTGAAAAATGACGAAACAATGGACTTGGGATACGGTTTTGTAGCAATACAAGTAGGAAAGTTCTCAGGCTGTTCAATCCAGAGCTTATGATCAATGCCATTAGACTTCAATTTCTCAGACAAATTCAACATCTGGGCTTCACCCTTAACTTCAACTGTAACCTGCAACAATAACAAACAAACACAAAACCTTATTTATTATTCGACGGTTCATAGAAACCCATCATCAAACAGTTGAGAGGCACCGAATTGAAGCGAGGAAGAAATTAATCACTATTAGCTAACCTTGCGCATGAAGTTGAGATTGTTGGGGCTACAATAATCGAGAGTAAAGGGATCATCTTTAAAGGTACTAATGGCGGCGACGGAGGCATGGCAGCCCTGTGAAACTATACTCCCTAACGGCCACGTGTCAATAAGGTCTCTCCGCAGAACAACGTACTGAATCAAAGGGTCTGCCGGCTCCGGTACACTATCGGCTGTGTCGGTTGCGTTGCCGACGGCGAGGGTATCCTCCTTAGCTACGGCGGCATCACCGGCGGCGGCGGCGGCGGTGGAGGTTACATCCATTCTGACGCAAAGCTTGGAGTTGGAAGGCAATGGTGGATTGTAAAGAGGGAATGTAGAAGGAGAAGGGTGTCGGGATGTGAATAGGCGGGAAGATATTAGAGTTTGGATTATGGACGCCATTTTTGTTCTTGGATTGCTCTGCTTCCATATAGAAGAGGAGAAGAAGAGAGGAGAAATTGAAGAGACGACGTCGTTCGGGTTGGCATTTTTTCCTCCTTTCGTCCTAATTAGGGTTTAACAGTCTCTGTTCTTTCTTCTTCCTCACAAAAACCCCTGCAAACATCTGTTTGGCAGACAAATGCAATGCCATTGTCAACTGCCCACCACATTGTGCTGAATCCCAATTCGACCTATGCGTTTAATCGTCCAAATCTCGCCCCGATTTCCAGTTCTCTTAAACCCCAGAACCTCAAATTTTCTTCCTTTTCGAATTCCGAGCTAACTCCTCTATATTTAAGTAGCACTAGAAATCGCCGTCTCTTCAGCTCTGTGATAGCTGCTGCTGCCAGGAACTCTGCCAAACCCGATTACTACTCCGTTCTCAATGTCAGTAAAAATGCTTCCTTGCAAGATATCAAAGCTGCTTACCGAAAACTTGCTCGAAAGGTTTGCTTTTGATTCATGTCTAGATTCTTTTCATTGATAAGCAATGAGAGATAGTTAATGGGATTTTGTTTGTTGAGGTTTTGTTCTTTTATCTGAATATCTATAATTGTTTGTGGTTACAACAGTATCATCCAGATATGAATAAGAGCCCAGGAGCTGAAGAAAAGTTCAAGGAAATCAGTGCTGCTTATGAGGTACCTCTATTTGTTTTGCTTTATCTTTGTGATGAGAATTTATTTACAAGATAACTGTGAGTGAATGATTGAGCTCAAGTTATTAGAAAGAATGGCCTAGAAATTCCGTGAAATGTTTATAATGTTCAAGGCCATTTGAGCTTTATTGGGTATCATACGAAGTTCTTTTCTGTTTAGGTGTTATCAGATGATGAAAAAAGGTCTTTGTATGATCAACTTGGAGAGGAGGGTTTGCGCGAAGAGTTTGGTGGTTCTCAGGGAGTAAGCTCCTATTCTATTTCCAGTAGTGTTTTGTACGACATTTTGGTTTCCTTTCGATGTATCTTACCCTAAATTGTATTGCATTTAGGTGGATCCTTTTGATATATTTTCTCAATATTTTGGTGAATCAACAAGCAGTTTCTTTGGAGGAGATGGTGAACCTGGGGGTTTCAACTTCAACTTTAGGGGCAAGGGCAATCAAGATCTTGACATTCGGTATTATTTGGTTCCACAATAATCATTTATTACTTATGGGGTCTGCCATTATGTCTTTAGTGTTACCCAGTTGGCTGATTCCCCTAATTGCTCTGCCTTATTTTAAAGATTTTGTTTTAGTTGGTATTTGGTTCACCATATGCCTAATCCAAATACTTGTTCCTGTTAAGTATGGCTTGTTTATTCATCAATCTTTCTCTATGATTTAGATTTTACCCCACTCGATTGATTTGTTGAATATAATGTTGTAGGTATGACCTCTATGTAAGCTTTGAAGATTCAATTTTCGGGGGACAGCAAGAAATTGAAGTACCATGTTTGGAGACTTGTGATGATTGTGGTGGAACAGGTGCGAAGTCTCGCAGTAGTATAAAAGTATGCACCGAGTGTGGAGGTAGAGGTGGAGTAGTTAAAACACAGAAAACTCCTTTTGGACTAATGTCTCAGGTATTCTTTCTTCATATTGATTGGTAAACTCATTCCAAGGCATGATTTAAACCATTTACTGCAATGCTTCTAGCCATAAGTTCACTGAGCACATGCATTTGTGTCTGTTTGTCAATTATTATTAATGTCATGATTTCATCACAAGTAATTAGCAGATGCACATGATCAATGCTACAGATTTCGTATGGTATAAGCATAAATTTTCCTTCAATGCAACTAAGGCTTCCTATATAGAATCTCTGACTCAGTGCATCACAGCACTTGAGCACTTAATTGGCACAAGGTGCAGTATGAATTTTGCTTTTCTGTTTCATGAATGATGTGACTTCTATCCAATGCCTAGGTGTCAACATGTTCAAAATGTGATGGGGAAGGGAAGATAATTGCAGACCAGTGTCGGAAATGTAGAGGCCGTGGTCAAACACAATCGAAAAGGAAAATCAGTGTTGTGATCCCGCCTGGTGTTACTAATGGTGCTACAATGCAAGTCCGAGGAGAGGGCAATATTGACAGGAAAAGGTAAGTGCTAAAGATGTCCTTTTAACATTCTGAGTAATTCTTTAAATGATTTGAAGCAGCAGTTTTTGTGTGACACCGAAATCGTTAATCATGCACTTCTGGTTAAATGCAATTGCCATTGTATTACAGGGGTGTAGCTGGTGACCTCTATTTAGTTCTCCGGATAGAGGAAAAGCAAGGGATTCGGAGGGAAGGTCTTAATTTATACTCAAAAATCAAGATCGATTATACCGAGGCTATCCTTGGTACTGTTGTCAAGGTAAATACTTGTGGATCTTGCATTGAACATGTGATTAAAATGTTGGGACCTTGTTTGGTTTTTCACATACATTGACCTAGACATCAGACGAGAACATTGATGTTGTTGGTTAGTGATATCATTTTTTGTGAATTACTTAAGTCCAGAGCCTACTATAGAATCTTACTTTATGCATTCTGGAAATCTCTTTTTTCAACCAGCCTAGCAGCTGTATACATTAAGCTTCATGTGCATCTACTGCTTGGTACTTCTCTTCGGAAGCTGTTTGTGATATACAAGTGTTTTTGAATAGGTCAAAACTGTTGAAGGTTCGAGAGATCTTAAAATTCACCCTGGAATTCAGCCTGGTGACACACTTAAATTACCTCGTTTAGGAGTTCCAGACGTGAATAGACCTTCAGTACGAGGTGATCATCACTTTGTCGTGAATATTCAGATACCAACAAAGATCAGGTTAGTCCTGCTATATTCATTTATTCTTATACATCAATAGCGCAGTTTGTCTATGAATTTGATTGTATGAAAATTCTGTTCTCCTTGTCTGGTTTATAAAAGTTTTCCTTACTGGATCTGTTTGGTTTCAAAAAACTTTAGAATTCTAACTTTCCGAAGCTTTTACTGTTTTTTCCTGGAAAAGTTTCATTAAGGCAAAGAGGGAAAGCCCCTGCAGTGTTTTGTTTAGGGTGTGAGAGTTGTTTACTTCTTCATAATCTCAAAGCTGCTTCAGATTAACATTTTTTATGTTTGTCCTTGCTTAATTTGAATACGTGGGAATAAATGATGTCCCTTCGGTTACAAATAAGCAGCTTGTTTGTTTTTGATGAGTCTTTTACATGTGAATTATTCCTGATTACTTCCATTGGCTGGTGGTATCTGTGTATCCGCTACTTGATTTTTGTTGGTGAATAAAAGATGATTCTCTATTTGACCTGCTTCTATAATAATTTAGTGATGCAGAGCGCTCTCTTGTTGAAGAGTTGGCTTTGCTTCGGAAAACATCGCATCGCAATGCTTCTTCCAGTGGTAAATTTTCCTGACTACACCATGTCTTTAGAATATCAAGTAAGAAGTATATGTCAAAAAATTGCAGTAGTTTCAAAATTAGTGGATACATACATTTGTAGTTCGTGCTTGTGTGGTAATATATGTACTCTTCTCCAGTAAGTAATATTGCTTGTTTTCATATCTACAGGGGAGTTTGAAGGTGATTACCAAGAACAATATCAAAACCCTGCTTCAGATCATGGACGGGGAAGCTTTTCAAATGTATGGAAGTCGATCAAAGGCTTCTTGGGGTATGATCCATTTCTCATATTAAACTCTTAAATCGTAGCATTTCATTTGTATATCATGACCTAAAAATCTTCACAATAAGCAAACTAATGTTTCTCATGAACAACTACAAAAATGATCTGAGATCAACTTGTAGGCACATACTAGTTGGTACTCAACGAAGACTCTCTTTTAAATGCAAAGACTGTACTTATGGCTGATTAGGAATTAGTTATGTTCTCTGTCCCCGCCAAGTTCCAAGAACACAAATGTGAAGTAATGAATGTGTGAAAATATGTTTTGTCAAATCGATACTAGTACTTAAAATGTGTAGCAGGATCACCATGTTTTGCCCTAACTCTCTCAACTTGTTCACATTTGCAGGAGAAAACAATCTGGACACAGATTCGCATCGATTGGCGCCGAGACACCAGTTCTGTGGAGACATAATCGACCGATGCCAAGTTATTCACTTATGATTTACCACACACCTCTTGTTTTCCTCTTGACCTTTATATTCACATTGTTGAGAAGAACTGTTTCCTCCAAACTATCAGAACAGAAGCTAAAAACTTAACACATTTCCCAAAACCCTTAAACAACTAGAAGGCAACATTAGTTGCTTTGAACATTTTTGTAGTGTATAGCAACTAAATTTGAAGGTGCTAGCTGTCAAGATGATTGTTTGTTGTAGAGTATGTAATAAAACTGAATATAGTACTCCTTCCGTTCTAAATTAATTGTCATGTTGATTAATCTCTGACAGAAAAAGTAGGATCTTTTTACTAATAATAACTTGTAGTTTTGTTTCAAAGGAGCTTTTAGCTTACTGGGAAACATCTGAAACTACTGTAACTGACAAATACCAAAACCATCATCCAACCGACTAAGTGATGAAAATGGCAAAGGAAAACTTTCATAAATCTAGCCATCTAGCCTCTATCAAATCTAAGCTAATTTATTCTATTTGAATTTATTTATTTCTGGAAAACACCCAATTTATTTATTCTATTTGAGTATTGAGAAATGATCTTTCCCTAGTGGCATTTTCTTCTAGTGGTTAACTTAATTACACAACGAAATGAATCATATACAATCATTGCACGTTAGACTGAAATTGGAACGGAAAAATATTTCTTAAGGGGTTAATTGTAATTTTCTTCAAAGTAGTGTGGAATAAAATAATTATCACTAGAGTTAACACAAAAATTTTTTAAAGGTCCTTATAATTTGGTAGTTTGTCAGTCTAATCATGCTGACAGCCTGACACAGAAAAAAGAATAAAAGCTAGCAAACAAAAATCGGATCCATTCAACTTCAAGGAAGAAAGAAAAAAACAAAAGCAAAACAATAGAGTATATAAATTGAAAGAGAAAACCGGGACTGCACGAAAGCTTCCATCATTGAGAAGATATTACATACTTTTCCAGATAATCCCATCACATCTTTGAGAGACTGCTCTTTTTCTTTATCGAAAGATTTTCTGATAAAACAAGGTAGTGTACCACTTCCAGCACTCTTTTATTTGATTTTTTTTTTTCCCCAAATCAATTGTTCAATGATTTAGCTTCCCTTTTTATGTTTGGAGTGATTTTTTTCATTTTTGATGTAAAGGGTTCTTCTTTCCCTTCGTAATGAAATTTGAGAACAGAATTCTGATGGGTTTTAATCAAATGGAGTTTTTGAAGTGTTGGCAAACTGTTCATTGTTGTTTTTTGCTTTGTAATTTGTCTGAATTTTCAATGTAGTTCAGTGCGTTCAATTGGAATTGGTTTTCTTGGTTTCAGTTGGAGATGGAAAAAGCCCAGAACTAACAAATTTTCATATGCACTCATCCACTTATTCTGTCGTAACACAAGAAGTGGTCTCTTCTTTGAAGCCTGATTCCCTGAGAATTTACCTTGTTTGCCTTTGTATTAGCTAGTTAGCGTCAGTGCTTGCGTTCTCTGTTCATGTTGTGATGCAGTTTAGGACTCCCTTGTGAGTACTGCTTGCTTACTGTAAGCTTCTGGTTGTTGGTTTAGGTTACGAAATCATATTAGATGCCGTATTTCTTTGTGTTAATACATGGCTGATCTTTTACCTGTTACCTGCGTTCATAACCATTTCGATGAGCAGCAAACTTGATTTTTGAAAGTGCCATCTGCAGAATTGGTATTGTTTGGGTCATTGATAGGTCTCCGACCTTTTCTTTTTTGAATTTAATTCAATGTACTTAGTTTGTTAAAACGTTTTATTAGTTTGATCATCTGTCATCAGGCGTTGTTTTACTGCTATGACGTTGATTAAAATGTTTAACCTAGATCACATCATCACATCACTTGAGGGACAACTTTACTATTTGATACAGAAATTAGCTGGCTGATGAATTTTGGTTTTGTTGCTTGTGCAACTTTATAGCTAATGACCTTATTTCGTGGTTCTGTAGAATTTATCTTTTCAAGTAAGCAATACCTTTAGTCAATATATCTTCCAAAATAATGGCCCAGTTTAGTCTTCAGTTAAACACTTCAGCAGAACGAATCTGGTAATTGGGATGCTAGGTTGATTGAGTTAGAGTGCCTTTGATTTTTGAGCTTGTTCATTACGCATTCTTTCCCTCTTCTATCTAAAGTGCTTTGGGAATTCAGCATGGTTTTAATTAGTCTAAGTATTGACTCTCAGTTTATTACTTTATCGAAACAAATTTAAAGAGGCTATGTCATTTATCATGCGATTTGTGTTTCTGGAACAGAGTAGTGTCTCTGCTTATGGCCAATCTTGATAGAGAGGACAAGTGTCCATGGATAAAGAGAGTTGCATCAGAAGGTTCTGTTCCACATGGTGATCCGGACAACTGTTCGAATGGGTGGGCTACTCCACCTGGTGATATTTTTAAAGTTAGGGGGCCGGATTATTTTTCAACAAAGATCAAGGTTCCTGCTGGTGAATATCTTCTAAAGCCTCTAGGTTTTGACTGGATAAAAGGTTCGACGAAACTTTCAGAGATTCTAAATAATCCAAATCATCGTGTTCGGAAAGTACTCCGGGATGAAGTTCCTGCTGGAGTCAAACCATTTATCTGGGCTTTCAACCTGCAAGTTCCAAGCAAGGAAAATTTCAGTGCTGTTGCTTATTTTGTGACTGTGAATGAGATTGTGGAGGGATCTTTAATTGATCAGTTCTTGAAAGGTGATGATGCCTATAGGGCTTCTAGGTTGAAACTGATTGCCAATATTGTGAAGGGACCTTGGATAGTGAAAAAGGCAGTAGGCGAGCAGGCTATATGCATAATTGGTCGGGCACTAACTTGCAAGTATGTCTTGGGAGATAATTTTGTGGAGGTTGACATAGACATTGCATCTTCCATGGTTGCAAATGCAATTGTTCATTTGGCTTTTGGCTACTTAGCAACTCTCACTGTTGATTTAGCTTTCCTTATTGAGAGTCAGACTGAGTCGGAGCTTCCAGAGCGAATTTTAGGAGCAGTACGATTCTCTGAGCTGAATGCAGATTCTGCACAGCCAATTGAAATGCATTCTGAGGGTAGCATGGGTAGTTTGCAGTCTTCTCTTTCAATGCGATTATGGAAGTCCATTGGACAGGGTTTTACCCACCTTATTCATCAAGGTGCTCAAGAAAGTAGTTCCAGTGTTGATTCTTCTAATGTCAACGGAGTCGGTGACAATGACAAAAGTAAAGATGATGTGAATAAATGGTAAGTCTAATGAAGCTTCACCATTTCATGTTTATGAAGTCTTGAGAACTCTGCTACTTTTTATGGTATGCTAATGAAAGGTTAGTTAATTAATTGAAAATTTTAAGTAGGAAATGCTAGATTATTCATCGGAAGATGTAGTTTGTTTTTTTTAGTATGTAGGGATTAGGGATCACAAGATTTCAAGATATAACATCTTATTGGGCTAGTTTAGGTGATATTTTTTAATTGTAAAAGAAGCTTCAAGCTGTATGATTACTGTCTGACTATTAACAGAATCAAATGGGCATAAAGAACTTACTGCTCTTCTGGATCAATATCGATGCTCCATCATCTTAAGTAGTTGCAGTTCCTGATAGATTTTTCTAGGGGCTGTCTTGAACTCAGGTTGGCTAGTCAAAACATTTCCATTGTGGTGTTTCGATCTTATTAACATTTCTTTCTGTGAGTTGGTGATGTCCTGAAAGTCTCTATCTTTACTTCATTGGAGATGCTAATGGTTTGTCACCAGCGTGTTTCATATGTGGTATTGTATGAGTAAAGCCTCAAAATTAACTGCCCGAGGATTAAAAAAATAAGTTGTTTGGCCTTATCATTCACACTGAAGCACTCTGATTGTTTTGTTTCTGTCTCATTCTATTTCACAATTTTATGAAACTTACTCCACAATTCCTGAACTGCAGATGTATCGGCTACCATATACAGCGCTCTACTCAAATGAATTCATTGCTGCTAGAATCATTGTCACTTGCTCTGCAGCTCTGCAGATCCCCTGCTGGTGTCGGTTTTATTGTTTGTAGAGATTACAGATTGAGGATTTTGAATATCAGGCCTGTACATAATATATTCCACGTAGTACAGGATTACAGTTTCATTCTTTTATCTCTAAACTTATACATTCCTTAGTGTATTTGCTGTCATTGTCATATTCATTTTATGGCAGGTGGTCTGGTTTCCAGACAGTTTAGACAATGTTAATTACTAACAATTGAAAAGAAAAAATGAAAAATGAAAGATTTTATCTCTGGGAAAACGGTTACCGATCTATGGTTTATGGTACATTGTACAAACGGTACTCGAGCAGCAATACAGCAACATGATAATCTAACAATTAAGTAGTAGTAAAGAACAAAAGGATTGCAGAAAGTTCATTCAATATGTATATAAAGTGTAAAATGTTGAACTTATGATAAGGCATCTTCAGCAATCAGGAACTCAGAATTTTTCATGATTCATTAACATACTGCCCTGAAGTGAGAGATACTACAAATAATCAATCCTGGAGTTGCTAGAGCCAACAAAAACTTTATGGACCAATGGCTCCTCTAGGATAAGTATAAGATCACTACACAATCTTGCAGCATAGCTGAGTACAAGGGTAATGTAGAGTGCGCTCTATAGACAAGTTGAATATATTGTTCATTCACTACGGAAAACAACAGCCAGTGTTTAAACTATATCAGCAGCGACCACAGCTAAATTACTCATTTGAGTTGTTCTACCATTTCCTGAGGCAAGAAAACCAACAGTTGGAAGTGAAGGATCAGTAACTGGCTCAATCTCAAGAAAACTGATATCAATGGCACCAGATTTTTTCAAGCTATGAATGAAGATAAGGATGGTCCATCCTAGAATAGAAATAGCCCAGTAGTCGTTCATCCCATGAATTAAACCCCATCCAATAGCATAACCAACAATGATCCCTGACAAATGGCCGAGGAAACTTGCTTGTGGAACAATAATGGAAGTGAAGATCAAAGACTCAAACGGTGCAAAACTGATAGGAAGCGAAAGAAACCCAAAAAGATCCAACTTGGAAGATGGCTGCTTGACACACAAAATAGTCATCCACCCAAAAACCACACAAGAATATCCCACAGCAGTCACTCTTCTGAAATACTCAATCTTACATCTCTGTATCAGGACATGATACATTCCAATAACCAGTAAACCCGATAAGATGACCAACACAAGAGTGTAATGCAGATAGAACTTCACTCCCAGGCCCATGTGTTGCAACTGTTCTACAACTCCAAGGCTCCAGAGCGCACTTACATTAAACACAAGATGAAGAACACTAATATGTGAAAATGCTGATGTTATTATCCTCCAATACTGACCTTCCATTACAGTCTCATAACTCAACCCCACCTGTGGATAACCAATGCCTTTCTTCTGTATGTAAAACCATATTGCACTGAGTAATCCTATAATACAACTCGTTGCCGGCTTTTCAATTATCTCGTAAATTAGTGGCTTCCCCATCTAACAATGTGAGAACCACAGGAAAGCCAAAATTGCTTCAACCAAATAGAAAATGAACTTTCTTTCACTCTATTCAGCTGACTAGCTCTAGCTCAATCCAAACATTACCAACACCATAAAGCTTTTTAAGTACTAAAGACAAAATAAGTAATCTTGATGGGATCCCCAACCAAAGTTCAATAAATTTACTAAAGACAAAATAAGTAATCTTGATGGGATCCCCAACCAAAGTTCAATAAATTCCAAATTATACCATAGCGGAACAACACGATCCCAATACAAATTTCACCTAGTTTAAACAGATGCAGATCTAAACCGAGTTCCAATTTTCAGCGTAACAACTCAGTGGCAGGCTCTCAATATTACAGTATTTACAGGAATACAAACAAAACCCAGGAACAAAAAACCTCAAAATCAGCGAAGAACACTTACTGGGCTCTCCGAGGAATCAATCAACGAGGATTGCCTCGGGGGAAAATACTGGGTTTCTCAACGATCAGCGAATTGGGAAGTGATAAAATTTGTGGGACAAACAGTTTTTTTTCCTTTGGGTATATAATGATTTAACACAGAAAGGTTTGATTAGGCAACGCTGAGAGGTTCTAGAATTAACAGGAAATGGTTTCAAATTAAGCAATTTGGGATTTGGGAGGTGAAAGGACTGCTTCGGCAATTATTATTCTCTCCTTGTTAAATGAAAATAATAAAAATAAATAAATTATCATCGAAGCAGAATTTTCGAACATTCATTGGCGTGGTACATGAAGTACACTTTTGCGAGGAACAGCTTTATTTGTTGGGTTATCACAAAGCCCAGCTTCTAAAACCCAGTCCAATTAGGCTCCGTTAGCATTTTTCACCATGGGCCTATCTTGGACTACTGTCTCCAACAAAGTACTATAGAAGCCCTTGATATAACTTTTGAAAATGTTAATAGTCTGTAAAAATTTGTGGTTGAAAATGAAAAAATGTGAATATAGAAATATTATAGTTAGAACTAGATAGTTCCCGTGTAATCACGGGCTCCCCATTAATTTTTTTTGTGTGTATAATCGGCGATATTAATAAAAGTAATGAATTTAAATAATAAAAGTAAAAAAATATATAGTTTTTGCTTAATGAGCAATGTTGTGAGTATATACAACCATTAGATATAACCCGTGGAATCACGGGCACCTCAATAACTTTTTTGTGTGTCCGATCATTTGTGCGTCCGACCGACATCATTGATAAGTAATGATTTCCAGACATGTGACGTACTTAACAATTGAAAAGAAAAATTTGATGTAGATAAAAAATTCTAATTAGCACGTCTAACAGTACAGACAAAGAAAACTGACGTATTTAACAACGAATAAAAAAAATTCATATCTATTTTTCATAGCCGAATCACAAAAGTGTTTGGAACATGAACAACAATATTAATTTACAAACACCTAACATATTTAATTTCTGATCATTAATTGAGATTAGTATTTAAAAGGACAATTTGTACATATAGAGAATATCTACTCTGATGAAAATATATTTTCTTCCATGTTGTAGAACTACTGATTTTCTAAACTAAATAATAATGATGATGCAGTTTTATTTTTTACAAAAATAGTTAAACTATAAATATATAGGTCCAAGAACCAATAATGTACCTCCCAAACTTTTAATTGAACCCTCTCATTAAATTTTTTGTGATTTGACAATAAATCACATTAAGGGAAAACTCGATGATACAGGCTACTTATTATCACAACTTGCCGGAAGATAAAATTACCGGAATCATAATATCCCAACTTCAGAAGATAGTCCCAGCCTGAAATTCTAGTACTATTTTTTGACCTTAGATAGAATTCTACAAAACAAAAGAAACATACACTAAGAAAAGCCCCTGACCAGGGAAAAGCACAAAATTTTTAAAGGACAACAAAAATCATACAATGGGGATACATTGACCATTGAAGCGTGAGGACATTAAGGTTTTCCTTACTTTCCTCCATTAGACACCTGAAACAAAATGGAGCCGTCAGAGGCAAGTCTAACAAAATAATATAAGCTTATAACATACATATAATCATCAAAAAATGGTAGATCATCAAGGGTAAGCTTATAACATTACATAATCATCAACAAATGGTAGATCATAAAGGGCATCTTGACATCTAAAGAAAATGTAAATCCATTTGAACTGATGTATAATCAAAGAATTTTTGAAACTGATATGCTAAGATGACAAATCCATATAATCCAAAAGCTTTTGTTAAATCGATTAAAAATTTAACGACTCAAATGATATGCACAGAAGGAGCAAGGAAAACATTTCATAAAATAAAAAAATAGTCATCATCATATTAGGGAAGACGGGGAGATTTCTCACAGATTATCTCAGGTACTCAAGTTTTTTCTTCACATTTTCCCTCTTTCATTGAGTTTCCCTAATATTATCTCTTTTAGTAAATATATATGCACGGAGTTTGTGTCTGTGGGAATTCACTATTGTCAATATCAAATAGAAAGGGCAGAGGAGATGGCTGCCAATGATTTAACTGGCTTGAAAAAACAACCAGAGATGAACCAAGATCGGCGGTGTGTCAAAATTGATGGGATAATCAAGAAAAGACAATAAATTTATATGGGGATGAATTTGTACCATGAAATCAACATCTGAAAAGAAGAGATGAAGGCAGACACGAAAAGCGCAAAGCTGCTTATTCTAGTAGTTCATCAAGAAATGGCATTAAACCTCCCACTGCAGCACCCTGTAAATAAAAAAGCTTACCTTCTTTTTTCCAAATTGAAGCATGAACCCAATAACTAATCACTCAATCACAGAGAAACATGAAGCATCCTGACATTCTAAGATGATGTAAGAAGTTTAACCAACAAGAACTATATTTAACATTCACTAATGATCTTGATTTATTTGATGTATTTTCAGATTTTTACATTTATCTATAACTGACCAGCTGACCTTTGAAATTTTTCCAATCAGAGCTTACCCACTCCAGAGAACTCAGTCCCATACAATCATACATAAAAATCACGAACAATCAATCACGCAGTTAAATACAATATAAAAAGGTAAAGCACTAAACCAACAAAAGTCTTCATTTAATTTCAACATCACTACCCAAATGCATTATTTGTGATTGTGGACGGTGAGATACTTTCGAGATTGCACTCGATTTCAAATTGTTTTCCACTACCATTTCAAATAGCAATCATACACAAATTACAGGTGCAAGGATTTCGGCATATTATTCTTCCTCCAAATAGTCAAATTAAAAATATAAAAAGACATGCATTTTCTTTTTTACCCAAAAGCAAACCTTAGGACAAGTCACAAAATCCCAAACAAATTTGAAATGTGTGAAAAAAATATTCTCATGAACCATGAAAAACCAGCGCAGTGAAACTACAGTTCAAGTGCACCAATCCTTATATAAACTCAACTGCAGGTTTAAAATCTCTTCAAAACCTTTTACGTAGCAAGATTGAGCGAACTTTAGGATGAGTGGCTAAACCCCTAAAATATTTGAAATGTATGAAAAAGGAAAATACTTATGAACCCATATGAAGAAACCAACACAAAACATTGACCATAAAATCAGTCTCATAATCCTCTCCCCATTTATACATTGTCCCAAACAAAATTCAAAAGGATAAACAGGAAACCAAAAGCAGCATCCACAATACCTCAACAGCCGTTGACACCTTCTTTTCACAAACAGAGCTCTTATCTTCACCCTATCCCACACGTTGTAGAGCTTCTCGAAGCAAACATATGACTACATCTGTAACTGCAAACACGGCCCTGTAAGAATCCACCAAAGAAAATCTCGTTCTGCAGTTGTAGTATGCTCTTCGATTATGATGTCCAGAAACCAAAAAAAGGGAGAAATGCTATACCCTTGCAAGATCTAATATTGAGGAACTAATACATAAGTTTTCTATCAAAAAATCTATCACTAAAAGATCTTGCGAGTCCAGCCAGTAAAGAATCAAATAAACTTACACAGGAAGAATAAAATATAATTAACCAAAGAGTCCAAACTCCAATCATATGTCTCTATGATTAAATACAGAAAGTGAAATAGAACTCACCGCATGATTCGACCATTTTCATCAGTCAATTGGGTCCGTCATTTCAGTTCATGAGCTCTATGATTAAATACAGAAAGTGAAATAGAACTTACCGCATGATTCGACCATTTTCATCAGTCAATTGGGTCCGTCATTTTAGTTCATGAGTTTCCGGCAAAGAAGAAGTAGGTTAAGTAATTGAGGACTCTGAAATTAAAATCAAACCCAATTATTAATTGAACAACCATGCGTCAAGAATCAACTGCAATATGAGATGGGGTTCATACAGAAGAAAAGTGCAAAGACAACTATTCTTAATTCCGGCGTTCGCACCATCTTCGATGATTCTCACCCCCGACCTTAGTTCTTCATCAATAGTCCTTTATCAATCGGCCATTGTCTCTGCCATCCCGAAATCTTCTGCCGCCGCCACGCCCTTTCAGAAATCTCATTGAATAATTAATGAAGGAGGGGAGAAAAAATCGAGATTTCTGAGATGTGAGTGCCGCACTAATTAAATCCGTTCGGGAAAATATATTCTGGAGGAGAGAAAAAGGAGCCAAGGGAGCAGAGTCTCCATCGGAATAGTATTTGCTTGGGTTGAAATTTGATAAATGGGTAAATAGTTTTGGCCGGGGGAAAAATTTGAATTCATATGTGAACTAAAGCAAAAAGCACATTGAATAATGTTTCATTCATCACGAGTAAATTTTCTTTTTTATTGAAATCACAAATAAGTTTAGAAAGGTGTGAAATTTGGCGGTGGTGTGCATGCTGAGTGGGGGAACCAATTGAAGTGGGAGTAGTACACGCTAGGAGGGAAAATAGAAAAATAAAAATAAGCCAAAATTACCATAAAATAACACATGACCAGAAATAAGTTTGGCGGGATCTGAATTCATCAGAGAAGGACATGTGTCCAGAGA